CCTCTCCTCAGAGTGCTTGCTGACAAAGATTTGATTATAAAATTTAAGATGATCTTACAATTTTTTACCCAGAGAGTTAACACCCAAAGACATTTAAGAATAGTTTCCAACAGAAAAGCTTTGGCTAAGTACTCTATGGTTGTGATGATCTATGTGGGAATGTGTGTGTGTGTGTGTGTGTGTGTGCGTGCGCGCACGTGCACAGGCATGGGCATGCACACACACACAGACACACACACACACATGCATGTGCACATAACCGTGTATTAATTCTTAACAGATGACGATTTCTTTTTGGCTGCACATTCTTTGAGGTTTTGGTTTATGTCTTCTGATAGACTTGTCCTGACCCACCACTAATCTGGTAAATCTGAGCAGGTGCTCACATTTGCATCGTGGCGTACTGCAGAGAGGGTGCCATTTGCTTCTCTGGCATCACGCAGTGTTCACATTCACAATGCTGTGCACATAGGCTTTACTCTAGCCAGATGAATTAACCAATCAGGGAGAATGGCAAGTGCTAATACATTTTGCACAGATTTCAATGTGCAGAATTCAAAGCAGCTGAAATTCTCCTTCTCTAACTCATTGAGGAAAATAGAAAATAGTGTAATTGTTTAATAAAAATGCAGTCCTGTATGGGAAAACATTGATGCAGCATAGGAAAACAGCTTCTTCTCTAGGGCAGTGTATCCATGGGCTCAAAATCTTCCCACAATTATTTATAGAATGAGAATTTTTAAATTCACATTAAATTCATGAATTTGAAAGGAGTATTACATTGTAATAATCCAGTGCATTTTTCTGGAGGTCCAAATTTTTACCTACCTACAGAAACTAGCTCACTGGAAGGACACAACTACACTGGCAGCCGTTGTATCCTCATGGATGAATATCCTCGGGGTTGAGTAGGGCACATCTACTCATGCAATTGCTCTAAGCATATACTCTTTAAAAAGATTCATTGTCATTTACAGATAAATTATGCAAGGAGCAGATACTCTCAATATTTATAAAATGTAAAAATATTAATCTTGGCTTAGGTATAAGGAAGAATTTTATAAAATATATGTATCACTATTTAACATATACTTTGAATATGAAAGTCATTTCTTATATAGTAATCTAGAAAGAGATATTTAATGGAGAGAATGAAGACTGGTCTGTGTTATTCAAATTCCACACTGGTTGATGTTTAAATCTACTTCAGTCAAAAAATTGCGTTGTCAGCTGATTGAAAATCCAGTTAGCACAGAATGGTAACAGCAAGAATTACTGTTCCAGTCATAGCGACTGATAACCACCAAAGGCTTCTGGAAAGAGCAATTCCTTATTTTAACAGCAACAAAAAGAAACGTTTAAGAAATAAGGCTTAGCACACGTCCAAGAAGGAAATATCTCATTAAAGAGTATCATAGCACTTTGCCAAGGCTTGTGAAATTTGTTCAAATCAAGATTTAGCTCATCTTTTCAACTTTAGCTTGGTTTCGGATTAGGATCTTCATCCCTTGAGAATCAAAGAAGTTGATTACACTTCTCCCACCAGAATTGTGTAACCCCTTTAAATAGTTCTCCCAAAGTCTGTTTTCCATTATCATTATGAGTTTCACAATACACTTCCAAATGTAATTTTGGATATTTTTATCCAACACTGTTCTCCTTTATTGTAATTTTTTATTATTATTGTAAAGTTTTGGAAGCATAATATTGTGAGATTTGGCCCGTCTCTCATAATGTCATTTTTTAAATTAAATTATAAGATCTGCAGTCAAAATCTGGTCATTTGTTTGAAAGATTTCTGTAAGTTGTTTTTTAGTATTTATTCTATTTATAGAATTATCACATGTTAGTTTGGGGAAAGTCACAGACGTTGTGTATTTTGTAGGAAAAGCAAATAAAATACAGCCACTTGCCAGTGGAAAAAAAAAAACATGTTCAGAGAAGAGCCAAGATTTCAGTTTAGCTGTCCTCACTCCAAGGTTAATGTCATTTAAAACCCTTCATTGATTGTTAGTCTTCCTGGCTTTAGTCTCCATGACGAACTCACCTTCCACTTTTCAGCAGAAAGCATTTTCCATGGCTTTTCAGTTGGGTGACTCCTGGCTCAGGCAGTGGGATGGACAAAAGCTAAGTCACACAACTGGGGGCCTCCCTAAACTGATAAAAGCATATTGCCTTCTGCCTGATGAAACAAGTGCATATCACTTACAGAGTGGCATGTAACAGTGCTAAAATAAAAATAAGGCACTTTGTGAGCCCCAAAGAGAGGCATGTATATATCTGAAAAAGTTAGGGAAGCTTTGAGGAACAGATAAAATCTTGAAGAGTCTGGAAGAAACAGGAAAGCACATGTAAAGGCAGAAGCTAAGCAGGCAGAAAAGAGAAAGAGAAGCAATATCTGCCTACTGCCAGGAGACCTCTCCGATGCGGCAAACCCAGCAACGAAGCACATTATTTCTTCTATGGTTAAGAAAATGAGGGATAGGAAGCAATATTCTAACATTCACAAATGCCAAGTACATACCAGACATTTTTGCTTTACGTTGTTTCAGCAAATTCTAACCATAAGAAAAAATTACAGAGGAAGAACTATTGCTGTTCCAGAAGAAGAAACGCAAGCCTCTGAGAAATTCAGCAAATTGTTTAAATGGATCACAATTCTAATCCAACAAATGTGGTGGCACAAACTAGGTGCTGGCGGGTTAAACACACCACACATTCACTAGCTCAATGTCACTATAGAGATAGAAAGGTAGTAGATTCTCAACATGTCTATATTCCAAACTAAGGAATAAACAAAAATCTTAACTTGTTGCTACTGATACTAGCTAGAAAGTGATTTGCTTGAGCTAAATTTTTTTAAAATATTCCAACAGCAACAGTTAGGGTGTGTTGCTGGTCAGAGATATACGTAAGATTGAGAAATCAATAAGGACAACTTTGTAAAAACCCAGGACAGATACGTTGAAGTTATGTCTGAGATAGAAGTAACACCGAGGGAGAAGAGCTTGCAAATGCGGAAACTTCTAAGGTGAAAAAAGAACCTGGTTTTCAATTTCATGTTGAAGGAAAAGAATGAGGAAAAGACAGAGTGATTTCCAAGGTCAGAGAACCAAAACCAAATGAAACTCAGAAATTGAAACAGGGACTCTCTTTTTACATGATTTTTATTGACTTTTCATTGACTTTACCCAAGTCACACTGCCCGCTGGAATGCAACTAGAAGGGAAGGCACAGCAGTTGAGATGCTGCCTGGAGGGTGTGCAGTCTACACTGGAGTGCCTGGTTCTAGCTCTGGCTCTTCTGCTCCTGCTCAAGGTGCATTCTTGCTAATGCACCATGAAAGGCAGTAGGTGACAGCTTCAAACACGTGGGTCCTTGCCACTACTTTGGAGTTTCCGGTTCCTAGATCGATCTAGTAGGCATCTGTAGAGTACACTAATGGGTGGAAAATCGCTCCCTCTCTCATCCTACCTCCTTCTTAGCTTCCTCCCTCTCTCTCTCTCTCTCTCCCTTTCAAAGAGGCTAAATAGAATTTTTTTTAATGAAAGAAGCAAGAATTGTAGATCATTAAAAAGTACATTTGAAAGCTTCATTATTCTGACATGAATTTGTACCACATTAAAAAAAAAACCACCTTTAAGTCTCGTAGGAACCTATTTGTGAGCCAAATAGGATCATACTATACATGTCTGTTTTTGTAGTATTCCCTTTATCTTTATCAGCCTCCTTTGCCATTGTGCTGACCCCAAAAGCATGCCGATTTTAACAACAATGTCAATATTTAATACTATTTACTAACATTCTGTGGATTAAATTGGATAATTTGAGTGAAGAGTCGTCACAAAGATTGACATTCCTTGGGTTTGTTAATCTTGAATAATCAAATACATACTGGAACCATCCTACATTTGGTTACTGTAACTGCGAGCTGCAATTTCTTCTTTTCTACAGTTGCTCTATCATTGGATTTCTTAATTTTGAGCTATTTCACAGATGCATAACACTGAAAGAATGAAAGTACAAATCCAAAATGACTTTGCCCATGCAGAGAAAGGATTTACAGCAAGGTCAATTAGACTTTGTGCTTAATCTTCATTCTTCCAAGAAGTGTGTTCTTTCCCTCCTTTTTTCCTGAAATGATCAGTTTCCTTCAGTCCTATTTATTCCTCTTTACTTTCTCTTCATTGCTTGCAAGTGCATGCAAGAGAAGCAATGAGCCAAGTGCTCTTTGCACATGTATACTTGTTCTCTTTTCGAAGAGGGCTGTGGGGTCTCTGTGATGTAGGAAGAGCTTGATTGGATGAGAGCCAGTTGTGCCATTAGACCTGGTTTTCTCAGTTTTTCTAAGTCCTCACTCTACTGTCAGGTCACCCATATCATATTATCGGGTCCTAGGATGAATATTTCTTTGTACATGGGCATGCATTTGAGTAATGAAGAGGATATGTGTGTGTACCCATGCATGTGGACACACACACACACATGCACGCGCTTCTGTACCTTTTCAGGTTGAAGAAAGACCTTTAATGCAAATGACCATTGCTGCAATCCCACTGCTTAGGAGCCTAAGTATTGCCCTGTTTTTTCAGTCTTTATTTTTCTTTCTTTTTTCCTTGGGTCCACATTGTGACAAAGCAATAATAAAATTCCATTGCGGTTGGAAAAGAAAGTTGTGACATGTTCAGGATCCTTAATGCCTTCTAGTCCCTCATTGTTTGCTGTTTGATTTTCCCCCCACACATCAACCCAAATAAATCATGCTGAATTATGTTGTGATTCAAACTGATTGTGGAACTAAGATGGTTTTTTGTAAACTTCAAATAACAAACTACAAAAACTATTGATTTCTCTCCATTTCTGAATTACATTTTTTTCTGTGCAAAGCTAATGCCGGGCTTCTCACTTCCCCCCAGTTAGTTTCTGGGTACTTGGTTAACTCTCGAGCAGTTAAATGTACCATGTAAAACGGGCTTCTCTGATTTCCTCTCTACCTTCAGCTTGCCCACCAGGGACATACAAACAGGAAGCTTCTCCAGGAGGCATCAACACGTGCATTCCGTGTCCTGATGAGAACCACACCTCTCCGCCTGGAAGTACGTCCCCCGAGGACTGCGTCTGCAAGGAGGGGTACCGGTCATCTGGCCAGACCTGCGAGGGTGAGTAGGAAATGTGGAAGCTGCTCTGACTCTGAGAGGAATAGTACCAGAGTTTGCATCTAGTTTATTCAGATAAAGCTTTAATCTGTCTCCCCAGTTGTGTATGGGTTACAGGAATGCTTGCTGTTATTATGTTACAGCATTTCTTATACCGAATGTTTCTGTAACTTCCTCCAGGAAGGAAGGAATGAGACTGTAGGAGTTAGATGTGGAATCAGAAAAACTTAGGCTTTTTTTTTTCTGATTTAAAAACTTGGCGGAGGATATTCCAAAATCAAAGGAGAAAACCACAATGTTAACAACAAATGAGTAAATTAGCTCATCTTAATCCAAGTGTAGTTTACTTAGTTTAAAAATATCTTTTCAGGGGTCAGTACTGTGGCATAGTGGGTTGAGGGGTTGAGGCTCGGTGAAGGGTTGGTTGAGTAATAGGGCATCAACCTCAGAAGGTCTCACTTTGTCCTTGTGGGATCTCATGTGGTTTGCATGGGAGATTTGTGGTGAAAAAGCAGGTCTGTACTCCCCAGCCACCCTGGCTTCCTGTCCTGTGCTATCATCTCCTGCATTGGAGGCAATTTCCTTGTGAAAGATTTTTTTCAAGACTTTCTTATTTGAAAGACAGAGCTATAGTCAAAGAGGAGAGAGAGAGAGAATTTTACATCTACTGGCTTACTCCCCAAATGGCCACAATGACTGGGACTAAGCTAGGCTGAGCACCTGCAGTGCCAGCATCCCATATGGGTGCAGGTTGGACTCCTGGCTTCTCCAATTCTAATGTGCCTGGGAAGGCACAGAAGAATGGCTTAAGTCCTTGGGCACCTGTACTCATATGGGAGACCTGGAAGAAGCTCCTGGTTCCCAACTTCAGCCTGGCTTAGTCCTAGTCATTGTGGTCGCCTGGGGAGTAAATCAGTGGATGGAAGAGTTTCTCTGTCTTTCTCCCCCACCCCCTCTCTCTTTCTGAGTGTATGTGTGTGTGTCTCACTGTCTGACTACAGCTCTGTAGACAAGTGCATGCCCACAAAGATATCATAATAATGTGTTTTAATGCCATGGGAAAGAGGTTCATTTTCAATGAAGTCTCAAGCAAAGAGAAAATGCTTTATAGCCAAAAGCTAACTGCACTTTTTGATTTTGTTTCTGTGAATGTTAGTTGTCCACTGCCCTGCCCTGAAGCCTCCTGAAAATGGTTACTTTATCCAAAACACTTGCAACAACCACTTCAATGCAGCCTGTGGGGTCCGCTGTCACCCCGGATTTGACCTCGTGGGAAGCAGCATCCTCCTGTGTCTACCCAATGGTTTGTGGTCCGGTTCAGAGAGCTCCTGCAGAGGTATGCAAACTGCCAGTTCACAATATTTACTGTTTTTCTTGATCTCTCTGTTTTAAGTGTTAATGGATCAGTCAGTTTTTTGTTACTTTTTATATTTCATGGACCACAGACCACACAAAAGGCAAAAATAAATTACAGGAAACAATGTCAGGACTACTAAGTTGGGTTGGCCGCATCGTAATAAACTATAGCCTTAATGTTCCTTTTATGCCTGAGAAGTCAATGCACAGGTTACCCAAACCTCAGCTTCTAAACGGGCAGGACAGGGTGCCAAGTTTTTGAAGTTACAATGGGGAATTTGATATAAACTGTCAGTGATTGTAGAGGATGAGAGCCATAGTACTATCCTGCAACAGGAACCGTTACCAACTTGTCATCTGTACACTTCACTCAGTAGAGAGCATGCTGTAGAAAGGGAAGAGCTGTCTGTGGTGAGAACCAGATAGGTCTGTTCAGGCCAGTAGAATTGAGAGAAGTAACACAGATAGTGCTTCAAATAGACCAAATGCAGAGGAGCAATGAACTGTATGGTATTCAGCTCAATAGCACCTGTTATCTCCAGGGCCTACTTTCCTAATTCTTGCACTGTAGCATAGCCAACTTTGTAAGGCTTTACGAGGCATCTTAAATGAAATAGAAACGAAAGTCTATCCATGTTGCAGCCAGAGAGAAGGAAGCCACGAACATGAGGATGCCCACCAGAATCCGCACCCTTGATGCGTCTTTGCACCAAGCCAAGATTTGAGATCTACTGATACAAAAAAATATTGTTTGCTAATTTTCTGAAGTTCAGACTTAATTGAGTATACTAATTGGCTTGTTTTCCAAACTATTTCCCTTTGAAATATTTTGACAATGCATTTAGCGTTTCCAAAGTTCCACACAACACCAAGTTTTCTAGATAAGAAGTTTTGTCTTCTGGTCCTCTCAAGGTTCCTCTACTCATACAGAGAGCCGCTCTACTCACCAGGCCAAGTCCGTATGTGAAGCCCCTGAGACAACCATTGCAGTCATCAGCTACTGATGCATTGTATAGATACTGATCTATAAAAATGCATTTGTCCAAAGTAGGTCCAAATACAGATGTTTATCTTCAAAAAGTCAAGGAAATAATGAAGAGAATGAACAAATTAATCAAAGAACACCAGATGAACAGTAGTAAAGAAAAATTAGAAACCATGGGGATTCTAAGTATAGAACCAGGATTCTAAGAGATGAGAGAAATCTAAGAACAAAAGGATTTATTAGAAGAAAAGCAAGTAGGGTTGATGATTGAGTGTATAGTGTTTAAGTCTGTATTAATAAATTAGAGTACAAATTAAAAACATTCATGTGAAAGTAGAAACAAATGTGAAAAAAAATTTAAAGGAAAAAGTGGCATAAGATTAATCATGAAAAAATACTCTTTTCATACTGGAAATCAAACGATAGACTACCATGAAGGAGAGGCACTGAGAAAGATCAAAGAATGTATCTCCAGGCTCAATTCTTGAAAACAAATGTGCACAACCAGAATGATCCCTATCCAGTGTAAAAATCACTAAATGAATGCCAGAAAAACATTATCAAAAACAAACCCACGTCTGGAAACAATCTTAGTGAAATTTCTGAGTGCCCTGGAAAAATAGAAAATTAAGTTTTTCATGGTTAGAAATAACAGTACCTACAAAGAGATTGGAAGGCTCTTGACCTTGTGTTAGTCATTCCAAATACTAGAAGATATGAATATAATTCTAGGATTCTAATGGGAAAGAATCAGTTCCTAGAGTTTTGATCACAGAGCAGCTCCTGTTTATGCTTCAGGATAAAGGAAAAGCAGTTTTCGTTCTTGCAGTCTCAAGTGGTAAAAAGCCAGGGACCATTGCTAAAAAATTTTAATTATAGAAAACCTATAAAATAATATTCCTGTGAAATCAGCATTTTAAGTTCAATGTAACATCTCTGCCCCTTCTTCCAAATGCCTTGGAGTAGACAATTTTGTCTTTCTACTTGATGGGTTTCAAAGAAGAGTGAGAAAGGCTTTAGGATGTAGCCTGACCCTGATCTCTAGCTCCATAATCTGTACCTATGCCTTGCATCCTACACTCATGTGACCAGAGTTGACCATCTCTTTTTGCAACCTGTTTCACAGCCTTGGCTGTCCCTCATCCTGGCTTTGATCTTGATTCTTATAAACCCTCCACTATGGCCAACATCTTGTGCCTGAAATAGAAGACCCCTGTGTGTACATCTGCAGACCTGTCTTCCTCTCACCCCCATTTCAGCCCTTCGGTTGGGTCGCCAGCTATGTCATGAAATAGGAGACTTATTTTATGAACTGGACACTACAAAGTTTTATAAGGAGCTTGGAAAAGATGGAAAAGTTGGAATATCAACTCCTGCTAGTCAATCTGCAAAATCAAACATCTTCAGTAGCTGGAGTAGAATCAACAAGGGGAAATCAGGCAATCCAATAGAAACTTCAATTCTGTGTGACCACATGCCATTGAGTCTGCAGTCATGAGCCCAACTGTGGACATGGGGTCAGTAGGATGAGTGGTAGAGTGTGGTAGGATTTCAGACCTGGTCCAGCTAAAACCCACTACTCATGGCTACATTGCCCATCACTAAATCTGACTGTAAGGACCACCACTCCACTTCTACCTTCTAATATTGAGTGTGGGTTCCACTTTGGACCAGCCCCAACATTGGCATTCTGGCAAATGTATTTTGTAGCTTAATCTATTTTTCAGAGAACAAACTGTCATACCAATATGGTTTGCATGCCTCCACCAACACTGATATTAAACTCTAAGTTCCATTATAACAGTACCAAGCGTTGATCCTTGGCAAGTGAGTAAGTCACATTAGCTTTGTCCTTGTGAATGTGTTGATGCCATTACTTGTTAGTTATCACAAGAATTGGTTCACTATCATTTGCACTCCACCCCATCTCTCTCTCTCTCTCTCTCTCTCTCTCTCTCTCTCTCTCTGTGTATTTCATATGTATGGTGCAATTAATATTCTGTTTACATTTTACCCATTTTGTGGCATCCTTTTAGAACAGCAGAAAATGGATTAATACTCTTCTATTGTTCATTAGCTTACCAGCTCTGCTACATTATAAATTCATGATGAACACAGAAATGTATCTTTAAGCTGCCCAATATTTTAATATTCTATTAGTAAATAAGAGTAAACAAATGAAATGTGAATAAAGGGAATAAATAAAGGAAATAGTAAATAAAGAAAAATGCTAAGTTAACAAATTCACAAATTGATTAATATATGTATAAATGTACATTGATAAATATCTGTATAAATAGCCTGCTTATATCACTTTCTATCCAAAAGCATGCTTGTTCATTTATGTAATTCCAATTGCTACTATAATGAAAATAAAATCCTTTTAATCAAAGTAAAGGAGACATAGAGGGCCATGGATCTTCATAAAATCCATTCATTTTCACCACCAAAGTTATTACCTAACTTTCTGGTACACAAATACATCCTGAATGAAGACAATCAGGCCCCTCTCATGGCACTGTTACTAGATTACAGATTTAATTACCTCAAATAATGTTCTATGAAACACATGATTACACCATATTTCAGTGAATCTAAAACCTTTTTGGGAAGCAGTGCCGTAGCAGAGCATGCTAAACCTCTACTGAGGCACCAGCATCCCATACAGGTATGGTTCATGTCCCAGCTGCTCCACTTCCAATCAGGCTCTCTGCTGATGGCCTGGGAGAGCAGGGAGGATGGTCCAAGGCCTTGAGCCCCTGCGTTCAAGTAGGACGTGCAGAAGAAGCTCCTGGTTGGCCCATTTTTTGCCATCAGGCAGTTAGGGAGTAAACCAGCAGATAGAAGATGTCTCTCTGTATCTCTCTGCCTTTCAAATAAAAATGAAATAAAAATTTGAAATTTTGTTCACATTTTAACATCTGTGAAATCAAGATGGACCCTAAATCAGTGGCAATAATTTTTCTGTTAGTGTTTTTATAATACATGAAATAATGTGCCTCATAATCAGGATATCTATGATTCAGTGAATATGGCATTTGGGCCTGGACTTACTTCTACTTCAGGGTGAGTAACGTGGATAAAGTGGTAGCTTTTATAGGTTAAATCTAAATCTAATCACAAGGACAGAGAGTACTTTTACTTTTTTTTTTCTTGAAAATCTAAAACTGAGGCAGACATGAATACCAGTAAATCATAAAACCCCTTACACATTTCATGTTCTGTCACTAATGATCTTGTGCATATTATATATTAGATAATTGATAATCTTGATTTCTGTTCCTTCTGAACACTCTTCATAAAGCACCTCTAGTCATTTTCAATTTTGTCTGAGCTGTGAATTTCTTTCTAAACAAGTTTTGTTTGTGGTTTTTTCAATGTTTACTTGCTAAGCCGCAATATCAGTCATGACGTTTTGTGACTTTTTTCCTAAAAAAATTTTCAAAAATGAGAATCCTACATTAAGCATCAGGTTTACCTTATATCCAATAATAATTACTGTCATAATAAAGGTATCAGTAGCATTTTTCTAGTTAGCGTTTAATATGAAAACCAAAGTAATTGCCTATGTTCTTCTACTAGCTTCTACACTGGAGCATTTTGTCAGAAGACTTAGTTTTTTCTAAGAAGAATAAATAAATATTTACAGATTGATTCAACATGAATGTAAGTCAAGGAATATTTATAACAGGATGTTTCAGCTTGTTGAAATGAAAAAGAATTTTATGTATCCAGTAAATAAAAAAGCATGCTCCTCCTATTAAAATTGTAATAAATGATCATACTTGAGTGGAAATGGATGTAACATGTAGAGGAATAAATGGGAGTTATTGCACATGCTTTATTTTCCCTAAGGAGCAATGAAAGATTATTAAAACCAACATTTGAGAAGCAATCTAACTTGTATCTGTGTAAGACACCAACTCTAATTTATTGCCAGGACTCTGGAGAGATATTGCAGATCCACTTTGTCTCAGACTAGAAAAGCAGATGTGGTTTCAGCGGTTTATTGATTTGGTTTTCCAGATTTTATCCAGTTTGATCGCAGGAATTAATCTTACTCAGCTTTTAGTGCCACCTGACACTTGACATTGGGCTATACCTGATAGACACATTTAATAAAAGTTGAGATGCAGAGGACAAAGTGTTCCTGCAGGTTTGATGGATACACTCAGTGAGAATTGAATTTACATGATGGATACACTCTAGAAAAAATGTAAATGCAGAAGGCAAAACATTTCCACTCATTTTTCATGACTTCCATCCAAACCATCCCAGGAGTAGAAGACAGTGGGGTCTCTGGTTTAACCTGTAACCTGATTCTTGACTTTTCTTGGTGGAGCAATCAATCCTAAAGTTCTACTTAAGGTAGTCAATACCTATGCACTGCTGACCAATGTAAATTGAAGGGATTCCTGCAGAACTGATCTGATCGTGACTTAAGTTGAATACAGACTTGAATGTTTTGCCTCCACTTTGTTTCATGCACTGTAAATGTAAACTTTCGTCACAAATAAAAATACATTATTGGTATGTCAAATTAACACACTCATAAAACTAACAAGCTCCAACAAAATCCTTGAGTTCCAAACGTTTTATTGAAAAAAAAAAAAAGGAAAAATCTTCAGAGCTTACTGTTGCTCCTTTAGTGTTGTCCAAGCGCTGTCGTTGAGCAAACCTGGTTTTTTTTCCCAGAGCTTGCTATTGTGCTTTGTACAGTGCTGAAATCTTGGAGGATTCATATTGATAAGCTTTCAAATGAATGTACTTGCATGTGCCTATGTTTTGGTGTAGTCGGCAGCTTCTTTTGCTATCTCTCTAACGGTGAAAGTATTCATGTCATCTGCAGAAGGATGTATTTTGCCTGGATCTGGCAGCCTCCCCTTCTGCTAGTTCATTTCCCTCTTTTACACTTTTCCTCTCTTTACTTTATACTCAACCCTGTCAAAAGACGAGACTACCACAATTATAGTTATAGATCTACCTGGCTTTTATTTGTGATTCATTCACCAAGGCAGCTGCCCTGGCATATTTCAAAAATGATGGTTGTTTGTTAGGTTTTTTCCCATTTTAAGAAAATTATTTTCTTGATGTGCAAACATTACTAAATTTAGAATTGTTGTTTTTGTCCTTATTTAATAAAGTGTTATCCAATTGTCTGCACTTTATACAGTGAGAACATGTCCCCATCTCCGCCAGCCCAAGCACGGGCGCATAAGCTGCTCTACAAGGGAAATGTCCTACAACACGACATGTTCACTTACCTGTGAAGAAGGGTACAGAATAGAAGGAAGCGCCAAGCTCACTTGTCAAGGACATGGCCAGTGGGATGGGCCAGAACCCCGATGTGTGGGTAAGTTTCTGGACTCACATGAGCTTTACAGACTCACTTTCCTACTGTGTTGACTCCAGTATGCTGTGAAGACCTGCAGCAAAGCTGTAGCATAACTCCTCTGCAGTGTCAAGTATCATCTGCATCTACTACACGCACACAAACAGCTTGTCTTATGCTTACCCATGGTAAAGTGTTTCTGAACTAGATATCATTTTACACATCGTGCAAGTTCATTACAACCTCACATAACAATGTGTTTTTTAAAAAAATGGTGACAAATTGGGTGGAATTTTTTTTTGCTTTTTTTGTTATATTATTTTTTATTGATCATATTGCATTATGTGACACTGTCTCATAGGCTCAGGGATTCCGCAACCCCTCCCCATAACCTCCCCCCATGGTGGATTCCTCCACCTTGTTGCAGTATTACAGTTCAAATTTAGTCAAGATTCTTTCATTGCAAGCATAGAGTCCAGTATCTTATTGTCCAGATAAATTCAATGGTTTCTTGGGGAGACCATCTCTGGTCTGAAAGCAGAGCTGGCAGAATATCATCCCAATCAATTGAAAGCCACAACATAACATCAACATCGATTTACAACATTATGGAATTAATTGTCATGGTATTGAGTAATAAATATGTTTAAAAATGCAAGTTAAGTAAATATTGTAAAATTTTCTTGCTTGGTTAATCATGAATTACCTTAACCTTGTTGAGAATTCTGAAACAGTGAGTCATAAAAATCCTTTCACTATTAAGCATGAACCAATAAAAAAGCTTCAAGAAAAGAAATCAGTAGAACAGATTATAAAGAAATAAAAGACATATTCACCCAAATGCTAAAAACAAGTGGAGGAAAGAGTGAGGGGAGAAGGCAGACAAAGAAGGAAAATCATCAATAATTTTGAAAGCCGATAGATAATTGTCTTACTTTATCAAGAGCCAACCATAAATAGAAGTCACACATAAACTCTATATTTATCTTTTAATAATATTTTTATTTTGAATTATGTGGTACAGTTTCATATAGACTGGGATTCTCTCCCAAACTCCCACCAACTGACAGATTTTTCCCATTTTACTACAATAGTGTGGACCTTTATAAGGAATCACAAGTCCACCAGTCTCTTATTTAAGTGTACCCCGACATTGCTGGTAGAGACAATGTCAGACAGTCCAGCATCCCATTGTCTACACATGTCCAACATATCATTGGGAATCCAACTTTCATCTGAATACAGGGATGCATGTTCCATTATTCCCCCACATCTGTATATGATAGACCCCAGTATTCCAGCACTATACACTTCCATCATTGAGAAGCTATGAAACAAGGTCAACAATTGGTATGAGTTAGAACACCCACAACAACAACAACAACAACAAATTACAGCACCATGAAAAAACACACCACTGAGTAGCCAACACATGAATGACAAAAAGGAAACACAAAAGTCTCTTGGGAGAAGTCTCTTGGAAACACAAAAGTCTCTTGGGTTTGTCTCTAATTCTCTGTAATGAGATGCAGAACAGGAAGTCTAGGCAAGCATATAACTCACACCAGACAAAAATAAAGGCAAACCAGTTTCTCTGGAAAATGAATTTGCTAATGAAAGAACCCATTTCTTGGATGAAGTGCAAAAGTGAAGTGCTTAGGAAGATATGAATTCCACCACTCACCTGCCAGATGACCTTTGAAAGGTTCCTACTCTGCTCCGTTTTCTGATTTTTAAATGGAGTAATAGCAATATTCCTCACTAAACAGAATTACAGAAGTCAAAACTCACTAACCATTCAGAATAATGCCTGCCATTTGTAGGTACTGAGTAGCTGTTAATTATTATTTCATAGGAAATACAGATTATAGATGTGAGCAGGGTCACCAGTAGAACCTCTACTACAGCAAGCACATGTGTGTGTGGGTACAGGCACGTATACACACATAGAAACACACCATGTATCCTATATGAAACTCTAGCCTTTATTTTTCATTATATCTTTCATTTACCCTAATCCATTTGCTCTTCATTTTCTATAATGAAGATTATATTAAGAGTTAGGCCCCTAATTATAATACAATGATTTTAGGAAAGTTATAAAATCTACTTATTATGTGTTACTTTAAAAGTGGCACAAGGGGGCCCGGCGCGGTGGCGCAAGTGGTTAAAGGTCCTCGCCTTGCACGCCCGGGATCCCATATGGGCGCCGGTTCTAATCCCGGCAGCCCCACTTCCCTTCCAGCTCCCTGCCTGTGGCCTGGGAAAGCAGTCGAGGACAGCCCAAAGCTTTGGGAACCTGCACCCGCGTGGGAGACCCGGAAGAGGCTCCTGGCTTCGGATCGGCATAGTATCGGCCCGTTGCGCTCACTTGGGGAGTGAATCATCGGACGGAAGATCTTCCTCTCTGTCTCTCCTCTCTGTATATCTGCCTTTCCAATGAAAAAATAATAAAAATAAATCTTTAAAATAAAAGTGGCACAAGGGCCCGGCGCAATGGCGCAGTGGTTAAGGTCCTAGCCTTGCATGCCCGGGATTCCATATGGGTGCCGGTTCTAATCCTGGCAGCCCTGCTTCCCATCCAGCAACCTGCCTGTGGCCTTGGGAAAGCAGTCGAGGACAGCCCAAAGCTTTGGGACCCTGCATCCGTGTGGGAGACCCGGAAGAGGCTCCTGGCTTCGGATCGGCGTAGTATCGGCCGTTGCACTAACTTGGGCAGTGAATCATCAGACAGAATATCTTCCTCTCTGTCTCTCCTCTCTGTATATCTGCCTTTCCAATAAAAATAAAATAAATCTCTAAAAAAAAGTGGCACAAAATATTCGTGAACTCTGATAAAATAGAGATTGCTAAAAATATCGTTTAATCCACGAAAGATGCAATTCAGTATATGATTTTATATTTCCAAGTCCAGATGTAACATTCTCCAAACCAAATGAATAAGTGAGAAAAGTCATTGATTTGTGACTTTTCCATTGTTTTCATGCACTGACAAAAGAACAAGAGGTAATTTAACAATATGAAGTTCAGAATTATTTATAATACCTCATACACTCAGTGTCACATACAATTCTCATTTAGCATTCTTATTGTCAATTCCAAGACATCACAGTTGTGTTTTTCTTGGGTAAAGTGAACCTGTGGCATTTTCAAATTGTGCAGCTTCAAATAACATGCTCTTATTTCTCTACAGAGCGCCACTGTTCCACCTTCCAGAAGCCCAAAGGTGTCATTGTTTCTCCCTCCAGCTGTGGCAAGCAACCAGCAAAACCTGGAACAGTTTGTCAGCTGAGCTGTCGCCAAGGGTTCCTATTATCTGGAGCCAGAGAAATGAGATGTACCACTGCTGGAAAATGGAATGCCAAAGTTCAGACAGCTGTGTGTAAAGGTAGGGCAGTGTATCCACCTGTTGCCTGTTGCTACTACAAAATACTTGAGGTTAAGTGCTTCAGTAAAAAGAAGAGGCCTGTATGCTATGCTGTTTTGGAGGCCCCAGGGCATGATACAGATGTGTACATACAATGGTGGGAATACATGTGTGGAAGAGTTCATACAACGGGCTTATAGAAGCCAGAGAATACATGACAAACTAGGTGTGTTCTTTCATGACAGCCTGTTCCCACCAGAAATAACCGTGAGACTATTTCAAGTCTATCTGAGGAGAGCATCTTCACTGACCTTATCACCTTCCCCTGGATTCCTCCTTTTAAAGGTCAACATTTGCCACCCTGGAGACCAATATTCCAACATGTGAACTTTTAGCACACACACCCAAAGCACATCCAGACCACAGCAGTCAAGTAAAAACCAAATTCCTGGATAATGACATCTGGATATGACGCCGTACTGTTTTTTTTTTCTTTTTTTATGATCTTTTCATAATTGATTAAGGCTCAAAGATCAAGGGTTACAGGAAAGTGGATAAGATCATTGTTTTACATTATCTGTTTTCTTTCGTGTATTTGTGGGGAAGGAGAGAGACAAAAGGATAAGCCACACCCACCCTACCAATCATCACAGGGCCCCCAATGTGTTGCATGCTCCAAGGGCACTGTTCAAGTGGCTTCAGCAGTTCAACTGTTTTGAATTGCTGCCAATCTTGCCATTCCAAGCATGATGAAATCTCTTCAGATGTCTGTTACATACCTATGACAAAATGATAGGTGCTACCTTAGTGTGCACTGCCAGTATTTCTGGTTCAAAATTATGGATTTATACAAATCCAATTAAAAGTAGTAGGACAATAATAGAAGAAATAAAAATAAGGATGCTAGCATAGGGCATTATATCAGTATGCTCTCAGGAGATCAAAGTCTTTGAGAAACTTCAAATCAATACAAAGCAGGTGAGACTGAGTTGATTTAGAAAAACTGAGAAGCTGTCAGCCCTCTGAAACCTACATTCCTTTGTATTCAAGAGAATTTTCCCTGCGTCAAGAATAAAGTGTTAAGAAAAAATGGAGGGAGAATTTTTAGAATTGAAAATACAATTTAAAAAAATTCTATGGGCCTGGCGCAGTGGCGCAGTGATCCCTTGCACGCCCAGGATCCCATATGGGTGCCGGTTCTATCCCGGCAGCCCCGCTTCCCTTCCAGCTCCCTGCCTGTGGCCCGGGAAAGCAGTTGAGGACGGCCCAAAGCTTTGGGACCCTGCACCCGCGTGGGAAACCCGGAAGAGGCTCCTGGCTTTGGACTGGCATAGCATTGGCCGTTGCACTCACTTGTGGAGTGAATCATTGGACAGAAGATCTTCCTCTCTGTCTCTCCTCTCTATATATCTGCCTTTCCAATAAAAATAAAATAAATCTTTAAAAAAAAATCTAAAGAGAAAGACACAGGAAAAATGGAATTGATATTGTTGAAAATATCATTAGTGATTTGGAGGACAAAATTTAGAACTCCCTCAGAACAGAGAATAAAAACCTAAGTATAAAAATTAACCCAAGATACAGGATATCAATGATTGCCAGAAGGCCTCAGTAACAATTTATTAAGGAATTCTTTTTAAAAATTGATTTATTTATTTGAAAAGTAGAGTAATAGAAAGAGAGTCAAACAGAGATCGTTTGTCTGCTAATTCAGTGCCTCCAAAATGCCACCACATTTAGGTCTGGGCCGGGCCAAAGTGCAGAGCGTCAAACTTGCTCCAGATCTCCCATATGGGTAGCAGGGATAGAAGCACTTGGATCATCTGCTGCTTTCCCGGGTGCATTAACAGGAAGCTGGGTAGAAGGTGTAGTAGCTGGGCCTCATTCTGGCTCTTCAGTGTGAAATGCCAGTCACTCATGGCAGGTCAACTTGCTGTGTCAAAACATAGGAGCCCAGTATAGTAGCCTGGCAGCTAAAGTCCTCACCTTGCATGCATCAGGATCCCATGTAGGTGCCTGTTTGTATCTCAGCTGTTTCACTTCCCAACCAGCTCCCTGCCTCTGGCTTGGGGAAGCAGTAGAAGATGGCCCAAAGCCTTGGGCCCCTGCACACACATGGGAGACCTGTAACAAACTCCTGGCTCCTGGCTTTGGATCAGCTCAGCTTTGATTGGTGTGGCCACTTGGGGAGTGAACCCCAGCAGATGAAGGATCTTTGTCTCTCCCTGACTTTCCAATAAAAGTAAATAAATATTTTTTAAAGGGTCTCCTAAAAGGAATACTAGAAGGAACAAATAAAGAACATGAAAGAAAAGCACATTTCTAACAGATTTCCCTGATCCAGAGAAAGGCTTAAACTTAAGAAAAAAAAAAGTCTTGTCAATATTTGGCTAGTGTAATCTCACTACTCCCTGTACAATCTCTGGAGGATAAAGTTAGAGACAATTTCTTTTAAGATTTATTTTATTTTTATTGGAAAGTCAGATATACAGAGAGGAGGAGAGACAGAGAAGAACTTCCGTTCGCTGAGTCACTCCCCAAGTGGCCACAACGGCCGGAAGTGCACCAATCCAAAGCCAGGAGCCTCCTCCCCGTCTCCCACACTGGTGTAGGATCCCAAGGCTTTGGACCATCCTCGACTGTTTTCCCAGGCCACAAGCAGGGAGCTGGATGGGAAGTGGGGCTGCTGGGATTAGTACCAGCACCCATATGGGATCCCAGCATGTGCAAGGTGAGGCCCTTAGCCTCTAGGCTTCTACGCTGGACCTGGCAATTTTCAATAGATTTCCAGAAGGAAAGAGAGCATGTGCAATGAAAACAAGAGTCAGATTCACATTACCCTTGTCATTTGAAAGTCTAAAATCTAGAAAAAATGCAATATATCTATAGAATATGAAGGGAAAAATAAATACAAACTTTACATTCCAAATCTAATCAAACTGTCACTTAATAGATACATAGGAAATCATTGACTTTTTAAGGAAGATTTTGTTTTAGGGACTAGCGTTGCATTCCAGCAGGTTTAAGCACTACCTACCACACTGGCATCTCATGTGGATGCTGGTATAAGTTCATAGGTAATACACTACTCAGTATAAACTGCTCTAAAGTAATATATACACTGTATGTATTTAGGAAATATAAATTGTTTTATATCATATAATAAAAACTCAGTCCTACTATGATTTATGTGAATATCTAATGTTACCACCTTGAATTTTTAAAAAGACAGTGCAAACTTTCCACCATAAACAATATCACTGGCTTGAAGTTGTTGCTTGTTTTGACACATTATTTTAGTGCCACCAACCAAGTATACTTGATAGCCATGTGTTCAAGTATAGCTCCTACCTGCCATGATCAACCTTTGTTTTTCTGTTTATCTCTTTTACTTCACCAAGTCCCTATTATGTGCCAGGCACCATGCGAGACAATGAGATAAGAAACATCTTTAAATTTCTATGGAATGAGAAAGTTTCATTTTACAGTGATGTGCTGTCATAGTAGGAAAAGCCACCACTTGCAACCCTGGCATCCCCTATAGGCACTGGTCCTGGCTGCTCCACTTCCAATTCAACTGCTTAGGCCCCTGTATCCACAAGAGACAACGAGAAGAATCTCTTGGTTCCTGGCATCTTTGGGCTTTATTTCACACCTTGTAGTCAGGCCATTAAGGGAGTGAAAAAAAGGATGCTGGGACTTTCATGTCCTGCTAGTAATTCCATGAGGACAGCGAATCCCAGTAGGAGACTTCAAGAAAAGAAGCTAGAGTATCAGCAAGCACCAATTCAGGACAGGCCTCAAAACCACACCAAAATAAATTACTGGCTAGGTGTTTGTGTATTCCAACTCAATTGACAATCATATGTGAAAAAACATGCAACAAAAAAGTGTTGTTGTAGCTGTAGTTTTTACTTCCTTTTTAAATGACTTAGAATCGCATGTTACTGATGAACCAATTTGTGTATTTTCTGAGTCAGATGTGGAGGTTCCACAAATCAACTGTCCTAAGGACATAGAGGTGAAGACCCAGGAGCAGCAAGACTCGGCCAATGTTACCTGGCAGGTTCCCACAGCAAAGGATAACTCTGGGGAAAAGGTAATCTTTGTACAAATGTTTGCATACTCATTCAAATGGATGCTGAAAGTACTGCCGATGTGTGTGTGTGATGGGCAAAAGAATGCTATAGATACAAGTTTATTCATAAATGTCAGTGCCTTACGTGAGAGAAGACTGATCAGTGCTGAGTTTTAAATTAGGAATCTCAGGGATCTCTATATGATTTCCAACATATTTTCACTTATTATTATGTATAGCCCTTGCTTATTTACGCACCTTTTTTTGTATGGCTTGAGGAAATCATTCATTATGCTAGGAAAAGAGTTTCCTTAAGAATTTGTTTGCCTGGCACACACACTGTTAGTGTTCACATGTGTGAACATGCCTTTCAGTAGTGTGCTGTTTGTACATCTGCGTGTAAGTACACTGCTCTGTGAGATGTACCAGCCAGCAGATATCATGGGAGTAGTACAAAGAAAGCTATTGTGATAATTGCATTAAATAACATTGCTGTTGAGGTGGCTTTTAAACCTGTTATTCAAAGAGCCAATGGGGCCTTATGAGCTACAGGTGCACAGTTGGTGTGTGTCATAAGCAGTGTCTTGTGTGTGATGTTTCCAGGATGTTGTTCTACTACTGCTGCTTCTTTTTTTCCTCTTGTCTTTCTCCTGAGGACATTAAGTGAAGCAATGTATTGCAGGATTTGATGAGAATTCACACAAAATGCAGCACCTACATGTACATTGATACAGAAGCTGTGTCTTTCACTTTCTGAAAAAAACAAGCCCAATCACCATCAAGCAAAAAGAAACAAATGTTTCTTCATTCCCATTGCCTGCAGCTACCAAGAGTCAGTCACATATACACCTGTCCCAGGACTGAGTTATTCAAAATTATCCTGCTTTTCCAATCACAGCCTTCCTTTTGCATTCATTCACTCCTTCCCTAAATATCATGGAGCCCAAATTCTATCCATTGCCTGGCCTCAATTCTCCAACCTGGTAATTTGCTTTTTGGTTACTCTGCTCAAATATTTTAACTTCTACACCGTAAGATAGCTGGAAGAACAGGGGATTTACTGTAATACATTGTATCCCAGGATGTGTATTTTGGAAAATCTCTGTATATATGATAGGAATGGATCCAAAGAGGCAACATGTCCTAAGAAAGCAAGGCATGCTCTGGTATATGTTCTGCATACTATACATGATCATAAAATACTAAACAACTGCCTGCATGAGAAACCTATGAGATATTTATTTTCTGTAATATTCATAAATACAAGCATTAAGTGAAAGAGAGTCCCTCATTCAAACAGAATCACATAAGGGCATCTCAAGAGAAAGCTAGATGCTCTAGGCATCTACACATTAGCATCAGAGTATACTTAGGATGTCTCTGAAATGGATAAGAATTCTAGTGTAGGTGTACAGATTAAGGGGAGTGCTAACACTTAGGAAATGAGCAGGAGTCAGGCATTTGGCATAGTAGTCAAGCCATTGCTTAAGATGCCCTCCTCCCACATTGGAAAACCTGGGATCAAATCCCAGCTTGGTTCTTTATTCCATTTCCTGCTAATGCACACGCTGGTCACCCTGGTATACAATAGACTGTGACTCAAGTAGTTGTGTCCTTGCCACCTGTATGAGAGACTTAGATTAAGTTCTACCTTCCCAACTTGGCCTAATCCTGACTGTTGCGAAGATTTGGGTAATGGATCAGTGAATGGGAATCTCTCTCTCCTCTCTCTCTTTCTCTCCTATGCTCACTCTCTCATTCTCTTTCTCTTTTTAAGATAAATAAGACAACATTCTTAAAAAGAAATAGACATTTCGCCTAGCCATTCAAATAGCCCATCCCACACTGAAATATCTGGATTCAGTTCCCAGTTCCAGCTGTCAACTGCTGACAGTGGCAATCATAGGAGACAGCAGGTGATGAGTGATTGGGTGCCTGCAACCCAAATTGAAGAATGCATGTATCCCCAGCTGTAGGCTTCTGCCCATCCCAGCTCCAGTCATTCCAGACATAGGCAAGTTGAGGATGATTTTATGTCATAGTGTTCTATCATTGTCAAATTCTGGGAAAGAAATAAAGAAAGCAATCCTGTAGAGTCATTGAATGTTTAAGACCATTTGCAAAATAAAGCTACTAGAACCAGAAAAATTCTGGGGGACATAAACACAGTGACCATTAGCTGCCGATTAAGGAAATAGGCAAACAGATCCTGACAATCAATTGAGAACCTGCCTGATTTTATGAACCTCACCCTTGACTAAAGGCTGAAGGCAGAGAAGATGTGCATTGCTCTTGTCCTTGGGCAGCCGAGCTGGAGGCATGAAGTCACATACTCCTTCTGGAAGCTCTGGAGAGGATCCACTTTTTGACTTTCCCAGTTCCTACGGTTGCAACATTCCTTGGGCCATGGCTGTATCACTTTGACTTCTACTTCCATCCGTCACTACATCTTTTTCTACACTTGATCTTAGCCAACAGACCAAGAAGCAATACTACTTTTTTCTTTTCAACCTGCTTGTCCTTTCTCGCTCACGGGAAGGTTCTTGTGAAAACATGTAGCCCATCTTCTAGTTCTACCTTCTAAGTCTGTATTGCCAGTGATATAAAATATTCACAGGTCAGGAATTAGGACATGAGCAGCTTTGGGGACCATCTTTCACTCCAACACAAGGGAGAAGAACCTGAATGTGCTAAAAGAATAGAAACCAGACACAAATGATCATCTCCTCTTTTCCTTTTATATCCCAGTTCTCCATCTGTGTATTGTTCCTGGTTGCAAGGAAACCAGACACAAAGCAAAATGAAAAGATTAAACATAATGAGAAAGTTTTGAACTTTGAGAGTACGGATGAAACTTTGAAAGAGTTTTTCAGAGGATAAAAGAGAGGAAGTCAAATAAATACACTGGGCTTGTAACATTGGCAACCCACTTGAATTAGACGACGGAACTCAGAGAGAAAAAATGGGCACTGTCATGTAGTTTCGGTAGAAGTAATATGATGCTTTAGCACAGGCATGAAAAACAAATAGGCAATTGGGTTTCCCAACAAAGTGAAATATTGAGGGAGAAACATAGAAGGAAGGCAGTCTAGACCTATGGCAATGAACAGATTTCTTGTAATAATGACTCAAGAAGTCAAAACAGGAGAATAAGTGAAGGGAAAGAACTGACATGCTACCATGAGCATCTTTGCTCCAAGTCTTTCCCTTTATCTCTTCTTATTATCCAAGACAGTCTCCGAATAAGGAGATTTCTTGGAGAGAAAAGCAGCATGCAGAATTATGTGCAGAATAGGTTCAAAACCATGGTTGTGTCACTCACTCGCTTTGAACAGTCTGAACCCAGACAGGTACCAACAGAAAGTAACACTTCTTCTAGTCACATGCTTTGGTTACTATCGCATACACAATTTCTGTAAATTTAAACCCATTTTCAGGGATGAGAAAGAGAATCTTTCAAAACAAAAATCTAAACAAAAACTGTGGGACATGGAGAGGGAGGACTGGGAGTTCTTTTGGGCCCTTCTATGGCACCTGTAGCTCTGTCTCTTTTCTCTGTAGGGCCAAGGCAACTGTGACTAGTAAAATAATGGCCACCCCAAAAATATCCTTATCCTAATCCGTGAAAATTGTGAACATGTTTCCTTATGCAGCTCAAGTTTTACTTTGCAGAAGTGGAGTTTTATTTTCCACATGAGGAGATCAGCCGGCACTCTAGGGAAAGCCAGTTAAATCAACATTGATCCTCAATAACCAAACTCTTGTTAAAGGCAGATGCTAGGAGAGGAAAAAGGCCAGAAACACTTGATGTGAAAATGACTCAGCCACACTTTGCAAACCTTAAATTTAGAGACCCAGGGCCCTGAAGATAGGCTCTAGAGGTCAACAAAGGCAAGGAAAGTGATTTTTCCCCCAGGGTATCTAGGAAGGAACTCAACTCTGCTAACACTTTGATTTTTAACTCTTTGAGCCCAGCAGTATCTGGTTAACAGTTCTAAAGGTAGTAAAGTTGTATTGTTTTATGCTGCTGAATTTGTAGGAATCAGGACAACAGGAAACAAGCATCACAAGGCAGCAGTAGTTCTGAGGGAAGTTTCTAAAGTCTTGAAGTTGCTACTGCTGTGTTCTTCTCTGTGTAATGCTAGGAAATACTGAAAGCAATCCCTCTGATATTGATTCTTGCATCCAGTTTATACCATGATTCTGCAGAAAACTCAACAGGATCCGCCTCTGCCCTCCATACAGCTCCCCAAGATACATAGTAGAAGGAACCCTCTGTCCATCCTCTCAGCTCTGGGCCTTCTGGCCTCTCCCTTCACCTCCAGGATGGAGCACAAGCAGAAAGGCTCAAGTACGGCTGTCATTTTCAATGGTCTACATGCCAAAGATGGGAGTGAAGGTTCCCCCAGGGCAAGAGCATTCATAATCCAAGTCTGTTTAAACAGAACTCGTATTTCAGCATTGCTATATGCCCCTAACCTTCAAGGGGTGGGTGCTGGCCTCACTCAATGTCCTTTCCACAGGCCCCTCCTTGCCTTGGTGCCTACTGCTTTGTGAGTAGTGATCTGAAGCCAGTCATATGATTGGAAGTAGTCTCCATCACCTTTCTTTGCTCAGTGGAGAACGGCAGGAGAAGCCAAACATTCTGCCCAATAATTCAGTTATCCTCTTTGCACATTTCTCTACTAAGAAAGGACACTAAGGATGTAGAACTAGTTCAACCACTACAACAAAAGCCTGTTGGTGATTTGTTCATTCTTAGAGTTCCCTTTAGAAAATGGGATTATTTCAGCTCCATGCTCTTTGACATCACGACTAAGATACAATTATATAAGGAAACAGTGTGCTAGCATTTCAATAATGTTTTAAAAACATATAGAACCCCATAATTACCTAATTATCAATGCAAAAAGTAACAGCATGCATTGAGTCTTCTCCAGGTAAAAATGACAAATTATCAATTTAGCTTTTGAGCCACTTTAAATATTTATAATCTTGGATTTTTATGTTAATGAACAACTCGGTAAGTATTACTCTTTATATTATGCATATTCCCTTTCCAAAATTGTAGTCTGCTTTGTAACCACATTTATCACAACTTTTTGGATTAAGTCTGTGTTTATGTATTTTTGGTATTTGCTGGCAGTTCTTTCATACTATGACTTTCACCACTAATGAGGGATTTAAGTGATTCATCACATGTTTGGTATGCTCTAAATTCTTTCTTTTCAGAAAATGTTATATGGTTTGGCATATTTCCATAGCCTTGGCATGTACAAAAATATCTCATTTCCACACTCACATTTGATGACTAAGATGACATAATCACATTATTCTCCCCTTTTAGAAAATCCTTCTTATTCTGAATGGTGTGCAGATCTCATTATACGAGAAATGATCTAAGATTTGTTTAACGGCAGATTTTCATTCATTTGGTACATCAAAACATCTTCCATATCTGCAAAGTACTCGTTTCTTCAACTCAAAATTTTCCTTTGTAACTTACTCTTCCTATTCCATTCATCCTATTTTCTTCTACAAAACAGCAATTTATTCATGTATCTCTATTTCTTCTATTTCTTAACTTTTTCCATTTTTGAACTCTTAGAATTTGCTTTGTTCTCTGAATCCTTTAAATTTACTTTGCATTTCAGTTTTTTTTAACTAAATGAAACATACATACATACATGCCATATTTAGGAAATACAATGCTATGAGTATGTAGTATTATTAAACAAAGATCCTCATTTCTAAAGCTAATTTATTTTATTATTTCAGGATACAGTTCTACAGACAAAGATTCTACTTTCAATACAGTATAAAATATATATTGTTTTGTTATATATGTGATTAAGATAAATGAAAATATATGATAAAACCAAAACATTGACAAAAATAAAATCAGACTGAAATATATTTCATGTTTGTAGATGGACAAGCTAAAGAACAATTCGTGCCAATGTCAATGTCAGCAGAATATTTTGTAGTTTGACAAAAATAATTCTAAAGTATGAAGAAGAATGTACGGTATTTTGATAAGAATTAGAAAAAAATCTATCAGCAATATAACTACCTTATAGATCAAAAATAAAACATTTCAAAGTGGAAAAATAATGAATATGTGAGTTTAAATACCTTATAATCATTGTAGTCATAAATTATATCCTCTACTAAAATATCTCCTAATTATTTTTTAAAATCTGTTCATGGGGGGGGGGGGAATAAAGGAACTTCTGTTTGCTGGTTTACTACCCGAAATGCCCTGAACAACTGGCGATAGGCTAGGGCCAGAGTTAGGCCCTAAGGATACGATCCCGTTCTACAACATGAAGGATGGTCACCTGTTTTCTGGAGTTATCACTGTTGTCTCTCAGATGCCACTTTGGCAAGACGCTGGAATCAGGAACTGGACCTTGGAAATGAACCCAGACACTCGAATATGGGATTCAGGTGTCTCAGCAGGCATCTTAACTATGAAACAAACACCCACTTCTCCAAGTTCTTTTAAAATCCTTAAGATTGCCACCAAATATATTTTAATGCCTATCAAATCACTTTCTGAATGTCTTTCTAAGCTTGTTTGAAATATTTTTTTTTTAAAAATTGCAATGGCAAACAAATATGCCTGACTACACAAATATTTAAAGTTAGCATTAGAAATTCTGAATTAATGGACAAATGCCAGAGAAAACCACTGATCTTGTCAGAGGTTAAAATGAACATTGTATAACATAATAATGTAAATTTTTAGTGCATTTACAATTTCCAAATGAATGAAGAAAACCAACATGTAATTCCAAAAGGAGAAAGATATAATATCATGTAAACATATGCAACTATAATCTTAGCAGAAAGCACTGAGAAGCCATGAAATGAATAGGACCTGGTGTCACAGTCTTGACTCACTCAAAAGTGATGAAGATTTATACACACTGGTGGACTTTGATAGTGACATTTTCAAATACTGCTAATGGAATGCAAATTGTTAGCATACTTTGGGAAAGAAATGTTTTATTATCTGTGAATAAAATGTTAGTGGCTTGAATTTAACAATTCTTTTCATGAAGCCTTAAAGGAATGATCATTTTTAAATTAGTTATGTAAAACTGCTCCCCTCAGTGCTATGTACAATGGTAAGACCGGAAACCAATTGGATATCCTTCAACAATAAAAGAAATGGTCATGTATTTTTCTATATAGCATTATGAAGACATTCAGGTTCTAAAAATTGTAAGAGCATGAAAAAATGTTTGATATTGTGTTTTAAAAATAGGAACAATAATTCTCATGTATGCCAGCTCTATCAGCTTTGTAAATAGAATAGTATGGAAAGAATTACATTGCAAGGCTATGCTTGATAGTTTGACCTATTCTATATGATATATCACATTAGTTAAAAAACATTATTAATATATAAATCAAAAACAGTAAATGTGCTGTTAGCATCAACCTTAACTTTCAAAATATTTACCTCCAAAAGGTTTCCATCCGCGTTTATCCAGCTTACACCCCACCTTATCATTTCCCAATTGGAGATGTTGCTATCACTTACACAGCAATTGACTCAGCCGGCAACCAAGCAAGCTGTACTTTTCATATCAAAGTTATTGGTAAGTCTTCTTCAAATCATCTGGGTGGGTTTGCAAAAATAACCCAGGACCTAAGGGACTTTGCTTCTCCTTTATCTTCAACTGCTTCTTTTCATGTTTCTTCCTCCTGGCTTTGCAACCTGCTCAAGTCGCCCCCTCTTTGAAGTCTGCACGCCCTTTAACTGTCGCTGCATCTCTGATGTCCTCCCATATGAGCCTTTTGAAGAGTTCCCAGGGACTGACATCCTTTATTCTTCCTTCTATTGATTCTCAAAGTCACCGACGTGTGGCATCTGTTCCCTTCACTGGTATTAACTACTATCATCAAGGTCACCTTTCCTCTAACTGCACTTGTTTCCGGGCTTATTTCACATACTATTTCCGCAGATTTTACAGGATTAACCACATTTTCTTACCAAAACTTTCTTCAATCCCTTGCTTCTCCAACCTAGTCCATCCTGTTTTGTCCCATTTGACTCATCTATGCTTCTTCATCTCTTTCTCAGGCTCTTCTTCTGAAGTGTTTCTCTAATGGAATGGCAAGCAGGAAGGAAAGATGAGAAATGAGCATTTGGGATATGTGATTAGCTTAGTAGTCGAGATCTCAATTTCCCACATTGGAGTCCCTGGGTTTGGTTCCCTGCTCTAGCTGCTGACTCCAGCTTCCTGCTAAAGCGAATCCTGGGAGGTAACAGTGATGTCTAAAGGAAATTGATTCCTGTCACCAATGTGGGAGATTTGGATTGAGTTACTGGCGCTCAACATCAGACAGACTGACCCTGGCACTGCAGGTGTTTGAGGAATAGACCAACGGATGGGAAACCTGTTTATCTGTCTCTCTCAATCTATGTCGCATGACCACTTAAATAAATAACAAAAAATAAATAATTTGACATTTGTCCATGATGCTTAGCTAAAATATAAATCTATATATTCTCACAGGTACAACCCATCTGATTTCAGAGTGTGTATCTTCAATATATTATTCTTGATGCTTGACTCTAACTTACTGGCTTAATGACCTCAGACAAGTTCTCTAAGTTTGTCTTGAGATTCCTCACATATGGGCCCGGCACAATGGAGCAGTGGTTAATGTCCTAGCCTAGCCCCGCTTCCCGTCCAGCTCCCTGCCTGTGGCCCGGGAAAGCAGTCAAGGACAGCCCAAAGCTTTGGGACCCTGCACCCACTTGGGTGACCCAGAAGAGCTCCTGGCTCCCTGCTCCCGGCTTCTGATCGGCATAGCATTGGCCATTGTGCTCACTTGGGGAGTGAATCATCAGACGAAAGATCTTCCTCTCTGTCTCTCCTCCTCTCTGTATATCTGACTTTCCAATAAATAAATAAATCTTAAAAATAAAGATTCCTCACATATAACATCAGAAAAAGAATATTTTTTATATCTCCATTAAACTACAGGGTATAGGTTAAGAATATTTAAATATGTAAAATCCATATCTGTGTTGAAATTACAATCCCAATGACTCAGTCTGGGATTTGAAACCTGGTGCCAGCCCTATCATTTATTGGCCCTACTTGACACTTCATGTAAGAGGATTGTCATGGGCGTGACTGGAGTTGGAACATTTCATTCTTTCAACTTTCTAGTGAGATTCTCTTTATTTCCAAATAGGTCAGCTAACAAATTCAGTTGTTGCCACATGCACAATTACCTTTCACACAACTGTATTCGTGACAACGTTAAGAATTTGATATTTGTTTTTCAACAGACAGCAGTTTCACAAACTCTTACTTTTCGTGCCTTTATTCATTTATTTGACAGACTGAGTGACGTAGAAAGAAAGTGGGAGAGAGAGATCTTCCATCTGCACTTCTCTGCCCTTATGAGCTCAGCAGCAGGGAATTGCTAAACCAAAGGCAGGATCCAGGAGCTCCATGCTAATCTTCCACATGGGTGGAAGGACCCCAAGGACATGGGCTCTCTTCTGCTGCCTCCCCAGGCATAGTAAAAGTAAGCTGGGCTGAAAGCAGATGACCCAGGACTCAAACAATTACTCTAATGTGAGATGTAGCATGGCAAAACAGCAATTTAACCTGCACCACAGCACCAGCCTACTATCTTTTGATGTTAGAATCAGGGATAACATCTACCTTATCAGCAGAGCAGGGACAGGGTCAAGGTCCTCAGCCAACACAAGCAACTTTGCTTCCTGCAACACCTCTCATCATTTTTGAAGACTGGTTATGACTGCTTTGACTTCCTGTCTTTCAGATGTAGAGCCACCTGCCATAGACCGGTGCCGATCTCCACCTCCAATGCAGCTCTCAGAGAAGGAGCAGGTTGTAAGATGGGATGAGCCTCAGTTCTCTGACAACTCTGGTGAGAAGCTAAGGCTTTTGTTATCAGCATGAAAACGTTGACTTGTATTAATTTTTTTCAAAAAAATATTTCTAAAAGCATAAAAAATAATTGCCAACTGTCTAGGAAAAATAATTATACTAGGTTATATGTTTTAATCTTAGGATAATTAAGTGTAATTTAACATTACAGATTGCCCTTCTTTCAGTGATCAGTGAATACTTATTAAACCCGTACTAGGTATTTTACATGAAGTCGTGCTAATGGATTTATTGGATCTCTGAGGTTATGTTGCCCTGGAAATAGAAACTGTGCATTCTACTGGCATTTGTATTATAGTTCTCTGAATACATAGTATTATTAAACATCTGTCAAATAAATTATGAAACATCATAGGAAAATAGAAAAAAATTGAACAAACATAATTGGATTTCATTGTGATGGTTTGGCCAAAACCCAGAAAACAATAATAAAATGTAATTTAACTATATTTCTTCAACTTTGAAAGTTCAAATGGACTGAGTTATTGAAAGAAAATTATTTGCTTAGGAAAAATACCTTAATTTTATGGGGTATTGAGTCCTTGATTTCAATGCTATAGAAATATACTGAATCTTTGTTTCCTACTAGGGGACAAATCAGTTTGACTAGAATGCCCAACTTTTTGCATAAATAGAAAAGGAAATGTGAAATAAGAGGATAACAAACTGTGGACAAAATAACCTTAAAATGGCTCCGTTTTTTTCTTTTCTAGGAGCTGAATTGACCATCACAAGAACTCACACACAAGGTGACCCTTTCCCTCCTGGAGAGACCATAGTGCGTTATACAGCCACTGACCCCTCGGGCAATAACAGGACCTGTGACATTCACGTTGTCATTAAAGGTATTCTCAGCTACTCAAAATACAGTTGACATCTGCTATATGTGATTACTATAATACTCTCTCAATGAAATAGACTATAGGCACCATACTTAAAATGTGGAATACTGGTGGAAAGTATTTAAGTATGCAATTGTCATTCCCTTATTTAATGATAAATAGAAATAGTTCTATGATTGCTGTTATTGAGCAATTGATTAACATAATCTCTAGATTTACAGAGTGTCTTAATCATGATCCTGTTTTAAATGATGGAGGAGACTGTGAAAATATGTTTGTTACATAGTGCTATCCATTTGTATTTGCACTAGAGGAATTCCAAATTTAACAACCCCAAATCAAAATAAAATATACAAAACCTCCAGTTACACATAGGTGCAGATTTTAGTATATCCCTATTGAGCAACCAAAAATCAGACATTATTGCTCTTCCATGCTAAGGACTTAGTGTGACAAGATACCTCAAAGTAGTGGTAGCAAACAATATTCCTTTGCAAAATTCAGCTTATATTCCTGGAATTTAAATTATACTTTTCATTGTATCGTATATTAAAATGCTATTCGTTTTACATAGGCTCTCCCTGTGAGGTTCCATTCACACCTATAAATGGAGATTTCATATGTGCTCAGGATGAGAATGGAGTTAACTGCACTTTAAGATGCTTGGAGGGCTATGATTTCACAGAAGGGTCCACTGAAAAGTATTACTGTGCTTATGAAGATGGCATCTGGAGACCACCATATTCCACTGAATGGCCAGACTGTGCTAGTAAGTCATCCTTAGGCATTGTGTCCCTTCTGTGTATGTGAATGTGGAGTGTGTGTGTGTGTGTGTGTGTGTGTGTGTGTGTGTGTGCGTGTGTATTTCTGAATATTAAGGTATTGAAGTGCCATAAATAAGAACTAGTGGAAAACTGTGTCATGCCTGGATTGCTGTTAGGACAAGATTCCAAATAATTGAGAACCATCTTGGACCTCCTGTCTTTTACCAGAAACCTCTCCAAAGACAGGTCAGTATGTAGTTCTTATCCTGTAAACATGGACTTAAATCCTCGAACTCCAAAAGGGTTTATTGAATGCTGCATGTATGGTGAAACACAATAAATCAGTCACATTCCATTTAGATTTGATGCACGTTTAGAGTGATTCTATAATCCTGCATGTATTTTTATAAATACAATACAATAAATATTTTAACCTAGGATAAATAAAGATTCTCCTGAATGAATCTTTGATCCAGCATCATAAGTAGAGTCAAGTGCCCAGGTCTTGGAAAAAAAAGTAAAGTCCGCTTATTTGAGATATTTTTCCCCAAAATTTTGGGAGTACATAGAAGCAATAACACTCACCTCAGTCTCACACATTGAACAGTAGGCTACAGAGCATTATCTCTAAATCCAAGGACAGATCTGTCTCCATGGAAACCATCCTTTCAGGAAATACGATTGCTTAGTATTTAGAAGCTTTCCAATGTCTCTTGGTTTGAAATATCATTATATGTGCTTTCATTTTATGTAAAACATAACTGACTCAACCAAGTTAAACAATTCTCAGGAATGTATGCACATATATTTTATATCTCCTTTTCCCTAAAATACATTTTCATATGACCAGAAGGGAAAGAATGATCTCAAGAAACACACTCATGATCAGATAACTACTACTTGGCCCATGAATCATTTTGACCAACTAAATCCTCACATAGTTCCCTTCACTGTCATCCCTTGCTTTCATAACAGTCTCACCGATCATGTCAGAATTCAGGTACTGTTGCCATTTTCCATAGACAGTTAGACCTTTGTTTTTGAAAACACCAATGAGACCTGCTTTGTCCATTATTTTTCAGTAAAACGTTTTGCAAACCATGGGTTTAAGTCCTTTGAGATGCTGTACAGAGCTACTCGGTGTGATGACACAGACCTGTTAAAGAAGTTTTCTGATGCATTTGAAACAACCCTGGGGAAAATGGTATGTCAGAAAGATTCCTCTATTGTATGTCATTTTCTGATTATTTATTTTAATCATTGGAGATTGAGGGAGAGTGCCATCTGATGGTTTACTCCTCCGATACTCACAATAGGCAAGACAGGGTTTGTGCCCAACCTGGCATCTGGGAACAGCTACATCTTCCTTATAAGACATGCAGCTGTTTGAGCCATCCCTGATGTTTGCCAGGTTCTGTGTAAGCAGGAAGCTAAAGTGAGAAGTCAAGTCAGGACTCAAACCCAGGTACTCTAATATGGGATTCTTTCTGCATGAAGATAAATTTATTTTTAATTTCAATTTTCTAAAAGCTTTTTGTGTCCTTTCACGTGTATATGCCTAAGAGATTGTTACCACCTTTTTACGGGCCAGCAAATGTTTCATAATGCAGGTTGCTAAGGACCAAGCCCTATTATGAATACACAATAACTGACATCTGTTCAACAGATCCTTTTGGAAAATGTTTTCTTTAAATCCATTCAATAAAACCAAATTCTGAAGAAAAAAAAACAATTCAGCATTGCTAATAAATTAATAAATACTGTACCCACTGTTACTGTAGATCTATAGTTGAAAAGGAAGCAATACAATCATACTAGTTTCATCCCATCTTACATCTTGAGCAATTCATGTTTGCCTGAGTAGTCCCTGTACATTCCTACATGTGTATTTTTCTTGAAAGTGAAAATATTTCACTTCTAAATAAGTTCTTCAATGCCTGGACCAAATGTAAGATTTTCATGAAACATACTATTTGTCATTCTACTTTCACTTCCAGTATGGAAGGCCATCAACTAATGCTTGCTAAACAAGCAAATTTTTTTTAATCACACAGAAAATTATAGGTAACTGATTTTTGCGGGACTGGCTCTGTAGTATAGTGGGTAAAGCCATTGTCTGCAATGCCGGCAAGCTATATGGGTGCCAGGTCAAGTCCTGACTGCTCCACTTCTGATGCAGCTCCCTGCAAATGCACGTGGGAAAACAAAAGAAGATGACTCAAGTCCCTGGGCCCCTGCACCAACAAGGGCAATGTGGAATAATCTCCAGGCTCCCGGCTTTAATCTAGTCTAGACCTGCCCATTGCTGCCATTTAGGGAGTAAACTAGTGAATCGAAGATATTTCTCTATAACCACATTTCCTTCTCTGTCTCTTACTCTGCCTTTCAGACAAATAAAATAAAGCCCCCCAAGAGTGATTTTTATGTGTGTAGACTCACACACATAAATTTTTTAGCCTGTCTGTCACAGGCTAAATTATAGCAAAATAGAGATGGCATAAGGGATCAGAATATACTGTTCTTTATTCACTCATTTAATAATTATTTGGATCTATGTCCCATGGTAAACATTAGGGAATTCCATGGGAATAAAATAGCCAAAGCTTTATGTTCATAAAACTTTAGAATAATAAACAAATTATAAGGAAAATGCATAGCAAGCCAAATAACAAAATGCTATGAAACTCAAGGCTTTGCCTTGTAGTCTGACATCTAAAAATTATAAGGGAACCAACTTACTAATTACCTCAATGAGTGAAAAGAAGGCAGAGGTTAGTAGGGAGAGTAAGACCATGCGGGAAAGTCTGACAGGAGATAATGGTGGCTTGAGCAGGAGTAGAGGTGGTTTAAAGTAGATGGACTTGGGGCATATTTTGAAAGCAAATTTAGTGGAGTTTGCTGAGAGAGTGATGTAAGCTGTGGGCAAGGGAGGCATCAAGGAGGCAGTGTATACAGTGTATACAGCAGCACAGATGCAGATAGTGGATACATCTGTAGTGACAGAAACAATTATTTCTGACCTCTATTTTAACAACGAAAGAAGACAGCTGAGAGTAAAGACAGGGAGGAGCCAAGAGATTTTAGAAGGGAGAATGCGTACAAATCGATTTAACAAGAGATCGTGAATGACTTTACTGAAGATATATAGAATAGGCAATAAGGAGGGTTGTTTCCCAGAAGCCTTGATTAACTATTCAGGTACATGCATGTAGTAACAAAATGTTTCCTTTAACCAGGGCTCAGGGTTCTCCAGGCAAACAATTTGAAGAAGGATGCAAAGGAGCAGGCATTCTATAGGGGAACACAGAGACCTCAGAGGCCCTTTCACAGCATGAGGCTTATACGTGATAGTTCAATGTATCTCAGCAATGTGAGACTGGATCTGCCTTCTTTGTCTGTATCTACAATTCCAGGATAAATAGCAGAATGTTGCACTTGCAAACATATCCTAAAGGACTACACTGCTGTAATAGCATGGGGGAAATTGAGGAAAAAGAAAACGGGGGAAGGAGAGGATACAGCTAGGGAGGAATCCCTGTGTCTACAAAAATGTATCATGGAAAATAATAAAAATATATTTTTTAAAAAATTCGTTGGGGTAAAAGATAAGGTCACAGAAATGGTATAAAGAAAAAAATCTGGGGGCGGGGGTGAATGAATATGCAGAGACTGGGATGGCCCAACAACCCTGGGTTTCTAGTGGTGAGAAAAAGATATGAAATATGCGAGATGGATCCTGGGGGTAACAGGCTGGAAGAGGAGTGATGGGAGGAGGTGGGGAGGATCAGGACCTTTCTCAGAAACTTGCAGAGCCCTGAGACTCTCCTTCCTACCTGAGACCAGGGAAGCAAAGGGCAAGTCCAGATCACAGTCACGTGATTCCATTTCATCCTCTTCGCTTTGTTATCCGCAGGTCCCATCATTTTGTAATGATGCTGATGACATTGACTGCAGACTGGAGGATCTTACCAAAAAATACTGCTTGGAATATAATTATGACTATGAAAATGGCTTTGCAATTGGTAATCAAGTTATTTAGGGTCACATGGTTCACAAAATAAAATGATTACAGAAGACTGGAGAAATGTAGAAAAACTTATTTGTACTAACTCATGAACTATTTGGGAATAGCTATATTTTACATGTTTAATGGTGATTATAAGTATATTGGGTACCAATAAATATTTCAAAATCATAAATTATTTAGTATGATAATAGTAAAACCATATTTTGATAGTAAAATGCATATACTGATATATTTTTTTAGAAAATATTAATTTAAAAATATGGACAACAATTTTTACATGGTAGTCAATTGATATCACAATTAGGTCATCAATTTAAACTAGTTACACATGAAGAAACTCAGCTTCTCTACTGAAAGGTTAAAATTCAATGTCTTCAAATCAAATATACCTTCAGTGGAATTTTAATGTTGTAACGATGTTATTGTTAAGTAAACTATGTGACTTTTAGGTGTATATGTGTGTATGGATTTGTTGCAGTATATCTTGCCATCAAACTTAATGCCCAAATATTTCTAGGAAGTTTCAATTTCTCCTTTGAGTATTTGCATTAGCAAAATCATCATCTTGTTTAGCAATGACACTTCTTATTTTTATTACATTCTTATAAAACATGCAGGACTTCCAGAGTAGTATTTTTAAAATATGAGCTACAACAGATTGTTGTAGTGATGAAACACATGAACTCCACAATCAAATCCATGTGTGCTTTTGATGTTATCAGTCTCTTCTACGCCTTAGCTTCCTCACCTATAAAATGGGTGTACAAAGGTACTGATATTATAAAGCCATTGTAACTATTAAGTACAAGTGTTTACAAGGTTATCTGAGTAATATGTGTTAATTTCCACTACAGAAGGCATTCTTACTGACATAAATCCCATTGGAAATAATGACAGCATGAACTAATATTGATTACTGTTTTAGAACTCTCAAATACTTAAAATGTCATTTTTGCATATTTACTAAAAACAAAGCTACAAATGATCAAAAACAAAGAATGAAATCCAGATCATCTACAACCCCAGGCACAATTTTGTTGTTATACATACACACACACGTGTATATATATATATTTGTATACTGTACATTTGTATGCCATTTTGTAGACATGAAATTTTAGATGACATCATATTAAGACAATTTTATTCATTTTTAAAGACTTATTTATAAATTTTACTGCAAAGATAGATTTACAGAGAGGAGATACAAAGAGAAAGATTTTCTGTTCACTGGTTCACTCCCCAAGTGACCTCAATGGCTGGAGCAGAGTCTATCTAAAGCCAGGAGCCAGGAGCGTCCCCCAGGTTTTCCAAGTGGGTGCAAAGTTCCACCCTGCTTTCCCAGGTCACACGCAGGGAGCTGGATGGGAAGTGGAGCAGCCAGGATTAGAACTGGTGCCCATATGGGATCCTGGTATGTGCAAGGTGAGGACTTAGTCACTGAGCCATCACTCCAGACCAAAGACCATTTTATTCATTAAATACCATATTCCAATATAGTTGTAATGGTCACATTACTAATTCATCAATCAGTTTGCTATAATTTATATAAAGAATTCCCTTTTGGTTGATCTTGGATGTTTTAAAATTTTAACTATTATGTAACATTCTTCAGTATACTGTTTGGAAATTGAGATTTTAGAAAGGAAGAAATGAAGTGAGATTGGCAGTGGGGTTAGCACTGGCACATCTTAAACAATCAAGCCTCTTCTGTTTTTAATGACCCAGGTTTCCCCTCCTGAAGGATAGAGTAGGTTCCAAGGTCACAAAGTTACACACAGAGGGAGTCGCTTATCATCTTAATCCTTTGAGTTGGCAGTATTTGTCAACTAACAAGGAATCAAATGGCAGTTTTCCTGTACTCGTTGCTCCTCAAATGTTTTCCAGTAAAGAGTCCAAGATCAGTACATTATTTATAACAACATGGGTGGGCAATGCAGTTCAGTGTGTTAAGCTGTTGCTTGGGATGCCCACATCTTCTGTGGGCGTGCCCAGAATCCAACCCATCTCCATTTCCCATCCAACTTTCTACTGTTGTGCCGGGAGGCAACAGGTGATTGTCCGAGTACTTGAGTTCCTGACACAGTGTGGGATATCAGGATAGAGTTCCTGGCTTCTGGCTTTGATTTAGCCCAACTCTTTGTGTGGGCATTTGGAGAGTTAACCAACAATGGAAGATTCTCTTTCTATATCTTTCTTCATCTCTATTACTCTGCCCTTCAAATAAATAAAACTTTTTAAAAACATATAACAACACCAAAACAATTTATAATGTGGAAAACAGAGGGCTAATAAAAATGCTAGTTGAATTGCTCTTAAACTAATAACATAATTTCAATTAAAACTAAGGTATGATGCCACTTTTGATCTTTCAGATTATCATATACAAACAAGAATCATAACAAGCAATGTTGGGAAAGTTACAGGGAAAAGCTATATTTGCATATTATCTGCAAAGAAGTTGGAGGGCATGTGACAATATGTATCTCAAGAATAAAATATATTAATATGCTCAGATGCAGAAATTCCTCTTCAAAGAGTATTTCAAAGATAAAATGCCAATGTGTAAAAATGCACTATGCTTTATCATTTCAGATATGTACATTTTTAATACAGACATTTTTCAAATTTTGTGTGTCTTCTCATTGATACTTTTGATAAAATATGTACAAGGATGATCTAAAATTTCTAAGCTATCTAAAATATATTATACACAGAAATAACAATACACACAGAAATCCCATAAAATATCTTTGAGAAAGTTGAGTAGAGATTAACCAAAATATATATGAATAATTTCATTTTTTTAAACATGTGTTATTTTGTTTTTGTCATGTATTTATACATGAATATGGGTATATATGTTCATACAAAAACAAATTACCTAAAATATTAAGATATTTCCTCTAACCAGTAGAATTGTACACAATTCTTTTTTTTTTTTTTATTGTTGCTTACATTGTATTATGTAGTACAGTTTTATAGGCGCTGGGGATTCCCCCCACCCCTCCCATACCCCTTCCCCCATTGTGGATTCCTCCACCTTGTTGCATAACCATAGTTCAAGTTCAGTTGAGATTCATTGCTTGCAAACACATGCCTAGCATAAAGTTCAGCGTCTTATTGTCCAGATAAGTTCAGTGGCCTCTTGGGGAGACCTTCTATGGTCTGTTTGCTCATGGTTTTTTAACATAATTTCATAATACTTGTAGAAAATGTATGACTTAAAAGACAAAAACATTGATCCCAACTTAAAAGCCAAAAAATTTAGAAAGCAATATACTTCAGATAGCAAAGTCACATTTGTATAGTTGATTTTTAAAGCAAATGATTAAACAACAATATGCTAGAACAACTTGAATGTCATTTACTGGGGATTTATAATGAAACAAATGCTGAGCTACATGATTTACATAAATAGTCTCATTTAGTTAGCAGGAAATCCTAGAGGTGAGACTCATTGTCTCAATTTATAAATTAAGAAACTGAGGTTCAAAAAAAGAAAAGTGACCTGACAAGATTATATAACCATTTATCATATGCAGAGAAACCGTAATCTGAAGCTAAACAGTTACATCACAATAGTATCAAGGTGATTGGAGGAATCCCACATGGCACATAAACATCTTAAGTTCCTGACACCTTGGAAACCACCTTTGGCCTCCACCTTTAAAACACAATGTAGACATCTTGAATAACCTAAAACTGTACAGACAATAGCTTTTAATGGATTAAGCCATGAAGGGAAATAATTGGTTAGGATGCTGTATCTAAATAGCTTTTGTGCAAAAAATTGTAATACAAGATTGTAGACCAAAATGTAGATATGGTACATTATACTCAATTTACGGAATGGTCAAGTGCAATTTGAAGTGTTGATGAAGATGCAACTGTCTTGACCTTTTATTTTTCTGCCCCAACTGCTAGGACCTGGTGGTTGGGGTGCAGCCAACAGACTGAGTTACTCTTATAATGACTTCTTGGACACTGTACAAGAAACACCCACAAGTAATGACAAAGCAAGATCATCACGAATTAAAAGAAATGCCCCATCATCTGATCACAAAATTAAGTTTATTTTCAACATCACAGGTAAGGAGAAACTTTAAAAAAAAAATTTCTAAGTGAAATACTTGGTTGAAAACCCATTTCTCAAACCATCTCTAATAGGAAAGGGCCCTGGAGCTGAGGCCCTTTATTGGTTGAAAGAACACAACCAATAAGTTTTGTCAATTTTAAAAATTTATTGGATAAGGAGAGAGGGAGAAATGGGGGGTAGGGAAGAAGGGGGAGAGAGAGAAAAAGAGATATTGATTCCATCTGCTCCTTCATTTCCTAAATGCCTGCAACCAGAACCCAGGAACTCAATTCAGATCTCACAGTAGTGCTAGGGTCCAACTATTTGAGCCATCACCACTGCCTCTCGGGGTCTCCACTGGCAGGAGACTGGAAAGGGGAATCCAGAGCCAGTACTCACACCCAAGGATTGTGAAATGGGACACTGCTAAGTTAAACACCTCCTCACTTCTTGATTTTTAATGTCACAAATGTATTTTATAGCTCCCACAGCACCAAGAATCCAATTTGTTCTCATCTTGGCATGATGGATTAAGGCAGGCTTTTTTTTTTTTTTTATTGGAAAGGCGGATATACAGAGAGGAGAGACAGAGAGGAAGATATTCTGTCCGATGATTCACTCCCCAAGTGAGCGCAATGGCCGATGCTATGCTGATCCGAAGCCAGGAGCCTCTTCTGGGTCTCCCACACGGGTGCAGGGTCCCAAAGCTTTGGGCTGTCCTTAACTGCTTTCCCGGGCCACAGGCAGGGAGCTGGAAGGGAAGCGGGGCTGCCGGGATAGAACCGGCGCCCATATGGGATCCCGGGCGTGCAAGGCAAGGACCTTAACCACTTGCGCCACTGCGCCGGGCCCTAAGGCAGGCTTTTAAAAGAAAAGAATTCATAGCCATGTGATGCTATAAGGAAGAACATACCTCCCACACAAAGTGATAGTAAACCAAGCAACTGTGAAAAAATGATTTTAAAAAAGGATGTTATGAATATTATCCATGTACTCAGTGAATTTGAATAAACTTCCCCTGAAAGATTTTTCATATGTCATTTCTTTTTGGTAAAATGTAGCTACAGATGACTTTGTGACACATCAGGGGCGTGTGGGGGCGTGTGACTGAGTGTGTGTGTGTGTGTGTGTGTGTGTGTGTGTGTGTGTGTGCTGTTTTACTGTGTTTTGTTTTTATCTCAGCTAGTGTGCCATTACCGGATGAAAGAAATGATACCCTTGAATTGGAAAATCAGCAACGACTCATTAAAACACTGGAGACCATCACCAACCGGCTGAAAAGGACCCTCAATAAAGAACCTATGTACTCCTTCCAGCTTGCTTCTGAAATGCTTGTGGCAGAAAGCAATTCTTTAGAAACAGAAAAGGCTTTCTTGTTCTGTAGACCAGGCTCGGTGCTTCGAGGACGTATGTGTGGTAAGATTAACTGTATGTCACAAACAGGTCGTGTATGCTAGATTAAAATGATCTATTTCACAATTACGAAGGGACAAGGAAACAGACATTTCTGTTATTGTGTGATTGTTAACATAACTCTTTTGTCTCACGAGCCTACAGCCACTACAGATCAGGATTTTGAAAAAAAAAAAGCAAAACTATTGTGAGGAGCTTAACTACTGCTTCCATTTGGAGATCTTTAGACAGAATAGCCTTCGACAGTGGTTCCAAGAACTAATTTCCCTTCTGTGGGCCAGTGGAACACCCAGCATTTAATTCTGTGTTGCACTTCTCTGAGCTACCACAATCATTAACCACACTTTCCAAGTGAGGACCTTGGCATCAGAAATGCTAAGCACTTGCCCAATTTCTCTTACCCATTAAAACAGTGATTGGAGTAGCAAAGATTCCTACCCAACACCAAGTCTTAATTACTTAAAGATAAAAATTCACGTATATCAGCTTCAGCATTTTAAAGTGCACAACGCAATGTGTTGAGTGAATTCACAATGTTGTGTGAACATCATCTCTGTCTCCAAAATTGTGATCATTCCCAAAAGAGATCCTACGTTCAGGAAGCAGTCATTTCCCATTCACCCTCCCACAGCTCTTACATTGTTAACATCTGTTCTAGACTGGCACAATGGAATTAGTTCCTCAGGAACAGTCCCAACAGGGTTTCTTTAAAAAGTTGTCACTTGTAGAAGAGGCTTTCATCACCTACCTCTGAGCATGCAGCTGATCTCAGTGGCACATTCGTGTTCGTCTCCGACGGCCATCCAGGAAACAGTCTTCCCTGGTCCTTGTCATTGCTCCCAGATCCCAGTAGGGTTTCCCCAAGTGACAAAGTCTGCCCATCAAAAATACATTAAAACTGTCATTTGGCACATGCTCTTGTTTCCTTCCCACCTTGGGTGTAGCAGTAGGCATTGTCTTGACTTGTTTCTCATCTTTCAGTGTGATTATCAGAGCACCTGCACTAGCATCATGTAAAATGCATCACCACTCAGACCTCATCCCATGGCTAATATATCTCACAGGTTTGGGAGTGCAGTTCTGCAAATCTGCTTAAATTCCCCGAGTAATTATTACACATGTTAGTGTCAGCGTCACCTAAGCTTTCCATGCAAATGTCTTTCTTCTGTGTGCCTTTTTTAATGAATTCAATGTCTCATTTTTACTTTTGAATTTTTGAGGCATTCTAAATCTACCAAGCACATTAAGAGGCCAGATCTCTAGGGAAGCAAGTTTCTAGAACAGGCTAATCAGTGTCAGTCAGCTCAGACTGGCATTCAGTGGGCAACAGTTTTTGCAAGCAGACAAGGCTCCATTTCACACCCTGTGTTAGCCCCACCTCCTGTGCCTGTTTGAATGTCCAAGATACCACAGTGACAGCCAGCCAGTATATAGGGGGAGGTATTCAGAGAAGCAGCTAAGGAAATTTTTTTAAGACTGCAAAGCCTAAATATTCATTGTTTTATCCTTTTCTTCCAGAATTTTTTCCTTTGTTAACTGTAGTTTTCAGTGATGATTTGGTTTGTCTTAATTTTACTCCATACGTGCTTAATGCTACCATCACATATTCCTCAAGTTTGATGAACAGAATTTGAATTTTCCCAGAAAATGATTAAATCAACTATAGTGGTAGTTTACTTCATGAATAAAAGAAACCCAGAGTAACACATAAGCAGTGCTACCTGGAAGCGTGCTGTGTTAGGATCGTGTTGTGGGTAAAAGAATCACTCTGTTCCATGGCTGTCCCTAACCTCGCTCTGTGTTCCCTGTCATGTCATCTGCAGTCAATTGCCCTTTGGGGACCTATTATTCCCTGAAGCATACTGTCTGTGAAAGCTGCCAGAAGGGATCCTACCAAGATGAAGAAGGACAGCTTGAGTGCAAGCTTTGTCCCACTGGGACACATACTGAGTATCTCCATTCCAGAAGCATCTTGGAGTGTAAAGGTAGAATTTTACTTGATATTTGGACCGGAGGCTGCCTGAGTTTAAAGGCATAACATATATTTTACAGAGCAGGAGAGCCTTCAGAAATGAAGTCCCAAAGAAACAAAGAACCATGTGTATTTTTGCACGAAGCCTGATGATACCCGTGGATAGCCATGGAGAGATATGATTGGACAAAGGGGGTAGATCAGATGGTGATAAGTGGGAGGGAAGGGAGAATTGAGCATGGCCTGTTTGTGCTGATACTGCCCAATGTCCCTGCATTTTCAGAGGAAAGGATTTGACTTTCTGGTTAGTGTAGTCACATGAGGCAGAGGTCAGACAGACCTCATGCATCTGCAATTTCTTAATTTCCTTCTGGTAAAAACATTTCCATATAGCCAAGTACTTTTTGCAGCTGGTTGTTCTGAACCCAATCTCAGTCTGAACTCACCATGGCCAATAGGATGAATTGAAAGTAGAACAGAAGTAAACTTGATTTATTATTTCTTTTAATTATAAAGGATTGCCTTTATGTTTCTCTCACTTTTGAAAATTTCATTTGTCTTGTGGAAATATTTCTTGGTTCTGTCTAAATCAAACTCCAATCTACACTCACCGACTAACCTGAATTTTTTTCTGGAATCTCACATTAATTAGTGAAAAGACATTCCCTGATACTTAACAGCCAATGGATTCCTTCTTGTTAGACTAGTGTTTGGTGTGCTAAGACCAACTAATTGTACAGTTATTTGGAAATGCACAGGCACCTATTCTTACTAACAAAATATGCTCTCTTTTAAAAATATTTCTATGATGATTCTTAGAGAGAAACCTGGTAGAAATACTTGCTAAATGTTATCAAAGAGTAAAAATAAGGAATTTCAAAAACTGCTGCTCTTTACTAATATTACAAAAGCAGGTGTGGGTGCTTAATGAGAAACAGGCACTCCAGGGCAGAGCCAGATGATTGGAAATGCACTGAAAATATTAGCAATGCTGAAATAGGTGTCATTTACAGGACAAGAGCAGTCAATATCTTGGGAGTCAGGGCTTCTTGCCCTGGTCCTGCTCGACTACAAGCAAATGTTAGGAATTTTACAAAAACTGCATACATTTCTCTGTGCCCGAGCTGTCACTACTCTTATTTCTGTTGCTTTCTTTTTGACAAATTAAAGTACCTATTTTGTTGACTGTTCTTCATTAACAAATGTTTTTCCTATCTGCAAGTATAGGTCATGCTTAATTGGGCATCTCATAGTACATATTTTCAATATGTGCCAGGTCTCCCATGGGATAAATGGCCAGAATGTAACTCTTGAGTCTGAGAGTTGATAACTTTTTTTGGTATGCTTTGGTTGTGATTTAAAGTATTTTTTTTAATTTGAGTCTTGCACATTTTGTATTGCTTTTATTCTGATGTATCTCTGAGTTGCTATTAAAAAGGGGATCTCTACATAGAATAAAACCTCTTTTTTCCTTTTTAAAATTTTGATTAATAGATATGTGCTCCCTATCAGTCCTCAAAGAAATTATGCTTACAGGAGGAGGAAGTGGCAAAGCCATTCTTTTATTTGGAGCTGTGAAAGTGCTGTAAGTGGGTACAAGGCTTAGCACTGGATAGCACTTTGTTTTTTTCATCCAGGGGACCGTGTGGAAGTTGAGCACTTCCACATGGATAAGTTCCCCTGTTTACAGCTTGTTCTTTATGAAATCTATCATGATTAACTGACCACATTCTGAGTGTCCGATACTGTGATAAGTAGTTACAGAAGTTACTGGAAACAAGCCTAAACTTTAGTTGGAGGCAAATGCATGAGGCTCAGTGCTTTGTATATTGGTTTAACGGGATTTATTTATGCCTCTTGTTCCATGTCAAATTCAAATGCAAAAAGCCCTATTCTGCCCAGTTAATCTTGAGTAGCTTCATAACACTTTGACTAACTGTGCAACGTTTACCTTTTTAGCTCAGTGTAAACAAGGCACCTATTCGTCGAATGGGCTGGAGACTTGTGAATCATGTCCGCTGGGCACTTATCAACCAGAAATTGGTTCCCGGAGCTGCCTCTTATGTCCAGAAAGCACATCGACTGTGAAGAGAGGAGCTGTGGACATTTCTTCTTGTGGAGGTTATTAAACCAGTATACACTGATATTTTCTTACACCTGCTAGGTTCTATGTATGGAGAAGTAACTTCAGGATAATTATCGGCACACTGTAAACAAAGAATGCAAATCATTGTTCAAGGAGAGTTCCTGTTCAACCAGTCAACAGTGAAGTATAATTCCCAGTGGTATAAACACTGCCCTACTGTTATTAGGAGTACAAAATGAAGTGTGGGCTTGTTCTCAGGTGTCAAAGAATGAAAACAAACACAAGGCTTCGTGGAATGGTAGAAAAGCACCTAAACAAGGAACAGAGTTTCTTCACTTATGAGATCCTTTCTGGGGTCCCTGGAAATTCATTATATTATTCCATAAATGATAACCTTTCATTCCCCATGAGCTGGAGATTTCCACAAGTGATTTGTTATTCTAGCTGCACACATCATCTTCACATTTACAGCAGTATTGGTAAAGCATTGGAGCCGGTCTCCACTCTCAGAGATTCTGCTTCATTGTTTGTGGCAGGGATGGGGCATTCTGGGTTGTCTTTAGTTCCTCCAGGTGATTGCAAAATAGCAGTTTGAGATGTGCTAATGACTTCTCAATAGTGAGCATGGATGACACGTTAGAATAGATTGTAGGACTCCATGCCTAGTATTTTGATTCTGTAAGGTCTTGTGAGGGCTCTAAGAATTTATCTTTTTAACTAGTTTTCAGTTTCTGCTGATCCTACACATTGAGAACCATTGGCTTAATTGTAAATGCTTACATGAAGGTTGGAATTTTTATTCTTTATTATATTATATTATATTATTGTATCATTATAATATAATATGCAGTAATATAGTATATTACTTTTATTCTTTATTATATTAAATATGGCTTCCTGGAACACTGCTGCTGAAGATATAAGCGAAAACAAAAATTGATAGCAAAACTAGAATTGGCACTAAAGGCCAAAATACAACTGTAAACTCCAAGGGAATTGCATTAATTTTGCAAAGACAGCAGAACTGGCTTAAAAATTAAAAGATCATGGTCTACCCATATTACATTTCTGATGCCAAACCGAGCATATTTGGTTGAGATACGATTATAATTTAGCTGAGTATCCTCCCTGCTTTCTGTACTTTTATTTTTTTTATAAAAACTAAGATCTATGGCAATCCCAATATTAAAAAGGCATTCTCTTATTAAATGATATTAAGATTTGTACAAAATAACTGTATGGGGCTTTGCAGTATGGTGGTGGTGAGGAGTGTGGCCGGCACTGCATTGTGGGATGTGTTCCTCATTAGTTCAGTGTCCTAGGCGAGAAGATGGATGGTAGATTTTCAAATACCCCATCTGCTTAAGCTCACTCAGTGTAGCTGGACCACAGAAACTGAAAAGTCTATTGGACATAAGGAATTAGGTCGCCGGCATTAATCAACCTTATGTTCCACTGAGGAGTTAATAAAATAATTTTGTAAGCTTCAATAAAAATTTTTCTCCATACCCCTGCTTCCTGCAACCACAGAAGAAACTGGAATAGTTCCAGTGAAACAAGTTCATATTTTCAATTCTTGTCTTTTCGCTTTCTGAATAAGCCTTGAGGTTTGCCTAACATCAAATTATTGTAATTAAGCAGTTAAAATTTTCCAGAAAGCGTCTAAAGTTCTGGTAACCACCCCCATTTCTCCTAATATTCTTAAGCAGAATTTTAACCACATTCTCCTTGTCATGAGAACTGAGAATAACAAAACTCAGTATTCTCTCTCCTATCCTGCTAGATAAACACTACTTTACATTGAACTTAAGTACTTGTATGTATGAATTCCAAACTAACGCCAGTCATATTTTGTACTTATTTTCCATTGATTTATTTTATAGATGTTCTAGATAATTGATTGCATGTTTTACTGATAGATCACTTTCCTGTTTCTTTAGCATCGTGAACTTAAATTATTATTAATATAGCAACTGTATGTAAACATATTACTATGTTAGACATATGGCTATACATTTTCTTTTTTATCAATTCTTAAGCTATTAAGTATTTTTAAGTTTGTACGTATAAGGTCAATAATTTAAACTTTTATCTAAAAAGAATTATTTTTACCTGAAGACTAAGCCTCGAAATCATTTGTTGTTGCATGAACTTGTCCCACAGGAAGGAAAGGCTTTTGCTGGATCGGATGATGTTACTTCTGACGTGTGCCCTCCAGGATCAAGTTAATTCAGAATGAGAACCAATGACTTCTAACACTTGTGTTGTTTGTTTTGTATTCAATTAGGGTGCAGAACATGAAGTTTCGATCTACATAGTGAAATGCTTACTTGATTAACGTATCCATTATTTCACATTGTGTGTGTGTGTGTGTGTGTGTGAGAGAGAGAGAGAGAGAGAGAAAGAGAGAGAGAAAGAGAGAAAGAAAGAGAGAAAGAAAGAAAGAAAGAAAGAAAGAAAGAAAGAAAGAAAGAAAGAAAGAAAGAAAGAAAGAGAGAGAGAAAGAGAGAGAGAGAGAGAGAGAGAGAAAGAAAGAAAGAAAGAAAGAAAGAAAGAAAGAAAGAAAGAAAGAAAGAAAGAAAGAAAGAAAGAAGGAAGAAAAGGAAGAAAGAAGGAAAGAAAGAAAGAAGGAAAGAAATAAAGAAAGAAAGGAAGGAAGTGTTTGGCCAATGCACCTGAACTCTGTGGGCCTCTGGATGTTTTCAGTACACAACACTATTAACTGTAGTCAGGAAACACACTTTAAGGCAAACACCACTTCAACTCCAGAGTTGTTGCCGTTGATAGAAACAGTAAACACTACAAGTGGGAAGACATTTCCCTAGTCATTGCAAGTATTCTATTTTTAATTTGGTTTAAACATATTTGGATATGTAAATTTTCCCTTTTTTCACTTTAGTACTGTATTTATGTGTGTGTGCTTTGTACTGTATTACATACTAGATAGTAATATGTGCAAACATAGATGTATGTTTAAATATGTGTAGAGTTATTTGATTAATGCAAACATGATACTATATTATTTATGTTTGTAAATACATGTCATTATATTTTATGTTATTGCAATTATGCATATAAATACAGATGCCTCTTGATTTACTGGTGAGTTAAATCCTGATAAACCCACAGCTAGTTGAAAATATGGCATACCAGAGCATCAATTAGGACTGTCTTCGTGGAAGAACTAACTGGTTGACAGCTGCCATTCCCACTGCCAGCCTCCTAAGAGAGGCGGATATCCTTTCTGTTGCTAACCAGAAAACAGTCCAAATTCAAAATACAAAGCATGATTTCTGCTAAATGTTTATTGCTTTTGCCACATTGCAAAGTTAAAAACCCATTACATTGAACCTTTTTAAGTTGGGAACTGTAGCTAATACATTAAATATTAATTGGCCACTCCTGAGAAATAAATGCCGATGACTACTGTGTGTCTTTGGAATGTAATTTCAACTAATTTTCACATATAGATTTACTTGACCCTTCCTATGCCAAAAGCTAGAGATGTTATGACAACATATTAGCTATTTTAGGAGGCCAAGAAGCAATTTATTTTTAATATTGATATTTTATTCCTATTACATCTTAGTGTAATTTTTGTCTGCTCTGCCCTTTTGAAGGATATTTTTTCTTTCTCTTTGACGGCTCATGTTATGTTTGGGGCTATTTTTTTTAGATGTTTACTTTTTTTTTTTTTACAAACTTTACATAGTTAATTAGGGCACAAAGGTTCAAGGACTACAGGAAAGTGGGTAAGACTATTATTTCCACTTTTTTTTCCCTGTATCTGGGGTAAAGGAGGAGGAAAAGGGAGAAACCCCACTCATGGGGCTATTTTATTATTATTATTATTATTTTGCTTCTATTCTACCAAGCACATTGCTAAGAGAATTGAAAATCTGATTAAATGATAAAACTCAAATGAATATTCTTACGAAAAGTGTGCTTAGCACTAATGATAACTTAACCTACAAATAAAAGGACCATCTGGCACACGAATACAAATATGAATAATAAGCAATTAGGAGTGACAAAATGGATTAATGAACAAGTTCAGTTCTAAACCAAATAGCATTTAGTAAGGAAAAGCAGAGTTAGTTTTTATTTGCCACAAAGTTCAGAAGAAATACATTAATCATTATAAAGCTTTGTTATCAACTAGTAGCATTAAGACACTTGAAAAAAATCTGTCTCACAAAGGGAAAATGCAGAAATCCCGTTTCATTGCAGATTTTAGCATGCTTTGGATTTTCTAGGATCAAGTTAGCAATCGGTAAGGATATACTACAAATGCACTTTATATTCTACTTTTGAAACATCTTTGTGAGGAATTATTTATTGTAACATTACTTGTGTTCTGTCAGTGGAATGCAGTGTTGTTACTTAATGATCTGGGAAATGATAAGTAATATATTCGCAATATATTGAGTAGAAATGGCAGAATATAATATTATGCAGCCAATTCTAATTGTTATTCAGTTAAGACAGGAAGAAATCACAGCAAAGCATGTAACTGGATGCTGTGCTGGCACGGGTGTTAGATATGTGCTGGAGTTGATACTAGCAATTCAATAGCTTTCTTATGACCAAACGTCAAGGAAAGTTTTATAGATAGAAGATATACTGCTTTAAATGCACAAATGTGTTGTGTTTCCTTTCCAGTGCCTTGTCCAGTAGGAGAATTTTCCCGGACTGGATTAATGCCCTGTTATCCATGTCCTCATGATTATTACCAACCAGATCCTGGGAAATCATTCTGTCTGTCATGTCCCTTTTATGGAACTACAACTATTACTGGTGCTAAATCCATCACAGATTGTTCAAGTAAGACAAGATTCTTTCTTATTGAGTCCATGTTGGAGATGCATTTTTGCCTATGTATCTGTTGGCTTAAGTTCTGAATATTTCCATTTTCAGTAGCTTCTGGTGTCTGAATTTGTTAAGTGGTCCTTTTGAGGTCTTTGTTTCTTGGTTATGTTTGTTTGTTTGTTTGTTTTTATCATAGTGGCACAAAGAGTCTTGTTTTAGAAGCATTGCACTGGATACCTTTCAAGTTTCTTTCAAAGATCCTGAGAGATTTACCATCCATCATTCTGTTTTTAAATATATGACATTACCCACTTGGCCAACCAAAATCTTGATCATATTGTTGAGAAGGCATCTGCTTAATGGCAGCATCTAATACACATTGACATCTTTATCTAATGCGTTGCTGCTCATTTTGTTAGGTTTTAGTTCAACTTTTTCAGCGGCAGAAGAAAGTATTGTGCCCCTTGCTGCTCCTGGACGCGTTGAAAAGAAGTATGAAGTTAGCAGTCAGGCAAGTTGATGTTCTGAGTATGTAATTTTCATCAGCAGAATGGTTGCAAAACCATTTGTCATTTAGCAGATTGAAACTTAAAATAATTTAGCCTAATGTTTATTAATAAATGAATGCATTTGCTAGTAACTAGGAACTTTCTAAAAATACAACATTAGATAGTCTAAGTACCAAAAATGGGAGTTTTTCCCAGAAATATTAGGACAAGAATGTGCAAATGTGGGAACATTTGATTTACTAATTAACACTACAAACACAACTCATTATTTGAGTCAAAGCATTTTGTTTAGCCAGAGGCCTGTTCTGATTGACAAGGAGAGTTGCTCAACTTTCATGAAATTTAAATGTTTTAGACAGAAAAAAACGTCACTTTTTAGAATCAGATATGGCTTTTAAAAAATTAAGAACCATAAGCAAAACCACTTGTTTTTCACTTAGTTTTTTTTTTAAACACTAGCGATTAAGTGTGATTGTTTTGGTAGATTCAGCTATTAGTCAGCATCTACCTTACCCAATCCAATGAATTCCTTGGCTTCTGGTGTTCTTAAGGACAAAGAAGTTAGACTTTTTATTTCAACTTTCTGCAGCCTAGTCGAAGCATAATGATTTGTTTGGCTTTCCAAGTCAATTTAGAAGCAACTTAATGACTATAAAAACTTATAGGAATCTCAGACAGGAACACTGAAGCTTGGAGAGATAAGAACAAGCTGGCCAACCTATTTGAATAATAATGTACACACTTCATACCCAGAGATTCTAATTGTTTGGGGCCCTGGCAAATGGATCATTTTAAAACACATAAATTGGAATCTTATTTTTAGGATTTATTTACTGGTATTGGAAAGACAGATTTACAGAGACAAAGAGAGACAGAGAGGGAGATCTTTCATCTGCTGACACACTCCCCAAATGCCTGCAATGGCTGCAACTGAGCCGATCAAAAGCCAGAAGCCAGGAGTCCTGAACCCCTTGTTGTCTCCCACACAGGGTCAGGGTGCCAAGACTTTGGGCCATCCTTGACTGCTTTCCCAGGCCACGAGCAGGGAACTGAATGGAAAGTGGAGCAGCCAGTACACAAACCAGCACCCATATGGGATCCTGGTGCTGCTAGGGGAGGATTAGCCAATGGAGCCATAGTGCCAGGCCCCTAAATGCAGCTACTATTTAGAAACACAGCTTGGGTTTTCCAGAACATCACTCAAGAATCATAAATCATGTTTGTGTCCCTGTATATGTAGCAGGTAGCAGTGTTGTTCAGGCAGCAGTTTAGTTAACTTTACTGAACTATCCTTGGAACAGTAACCTGCTATGTGGGATTGCAGATTTCTTGCTCTAATCAGGACTGCTTTGAAATGAGTAGAATGCTGTGCTGCTAATGGATTTCTTCTCTGCCCCAATAGGTTTTCCATGAATGCTTCTTGAACCCCTGCCACAACAGCGGAACCTGCCAACAACTTGGGCAAGGTTATGTTTGCCTCTGTCCACCTGGATACACAGGTAACTAGAGGAATGCAAATTTTGATATACTTGACATATGAATTCATTATGACTTTCAGAATCAAACTTCATAATATTTAAGACATCACTTGGAAAGCATAGTAGATCACACCAGTGCACAACATTTTGGTTGAATACAATAAATTAAAGATTTAAATTTAATAAAAGAGTTTACATACACAGGTGAGGTGTATTTATTTAAAGAATGATCTTCTTTATAAAAAAACTCACATCATAACTCGTAATTTAAATTGAAATACAGTTCTAAGCACCATTTCCAAGGTTTTACTCTAACACAAATTCAATATAAGTAGAACATGGAATATATTTTCTATCATAAACATTTTCCATGAACTCTCAATTTCTCTTATTTGCTGTATACTCCTGGACGTCCTCAAGAATGCTATGATTTGTTGCATTCTTTCTTTCTTTCTGGAAATTGTGCTTAGAAAGGCAATGACTTAAGACTTGATGGGGCAGGAATTTGTGTTTTTTTTTTAAAGATTCATTTTTATTATTTTTTTTATTGGAAAGGTGGATATACAGAGAGGAGAGACAGAGAGGAAGATCTTCCGTCCCATGATTCACTCCCCAAGTGGGCGCAACGGCCAATGCTATGCCAGTCCAAAGCCAGGAGCCTCTTCCGGGTCTCCCACACAGGTGCAGGGTCCCAAAGCTTTGGGCCGTCCACGACTGCTTTCCCAGGCCACAGGCAGGGAGCCGGATGGGAAGTGGGGCTGACCGGGATTAGAACCGGCGCCCATATGGGATCCCAGGTGTGCAAGGCGAGGACCTTAACCACTGCGCCACTGCGCCAGGGCCTGGAATTGTGTTTTCTTACAGTTTGTTTCACATCCCAGTTGGGTACCCACCAGAAACATGATTCTTAAGGAAGAATGAATTATACCTTAGTATTGTAATTAATTTGAAGTAATTCTCTTCTTGTAGACAGCTTTTTTTGTGTTTTTTTAATTACGCAATAGTGTTAAAGTTTTTATTTAGAAAAATTGTATTTAAATAAAATAATTCACCACAAAATATGCAAAAGGAAACTTCAAACATAAAATATGATGAATATTCAGCAAAAAAACTGGCACTCGCTTATTATTGCTGGCCTGTGGAAATATTCACAAAAATGTTTCTCCTGACAGTCTATAAGATTTTATGGATCTGTGTCAGAATTCTACAAATGAATGGTAATTGCGATAGGGCATAATATAGAAATGTGGTTCTCAAGCATTAATGTGCATCAGAATCACCTAGAAGATTTTTTTTTAAACAAGATGTTATGATTTTATTTATTTGAAAGTTACAGAGAAAGGGAGAAAGAGATCTTCCATCTGCTGCTTCTCTCCTCAGTTAACTGTAACAGCCAGAGCTCGGTCAAGCTGAAGCCAGGAGCCAGGAGCTTCTTCCAGGTCTCTTATATGGGTGTCACAACCCATACCCTTGAGCCATTCTGCTGTTTCTTTTCCCACACCATTAGCAGGGAGATAGATGAAAGTGGAGCAACTGGAACATGAGCTGGTGACATATGGAATACCAGCATTGCAGGCAGTAGCTTTATACACTAAGCCACAGTGCTAGCTCCTGGAAAGGGTTTTAATACTGAGATTACTTGGCGTCAGCTCCAGAATCTCTCATTCAGCGGGTCTGATGTATGGGCTGAGGCTTTGCCTTTCCATTACAACCCTTGGTGGTGCTGATACTATTGATCCAAAACCCACACGTTAAAACCCCCAGGCCAGAGGAAGAATGTGGGTTTCCAGTAGAGTGAGGTAGCCTGTGCAGCCCCTAGGGAGGATGGAGTGTGAGAGACTTGGCAGTGCATGGAGATCTGGCAGGATTTAGCCCCACCTCCAGCCCTTAAGCAGGAAACCTTGGTAGCAAGGATATATGACTGAATTTTTCCACTTTGAAATTAACAGAATTCCTGGCTCTATTTTATATTCCTGTTTTTTTTTTTTCTTTCTCCTTTTCTGTGTCTAATTAGAATGTTTTGCTGGCCTTTGTGTTTTCTAAATATCACACATGTTCAGAAAGAGGTGATGTCTTTCCTATTGACTGGATCATAGCACTTAGCAAATGTTGTCCTTACCTTCAAAACTAACCCCCTTTAAACTTGGATCATTGAGATAATCACCTTGAAACCGTCATGGTTCTGTTTGTGTTGCTCTTTCTGTTTGATCATCCTTTGGTGTTTGGTTTGCATCTTAGGCTTAAAGTGTGAAACAGACATTGATGAGTGCAGCTCACTTCCCTGCCTCAACCATGGGATTTGTAAAGATGGAGTTGGGGGATTCGTTTGTGAGTGTCCATCAGGTTACAAAGGTAAGGGGAACAAGGGGGAACACTTTGCTTTCCAGTATGAACTTTACAATCATCTGAGCTCATCTCCAAAGTAAATTTAAAATGAGTTTCATGGATATGGGAACAGAACTACGTACTCATGTTGAAGTGGCATATTTCCTAATATTTATAGGAAGCTTTGTTTTCACTCTGATGTTTTGTAAGGAAATGTCAGTTTGGCAGTGTGAAAGCGCCTGAAGCTTATAAAACATGCCACATGTATTTTGGAATGAGTCACACATAGGCTCTGCTGTCAGCTGGGGAACTTAGCTACACACGCATCACCACCACGTAAGGTGGGGCCCGACAGGTGCATGTGCTGTCTGTCAGTCCACATCCAGTTGCTGGTTTCCTTTCCACAGTTCCTCTGCTCATTACTGTGTGCATATGGCTGTATGCTCACAAACAGTACGGTAACACTAGACTTCGTGACTCAAATTAATGTCACCTTGGGTTGAATGCTAGTAAAGAACTTGTACCAGGAATGGGCACAAATATTATTCAGCCAATTAGATGTAAGCTTTGAAGTACATATATATCTAAATATATGCACGCATGTATATGTATTTATTTATTTATTAGACATTGAATGTAGTATGCTATTTACTAGACTTTAAATGTATTATATGGATTTTCAGTGAAAATCAAAAATTATGTTGGTTGTATATTATATATTATATTTTACTGTTTATTATATATTATAGTTATATATAAACACAGATTTTATGTTAGATTTGCTAGTGATGAAAATAACCTCTTGGTGAAATTTTTAATACATTTTTATGTTAATTTTCAAAAATTATTATACGTGTGTTACTTAATTCCATGACTTGTAAGTTTAAGCATCTAACACTTATCACCCTGGGAAGTCTTTGTATCTCTATATTATAATTTGAAATTTTATCACTATGGGTTCATTTCTATGCCTGTCCTTAGTAACATTATAGATTTCTTTGGATTCAGTTTCTAGGTCTATAAAATAAAATATTTGAATTGTACCATGTGGTCTCAAAGTATGTTCTTGCAGAAAATGGGACAGCTACACATATATTTGGCTGTCTTCCCAATTTTCTGAATAACATAAGTTATTTTACTTGTTCAATTTATTTCCCAAATTATTTTTATGGCCTTTTTAATTCACTGAAAAAGAAATAAATTCAACAAAATATAATCAAGTAGAAAACAAACAATATAAGAAAAAAAATTAGACAAAATTTTTCCTATCTTCTTAACTAACAAATATGAGCAGCTAATTATAGTTGCAATTTTCTTATTAGAAAAAAACAGTTCGAAAAATAGAAGAAAGCATTTTCTTTTGGTGTATTTGGAAAAGATCCAAATTTTTCACAAGCTTGTTGACTGTGACTTTCAATGACTCTGTTCTTGAAGTTGAGCAAGTGGCTTGGAAGACCTGTCAGGTTTGCTCTTGCTCCCAGATTCTGTGATTCTCTGCAGGTGACCAATGTGAGGATGACATAAATGAGTGCAGCTCCAGTCCTTGTTTGAATAAAGGAACCTGTGTCGATGGCGTGGCTAGCTATCATTGCACATGTGTCCAAGGATACACAGGTGAGGCATTTCCATTCTTCCTCCATTGTCTTAAATTGCTGCATAGCATCACAAGCCAGCCACCTTACTAGCATAAATGTTATATTTGGATTCTGTTCTACGAGGAGAGAAAAGTCCTCATTTTTAGGAAATCCATGCTGAAATGTTTGGAGTTAAAGTCTGCTATTTATTTTCAAATAGTCCAGAAAAAAGTAGTGTGTGTGTGTATGTGTGTGTGTGTGTGTGTGTGCATGTGTATATTACATGAATGTGTGTGGATGTGTGTTGATGTGTGTGTGTTTGTGAGTTTGAAGACAAACTTTCAAGAAGGAACTGTAAACAAATCATGCAAATGATATTTACAAATGGGTGCAAAACCATATGGTTATAAAATGTATACCTCATTGGTAGAAAGGAAGTCCAGGAAAAAAATGCCCAAAGTAGAAATGCAAAGTAAAAATAAATATATACAATCGAATCTTTAAAAGGACATTTTGAGAAGAATCAATCATTTCATTTGAAATGCAGTGACGCATAGACCAAGATGCAAAAAGAGACGGAGATCCTACATCTGTTGGTTTGCTGTCGTTATGGAAACAGCCAAATCCAGAGGCTGTAACTCCAGCCAGGGCTCCCATGTGGGTGGCCTGGTGTCAACTGCTTGAGCCATCACCTGCTGCCTTCTGGGATATACATTAGCAGGATGCTGAACCAGGAGCAGAGGTGGGGCTCAAGGCCTGGCACTCATGTGTCCCAAGTGACATCAGTATCACTAGGCCAAATGCACTTTGGAAAAATCTTGCAGCTCAATTAGCTATCCATTACTAATGCTAGTTTCAGGAAGAAGTAAGATAAGAACAACTTATCAAAAATGCAGAATCCTAAAATGACTTACAGGCCTTCACTACAGGGAAGATGTCGAGCCAGTTTGGTAAGCAATGGGTCTACAGCCTCGATTTTACTACTTTGGAAAAAAGATCAACCCTTTGGTCACATTTTTTGTAGGACATTAACAGATGAGAACCTCTTTTCCCAATCTTCCCAGGCCAACACTGTGAATTGGAAGTCAACGAGTGCCAGTCAAACCCATGCTTGAATAATGCGGTCTGTGAAGATCAGATTGGAGCATTCTTATGCAAGTGTCCACCAGGATTTTTGGGTAGCAGGTGTGAAAAAAACATTGATGAGTGTCTCAGTCAGCCTTGCAAAAATGGAGCTACTTGTAATGATGGTGCCAACAGCTTCAGGTAAAGGCACCCTATGGCTATTTACTTAACTGTTCAGTTATTCTGCAACCTTTATGAAGTATGGCTTCAAGTACCAGGCCAGCCATTCTCGGAAAGGCTGCAGTAACATGCACCGTTCCTTGAGTTTCTGCCTCACCAAGCCTCTAAAATGGACAATCTGATCTATTGTATGATTCCTAAAGATTCTGATGCAGCTACGTTTGGGACTTGCTCTTTTATCCTTGCAAAGTAACAACAGATGAAAGAAAATATAATTCCGTAAAGGTAAATACAGTAACACTAAAAAAAAAAAACTACATTTGTATTTTATATCCTAGCTGCTGTTTTCATACAGTTAAAATAGATTATGCAGTCATACTGCCACATTGTCCATCTACAGTCTATATCCCTGAATTTCAAATTAGTTTTAGTTCGATATCCTTAATTCAAAAGAAATCCAACATGAGAGTATCTACAAGCAACAGCCAAAGTTTGTGGCAAAAAAAAGGGTACTGTTTCTGAAATAGCTCCTAGGGTATCAGTGGAATGCAGTTCAAAAACCAATCCATCCTGTCATTTTTTATCGTCTGTCCTACTCTATTCCCTACCCCAGCAAGAAAGTACAGAACACAGTAGTCCTGAAATATAGGTGGCAGGTTGTGTTTTCTTAAAAATCCTTAAGAATTTTTAGTGTCCTCAAGACACCTCTATTTTTATAAGTTTGTAATCATTAAAGGTAAAAGGAAATATGTCTACCAAATGGCAACATATTCCAGTCCCTAGCTCAGTCTTTAAAGCATACCATGAACAGCCAATGTACTATCCAGAAACAAAAAAAAAAAAAAAAAAAAAAACAGGGTAGCTGTTTTTCCCATGAAACCTTAACACTCCCTGTGGAATGAGATCTTACCAAGGTAGCCCTAAACGTTTCGCATTTTCTGGCATAAAGCACCTCGTGATAGGAAATGAGAAATTCCCAAATGAATGACAGTTCATTCTAAACTCCAAACAATGAGTGATCATGTGTGTGTAAATCGTGATGAGATGGAAAGTAGCAACACACTCTCCTAGTTCAGAAAGAGTGTAGAAGGTTGACCAAGTAAACCAATTTTCTTGACAAGGATGTGGTAGTTGAGTGATAGTGTCAAACATGAGAGGATAAAAATGCATGTGAAAGTCTGGCTGACAGAGCTTTACCTTCAAGTGCAGAGATCCGACACAGATCTGACGGAGGGAGATTACAACTGATTTTTTTCCTTTTAAACCCTTAACCGCATCTGTTTATATTGGGGCCCTTCAGTCAATGTCAGATAAGTCTGTATGAATGTGCTAGTAATGAGAATGTTAACTGGTGTTAACTGGACACAGTCTCTTTAATTACAAAACATTTTAGTCAATACAGAGAATCTCAGAATAATAAAAATCATGACTCGTTGTTGTGGTTATCAAACCCTAATATCTTGCCACATTTAATATATATCCTATGTTTTAAGGAAATAAGGTCCAAAAATAAGGTTGCATTCCTTCCTTCCAACACACACACAGAAGCACTGTTTTCCCCATAGTAACCACTGTCCCAATATTAGTGTATGTCCTTTAGGTTTTTATATATACCACATATATGTCAATATAAACATTACATAGTATAGTCTTAAATATTATAAGTGATATAATACTAGCATTTTGCAATTTTTTTCACTCAACAGTATGCTTTTAAGTATTATCAAGCACATAATACTTAAAATAGTTTATTCATTCCAATTGCTGTTTAGTATTCTATTACATAATTTTAGCATTGTTTTATTTTCCCCATTTCCTCTCTGTACAGATTCAGAATGATTCTGTAATGAACAGTTGTTACATGGGTCCTTGTATATTTTGTTTAGTAAACTCCGTGAGTAACCAAGAAAAGGGTGTATACACCCTGAGAATGCAGAACCAACTTCTCTTGAGATTTCCAAATTCCAGTTCCACCACCACATGAGATTTCCTATTTCATAAGTCCTTTGTCTACATTTAATAGTATCAGCTCCATCTGCCATTCTGATAAGTTTCAACTAAGTTTCTAGGATGGCTTAAAACAAAATCTCAAAGCACCAATTAGTAACAACAGGGTATGACCAAATTACTTAACTTTTCTGAGTCACAATTTAACTCATTTTTAGAATGAGAACAAAACAAAATAATAGTGCCTCATTACTAGAAAGACTAAATATATACAAAGGCTTTAGAATAACATCTAAAACTTTTAATTAGTTTATTTATTTGAAAAACAAAAGTACAGAGTAAGATGAAGAAGCAATGAGAGAGAATCTTCCGACTGCTACTTCAGTCCCCAGGCCTGGACCAGGCCAAAGCCAGGAGATGCACAGGGGTCTTTTACAGGGGTACAGGGACACGGTTACCTTGGGTCATTTCACACTCCTTTTGTAGATACCTAAGCAGGGAGCTGGATTGAAAGTAGAGCAGCTGGGACACAGACCAACATAAATATGTAATGCACATGTTACAGGCAGCAGATTAGCCCACTATGCACCATGCCAGCCCCTTCATCTGTATTCTTTTTCCTAAAAACTTCTATGGAGAGAAACTCCATGTGCATGACTATTTCACATAGACTGGAACTACTATCTACTTTATTTTTGTTACCATGACATTCCTAATACTCATACATACTGTATTAAACCATTTTAATCATATAAGCTGAAAAAAATAGCTAATAATTAAGTGCTATTTTGATGTGGGAAATAGGTTTCAACAGTTCAATTTCATTCTTTTGAGACAAGTTTATCATTAATGGAAAGTTTATCATTAATGGCGTGTATTCTGCACTCTAATGCCTTTCTTCAGCTATTCCAGTTGTTAAAACACTTTGTTTTCTTTCAGATGTCAGTGTGCAGCTGGCTTCACAGGGCCACACTGTGAACTGAACATCAATGAATGCCAATCTAACCCATGCAGAAATCAAGCCACCTGTGTGGATGAATTAAATTCATACAGTTGTAAATGCCGGCCAGGATTTTCAGGCAGCAGGTGTGAAACAGGTATATATGGAATCAATGTGATTTTTTTAAATTTTGTTTTATTCGTTTTTATTTCTTTAATTTTTTTGGAATGGAGGAGGGGAAAAGGAGAGAGAAAGAGAGAGAAAGGAAGGAAGGAAGGAAGGAAGGAAGGAAGGAAGGAAGGAAGGAAGGAAGGAAGGAAGGAAGGAAGGAAGGAAGGAAGGAAGGAAGGAAGGAAGGAAGGAGGAGAGAGAGAAATAGATTCAAGGCCAGTGCAGTGACATTGCAGGAGAGCTGCTATCTACAGTGTTGGCATCCCATAGAAACACTAATTGAAGTCCCATTAGCTCCACTTCCAACCCAGATCTCTGCTAATGTGCATGGCAAAGTAACAGAAGATGACCTAAGTACTTGGACCGCTGTCCCCAAGTAGGAGACTGAAAGTAACTCCTGACTCTAAGCGTTGGACTATCCCAGTTCTGGCCTTTGTGGCCATTTGGGGTGTGGAAGATCTCTCTATGTCTCTCATTCTCTCTCTAACTCTACCTTTCAAACAAAAGAGAAAGATTTTTTTTTAATGAAGAAAAGACAAAGATCCATTGGTCTATTCTCCAAATATTTGCAAGAGCCAGGGCTGAGCCAGACTGAAGCCAGGAGCCAAGAACTCAGTCCCAGTCTTCCAAGTGGGTAAAAGAGGTCGAGGTGCATAAGCCATCATCTTCTGTCTCTTAAGATTGCATTGGTGGAAATCTGGAATCAGAAGCAGGGCCAGGAACCAAAGCCAGGCGTGCTGATACGGGATACAGGCATTCCAAGCGGAGTCTTCACTGCTGCACCAAACATCGACCCCTAAACTCGCCACTATTAATAACAATACCGAAAAATGGTAATATTTTAACACAATAGATTTTTGCCTGTGCCATGCACTGCCAAATACTGTGCTAAGTACTTCGTACTTATTTAATACTCATAGCCATTCAGAAAGCTAGATGCTGTCATCACTGTCCTCCTTAGCACAGAATAGGAAGCTGAAGCTTAGAAACATTAAGAAGGAACGCATGAAATCGGATTGAGTTTAACTCTCCACTTTCCATGTATTAGGAAAGAACATACTGATAAAGCACCTAACTATGAGAGGTTATAGTCTATGAGCTCGTTTGGAAGTCAGTAGACCAGTGCTAACCCACTTTTTCAAGCAGAAGACTAGGATTTTGTTTTATTGATTGGGGTTTGCAAGTTTGGGACAGAGCCAGATTACTCACCAAATAAGAAAGAACCAAAGCCTGAGAATGGACAAGATGTCGCGTCCTTTCCTTCAGCATCAATCATTTCCTCTCTGCTGAGACGTTCTGCATAAACAGTGCTGGTTTGCTATTGCCCAGCTTTCACAACACCCCAGTTCCACCTCTCCTTCCAACTACTCCCTGTTTCTCTGCTGCCTTTCACTATTGAGTGCTTTTCCTATTTTATAAACTTACAGGTTGTTTTAGACTAAACTGTGTGTTGATATTCATACTGCTTCTCAGGTGAATCATCATATCTGCTGAGACAAACTTCTCTGACCATAGGACTGCTGACCTGGATGGACAATTGGAAATGCCTCACAAGTGCCACAGTCTGTACACTTACTTTGCTTTTCCTTTGCAGAACAGTCTACGGGTTTTAACATGGACTTTGACGTTTCCGGCATCTATGATTATGTCATGCTAGATGGTGTGCTTCCGTCTCTCCACGCCGTCACCTGTGCATTCTGGATGAACTCCTCTGACGCCATCAAGTATGGAACACCAATCTCTTATGCACTTGAGAATGGAAGTGATAATACCTTTCTCCTGACCGATTATAATGGGTAAGCAGAAGATCTAGGCAACCTGTGCCTAGAGCCTTCACCTGGATCCAAGCTCCCAGGGACAGTGTGGATGAGCATGGGTAGTCAAGAGGCAGTCACTGCAGCACACAAGCAGATTGAAACTACGCAAACAGAACACCTGGACATACTCACTGAGAAGGTGAAAGTTTAGTGATAACATTCCATGCATGTATTCTGATTTGCTGTTCACTGGGTATATTCATGTGTATTATTTCATTTAATCTATATAATATCTGAGAAACTAGTATCCATTTTATAGATAGTAAAATAACATTTCAAAAAGATTCAGTGATTTGTCCCAAATCTCACACCCTGAGAGTAGTAGGTCTGAGTCTCAAATTCTCATTCTAAACTTGATGTTCTTTCTTTACAAATCAGGATCTTCAAAATTAAGTGATTTCAGGGACATGATTGACTCATGGGAGATAGAAGTGTCGAGAATGGCTCCATCTAGAAATTCTGTCCTCAAGGTCACACTTCTTCATTTTTTTAAGATCAATTAGTTTCAGTTCCAGGGTTGTATTCCACTGTGCTGTCAGGAAGGCAGCCTGAGCTATAACCAGAGTTTTTCTAAAGAACCAGACTTGGGAGGGATGTCCATTACTGACCTGCTGTTGCTTTTGTGGTCCCTTTAAGACTACTGCTGCTTTAAACTTGTATAACCCATGGCAAGGCTCTATGACTAAAGACTCTGTAAAAGGCACCACTTTGCCTTTTCCTCTGAGTCCCACTCAAACTTTCGGCCCACCCATTGGAAGACAGAAAACAGCAGAAACCCTGCGTGCCCTTTCTGCCCTCAGTCCAAGGACTCTCACTATTCTAGTAGAAACCACCGTATCCTCAAATGTTAGTGGAGTGGAGCTTTCAGAATAGTCCAAGAAGGATATAGTCCTTCAGATAGGGAGAGGAAATACAGAAATAATGTCATAAAAATATTTTCCCATAAACATCTGTAAAGGATTTATGAAGATACTGAAACACATTTGTTATTTTTCTTATCAATTTTCCTATGTTTCTTCTCCATTTGCCTTTCAGTTTTCTCTTTCAGTTCTTTCTCATAATTGTCATTTCCCCAACCAGGATGGCTGTGGGAAACTTCCTTTTGTTTGTCATCCTTTTTGGATTTCCATCATTATTATGGATTGATGCGCTTTGTCTTCCATGTGACTGCTTTGGGCTGATATGTAAATATGCCATAGAACGGATAGCGTATGAACCATATAAACACATCTTTCACAGTTCTTGAAGCTGGAAAAGCTAATAAGCTGGCAGGTTTGGTGGCTGTTAAGTGTCCGCTCTCAGTAGTTCCGTCTACATGCATCCTGACCTCTCAAAGGGGAAGGGCACCTGTCTATGGTCTCTTTTATAAAGCTACTAATTCCACTCCTGAGGACGCCATCCTCATGACCCAATCACATCCCAAATGCCACATCGCCTAATGCTGTCACATTCAGTTTCAACATTCAAGTTTTGAGAGAACAAAAATACTCAGATCATGACAGCACCCACGAGACAGATTCACTTTCTTTGGGCCATCTGAAGTTTGTTCTCAGTCTTGGGAGACATACATTTTAAGGAAAAGATTTCCATCTGAAATTTATACAGCTCCAGCCTTTCAAGTGTTGACCCACTCTCTCCAAAATAACCAGTTGATGAATGGTCTCAAGTTGGGCAATTCTCTTGGCTTGTCCTAAAATATTTTCCTACCCCTCAGTGTTTAAGAAACATAAACTAATTCCCAGTGAGCCACAGTAAAGTGTCATTAGTAAATCAAATCTGCTTCTATGACATTTGGCCACACGGATCAAAGAATGGCTTTACACAAAATACTTTACCCACAAACAAAGAAAAAGGAGAAAAGTCATTGACATGTTCCCCCACAGAAGGAATTGCAACATATGACTAATGACTGTATTCCCTGGCACCTCTCTCCTCACAGCTGGGTTCTTTACGTGAACGGCATGGAAAAGATAACAAACTGTCCCTCCGTGAATGATGGCGTTTGGCATCACATTGCAATTACTTGGACAAGTGTCGAGGGAGCCTGGAAAGTCTACATTGACGGGAAGTTATCCGACGGTGGCACTGGCCTCTCTATTGGCCGGGCCATTCCTGGTATGTCTTGGGGGAAACAATGTGAATGACTATTTGCTTCTGGAGGGTAGTGTTTCAGAGGACATCGAGTTTGCTATCTAGATGCTCTTGATTTTCCACAAGGATCAATGGTTTCCTCGTGTACCACTCCTGATGATGTAGACTTTTCTTTGCTGCGCGAGACATGCCTTTGAGGATCTACCTACAAAGACGACCAAGAAATGTGCTGAACCCTCCATGTCTGCTAGGCTGCCCTCCAAGGAGAATGAATGCTGCTGTGTTTGTCTGATGCAGGGACTTTCTGAACCATAGGTTTATGCTTCTAATCCTAACTTGTTCTTTTTAACGGATACACATACTTACAGGGCATCAGGGACTGTTTTGATACATACACACACTGTGCAATGCCCAAGTCAGGGTAAACATATCTCTCCTCTCAAATATGTATCATTTCTTTATGATGAAGACACTCAGATCCTTTCTCCCGGTTTTTTAATTTCTTCCAAGCTTTTGAACTTTTTCCGGATAAAAGCTAGTCTGTTTTCTAAAGATACTTTTCCATATTCATAGAATTTTAGTGTGAGGAAATGCAAAATCATTAAGGGACCCAGAGCTCCCAGAATAGCAATGAGTTTGTGCCTTCTAGATGCATCTGTGGAAGCTATGGCTCTTTGTTGGCGTAAGTCTAGCACATGGTATCCGTGGAAGCTATAGCTCTTTGTTGGTGTAAGTCTAGCATGTGGTATTGCAGACTACACATCGTTAGCAACTTCCCTAGCATCTGCTGGGCTTGACCTGCCTGTGTTAAAGGGTGACTCAGAGTCCGTGAGGCAGGAACAAAGAGAAGGACAACTCACAAGGAAGGGCCCAGAATGGGTTCTGTGTGACCAAAGAGGGTTTTGGTTCCTGACAGCTGCAGCACAGGGTACACGGAAGGGAGGTTTAAAAAAAGATAGGATACAGAAAGAGTCTGAAATATGACCCAGTAGAGGGCTGTCAGGGGCGATGTGCCTTCAGGGAATACACATTTCCAGTTACTTAGGGAACATCGGAGGTGTTTCTACAGGGTGGGACACCACCAAGCCAAGGAGGGTGATGGCTTCCTTCCGTGTTTTGCTCAGTCTCTTCTTGCCTTTAACTGTCTTCTCGGGCCAGTGAGATTGCTGGTGATTTCTATGTGCTTGTTCCTTCATGACATTTTCATAATAAAAAGAAATTACTTGTGTGATTGAAAAAGGAGAATTGATAAATCTCTTTAACATTAAGCCTGACATGGAAGAATGAAAAGTGGATCAAAAGAACAGGAAAATTAAAAGAAACTCTACCCATACCTGCATTAGGGGATGGCTGATTGACAGTGAATTAGAGACCACCAGTCTCACAACTGTGCAGTTGACCGTCTTCAGGCCTGTCCTGGTGTGTCTAGGTTGTCATATAAATAGGTGGTGTAAATGACAGACGTTTATTTTCTCAGAGTTCTGGAAGATGGAGGCCCAAGAACAAGGCTTCAGGATGATCAATTTCTGGTGTGGTCTATTCCAGTCTTATGAACTGTCCTTTTGGTGTCCTTGCAGACCAAAAGGGAAAACAGTGCGCCCTCTAGTGTCGTGCTTCATTAGTGCCTTAATCCCATTGCAAGGCTCCTCATGACCCGCCCCCGTGCAAACCTAATTTCCTCCTAAATACCACTCTATAAGGGTGAGGGATAGGGTAGGGTTTCCACACAGGAGTTTGAGAAAGACAGAATTCAGACCAAGTGTGAGGTCTGTGCCCAATTTCTAGTCACATGGATACATTATACAAAAAGTACTGGTCTAATATCACTATATCCTACAAAGTTGTCTTTCGTGCTAGAATATGATCAGCAAGGATTCTCGGTGGACGTACTGAGAGTGTGCTGTCTGGTAGGAAAATTCGTGCGGCTCTTCTAGAAAGCCCTAAAAACTTGCAAGAAAACCTTAGAGGAAATCTGTGCAGGCAGCAGCCATCAATCCAACCACCTCAAAACAAGCTAAAGGCGATGATCAATTTTTTGATCGAGTGTTTATTTCTGTATTATTTTAGAATCACACATGGAAACAGATTCAGTATCTAGTTGCTGTTATTAGAAGATTCTCTAGAACTAATGATAAAAATAATAGCATTATTACCCAAGAGATAAGCCACTTCTAGCCTGCCATAGGATGTGATTTCTTGGAAGGAAGAAAAAAAAATAGGACGTAATTATTTTGCTGATATCAGATGTTATGGTTTTTATAGTTGCTATTTATAAACTTATTATAATATTCCAAGCCCATTATTTTTGTTACTCTCTCTGAACATTTGCTATTGTTGATAACACCAACAGTAAGTTCATGTAATTTAGATAGTCATTACTTTCTTTAAAACATGTATATTGACCATGCTTTTGTTAAGTTAACATTTTAGGAGTAACAGATTCTCAGGTGAGTTTTCCTTCTTTTTTCTCATTGTCTCCATTTAGGTGGTGGTGCATTAGTTCTTGGGCAGGAGCAAGACAAAAAAGGAGAGGGATTCAGCCCCGCTGAGTCTTTTGTGGGCTCCATAAGCCAGCTCAACCTCTGGGACTATGTCCTGTCTCCACAGCAGGTCAATTCCATTTTCCGTGTATGACAGTAATGAGATGCAAAGGTACAAACCTAGTCCAACTGTGAACAGGCTAATGATGACATCTCTTATTGTAAGCTCTTGGTTATAGAAATTCACTCGCAATCGCATGTGATGCTGCAATCTGTGACCAAGGCATATCACTTGTAGTGATCACTCCTCTGTAGTTTGTAATTTTCAAAAAAAAAAAAAAACAATACTAGAGATGATTCTTTTCTCAAATGTTGTAATTTCAGAACTGTAAAGAATCACAAGCAATAATCTTTCAAATTCTGACTAAAGCTGCAGAATCTGAACGGGCACAAGTTCACCTGTTGAGAGGAAGAGATAAGTTAGTGGCAGAAGCCCGTCGGAAATCACACAACTGGAGTACAAACACCAGTTCCACTGTGAATTTGTTGTGACGATTTGGGACACCTTACTCTGTCTCTCGGAACTTCAGTTTTCCTATCTGTAAAAGACAGAGAATGCTACATAGTAGGATTTTGATACCCTTTGGCCCACAGTAAGCGCTGAGTATTTTAAATCTTCACTCTTTTTGGACGGTAGCAGAAATTCTTGAAGCCTCAGTTTCTTCAGCTCTGTGTCAGATCAAGAATGAGGAATGGGGAAGGGGTGCCCCACTACTCCTTAACCATCAGCTAGGTCTTAAAAGTAGATTCTGTGCTTAGGATTCCAAGCAATAATGGGTCCAGTGGGTGACATACTTAGAAAAGACATTGGGATGACAGTTAAGAGAGAGGTATATGGAGGAGACAAAGAGGAAGACAGTTTTTTATTGCTTCTAAAATCAAGCAAAAAGTGAAAAAGCTTACTTCCTTTCATGCTCATTACCCCTGCCCCCAAAAAATCTATCAGTGTTTTCAACAGGACTGAATTATGATATAATAACTCTATCTTAATGGAACAAGTAATGCTTATGTACAGATGTGTTTTTAACCCCTCAGGTGAAATCTCTGGCTACCTCCTGCCCAGATGACCTCAGCAGAGGCAACGTGTTAGCCTGGCCTGACTTCTTGTCGGGAATTGTGGGCAAAGTGAAGATCGATCCTAAGAGTATATTCTGTTCCGGTGAGCGCTTCCTGCTGTAGACTGCAGCATGTTGTAACAAGCCTGGGCTTTTTAGCAAAAAAGAGACCACTCAAAATCTCTACTGTCAAAGCCTGTGTGCCTGCCAGTCTATTCATACACTAGCATTTCATATTTACATTTAGCCAAAGCATTTTTAAAGTTTGCAATCTAGTCTATAATGTGGAATTAATTGAGGAGGAGGGAGTTTGGGTGAAGGCAAAGAGCAGTAGGGAGTTAGGGTGAGAGGAAGGAGAGGGTCTGGGATCCTACTGAAATGGGTGCTCTTAGTCCTGCACTGCCTAGCAGCTATCTAGGAGCAGTAACCCAGAATGGAAGGCCTGCACACAGAATCATCAAACCAACATTGTCTCAAAAAATGAAATAGATGCACATGAGCTTATGAAAATGTCCCAGAAAGAAACTTTTGATAGTATACCTCAAATATCGTTTCTCCATTTAAGGAAGTATCCAGTGGATTTTCATTGAAAAAAGGAAAGTTGTAGGTTGACTCAAATACCTTCTCTAATCATTTTGCTGCCAGTGGTCTGCTCGTATGTGAACTTGTCCTCATATCAGTAGAGTGGCTCTAACATGCTGGTACGAAATAGGATTTGAAGGTTTTGACTTGGTGAATCTGTTACTGTGCTGCTCACCAGTTCTACATGCATCTTCTTGACCCTCAGATTGCCCGCCTTTAGAAGGAACCGTGCCTCATCTGCGAACTGCAGCAGGAGATTTAAAACCAGGCTCCAAGATCAGTCTGTTCTGTGATCCAGGCTTCCAGTTGGTTGGGAATCCCGTGCAGTACTGTCTGAATCAAGGACAGTGGACACAACCACTCCCCCGCTGTGAACGTGAGCTGCCTTTGTTAGTTATCTCTTCGGAAATATGAGAGTCACAGAACACTTTTCAGGAATGCTAGAAAAGAGAGTTTACAGTAGCAAATATTTACCAAATCCTTCCCTTGTGTTATAAACTGATCTGGGTACCAGGAGTGGATGATAAAGATGCAAAGCCACTGCTTGTCAACACATTCCAGGAAGCACAAGTCCCAGACCATGTAGTATGGAGGCCCAGAGGGAGATGAACCTCTACTGGGTGCGAAGTCAAGAAGAGAGCTCTTGAGTTGGGTCCATAGAGTTTATTTCTTCAATAATGTTTAAAGCACCTCCAAGTTCCAAGGCACTGGTCTAATTTCTGGATTGCAGTTGTTAGGAGCATATGTGTCTGTGTCTGTAAAGTTTACATTCTAGTGGAAAATTCAGAAAAACAAATACAGTAATTTTTATAGTGAATGATGAAGGGCGGAAGGCTCTGAAGAAAATCAGAATAGGGTAAGGAAGGGATTGGATGGAGGCCAGACAAGTTATCTTAGATAGGAAATAGCATCTCTTACCAGTGAGGGCATTGACTCCGTTCAAAAGGAAGCTTTACATGGCAAGGATTTTATCTGTGGCTCACTGCTATGAGTCCAGTGCTGAGGTCAGTGTCCAACAGAAGGTTGGACCTCCATCAATGTGTTTTGAATAAATCGACTGCATGCATACTAGGAGTCAGACGGTATGCAAGATGCTGGAGACACACATGTGACCATAGTCGGCTACCACCCCTACCCCTGCCACTCTCCCTCCAGTGTTTGGGTATAACAGAAGCCATCATGCCTCACTCCACTGCCCTCCTTGCTTAATTTCAATATAATGTCCTTTGAGCGTTGCACTCCTGATGCAGCTGTGCTTTTCTTGGCCCTGTTTCAGGCATCAGCTGCGGGGTGCCACCCCCCTTGGAGAATGGCTTTTACTCAGCCGAGGACTTCTATGCTGGCAGCACGGTAACCTACCAGTGCAATAACGGCTACTATTTGTTGGGTGATTCGAGAATGTTCTGTACTGACAATGGGAGCTGGAATGGCATTTCACCGTCATGTCTTGGTGAGATCAGCGTTGGCATTTATTGAATGAGTGTATTCTAGCTGTACAAATGACAGTCACTCAAACTTTCTGAGGGTTCTTGTGGCATTCTTTTGCGAATTTCATTTCAGCTCAGTGAGCTCTCTACAAGCCATAGTGACACTGCAGCTGTTCACATAGATGCCAAAAGTATTTTGCATCTTTATCAGGCTCAGGATTAATACTACTCCTACCCCACCTGTCCCTTCACTTGCTCACCTATAAACTAGGGAAATAACAGTACTTACTATAAATCTGCAGTGTAATTGTGACTGTTGTATTTCAAATTGTAAAACTACATCAAATAAAGTTGGCGTTAAGGCTAAAGATTAAAATACCATAAACCATATGAGGATTGAACACCTCACTCTAGTTTCTAATTCTTCCCTCTGAAATAGAGAAATAGCGCATTATAAATGCATACAAAGTGTTACACATTAAGTGACAGGTAGCGACTTCAAAGTAAACAGTATTTGATGTATGGGGACACGAGTCACCTGACTATTTGTGATGTGTCTTCACCTTAGATGTGGACGAGTGTGCAGTTGGGTCAGACTGCAGTGAACACGCTTCCTGCCTGAACACAAACGGATCCTACCTGTGTTCATGCATTCCACCCTACTCAGGAGACGGTAAAAGCTGTGCAGGTAACGAATCCAAGCATGCCTGATAATTCCCTTTTCTGTGTGGTAATTCAAATATCCATTCTAAGCACATTATTTTCCTTTAAGAAAAAGATTTGTTTTATTTGAAAGGCAGAGTCAAAGAGGAAGAGGCAGAGAAAAAGACATCTTCTAACCACTGGTTTATTCCCCCCAAATGGCTGTGACGACCAGAACAAGGTCCAGGAGCCAGTAACACCATCTGAATCTCCCATGTGGGTGGCAGGGGCATAAATACTCAGCCATCTTGTGCTGCCTTCTCAGCTGCATTAGCAGTCAGCTATATCAAAAACAGAGCAGTGGACACTTGAACCAGTCTCCATTGCTGCAATATGGAATGCCAGAGTTGCAGGCAGCAGTATAACCCACTGCACCAGGCTTTAGTGCCTTATTCTTGAAATGAGACACTCTTCAATTTCAAAAAAAAAGCATTAAGATAAATGAAAAAAGTAAAAGACAATAGGTGAGTCTTTTTCTAATATAAAAGCCACATAAATAACCATTAAAGATGCTTTAAATGAGCACCCTGCCTAAAGAAACATCTGTTAGTCAGAAAGTTAGAAAAGCAGCTACACCATAGTGGAAATATAATTGTTTAGAAATATAATTGTTGACCTGTCCACCTCAACACAGTATTGCTTAAATGCCTGTTAAATATGGTTCAACCTTCTGTGCAATGTGTCCCTGGCCTCCATGTATCTTCCTTAAACAGCTTTTCTCTCAGGACTTCAACAGGAATATTAACTGTTTGTTGTGAGACTTTGTGTTGTCTGGTGTGAGAACCACTTCTTATTACATACACACACACACAAACCTGGTCTTTTTTTTCAAGAACCTATACAATGCAAAGAGCCAGAACATCCAGAAAACGGCCGTTCTTCTGGTGAGATTTACACAGTGGGGGCCGAGGTCACGTTTTCATGTGAGGAAGGCCATGAGCTGGTGGGAGTAACGAAAATCACATGTCTGGAGTCTGGAGAATGGAACCATCCATTGCCATCTTGTGAAGGTATGCTTTGCCAATTCCCTTGTAGGTTGTGTTCAGCAACCCCAGAATTGTAACATGTAGATAGATCAAGTGTTATCTTATGTCTGAGTTCTTTGTATTTGAAACCCAACTATTGGACTCATGTTTGAATGTGATCAAAACACAGAATTGCCACATGAGTTTTCAGAAGTTCTTGTACACACAAATTCAGAAAGCCATGTTCTTCTTTTTCCTTCCCTGAAGCTATTTCCTGTGGTGCGCCAACCATCCCAGAAAATGGTGACATTGATGGGTCAGCATTTACCTATGGCAGTAAAGTGATCTACAGGTAAGTGGTTAAGAGTCAGACTACTCAGTGGAAGTTGTTGACAACCTATACCAGCAGTAATATAACTAGAGGGGTGCAGAAGAGAGGGTAACCCTAGATATGCAGTGTGAAGAGATCTTAGTCAAATAATTTAATGGTAGTCATCTCTAGAATTCCTAAATTCCCTGCCTGGTAAGTGGTCAGCTATTGTCACTAGTGCCACCTTGAGGCACCCCAAGAATGGAGTCTGTGGAGGAAAAGGCTCCTACCTAGTAAATACCCTTGGTTACAAATGATTCCACACTCAGTGTCCCAGGGTCTTAGACTAGACTTTCCAACTGAGCTCTTTCTGTTTGCAGCTGGTAACATGCGCTGCAAACTGGAGGGGCAGACTGAGTTCTTAACACTGACTTTCCACTTATCAGCCATTAGGTGCCTGTGAGAAATATATATGATATTCAATTCTGGAGGAAGAGCATTAAGGGTATTGTTTTGGTAGGAAAAATAAAAGAACAGTCCCAAAATATATAAATTCTCAATTTAAAAAGATTTATTGTTATTTATTCAAAAGACAAAGGGAGATGGAGAAAGATGGACAAAGCAGAAAGATCTTCCTTCTACTGCTTTACTCCTCCAATGCCCACAGTAACAAGAACGTGGGCCAAGTGAAAGCCAGGAATCAGGAGCTTATCCTGGATCCCTCATGCAGATGGCAGGGACGCAAGTCATTGAGTCGTCGCCTGCTGCCTCTCTTGGTGCGCATCAGGAGGCAGCAGAAAATGGAAACAGGGCTGGGACTCCAGTCCAGGCAACTAATATGAATACAGGTGACTCAAGTAGAATCTTGACTGCTGCACCAAATGCCTGACCCAGTTCTTCAGTTATTAATATTCTAGAAGTACCGCTATGGATACAATTAAAAGGAATAAATTAACTTTTATTCTGCAATTTTCTCCACCTTCTCCAGGTGCAATAAAGGATATACTTTGTCTGGTGCTCAAGAGTCATCCTGTCTTGCCAGTGGTTCTTGGAGTCATTCTGCTCCTTTGTGTGAACTGGTGAAATGTTCTAGCCCTGAAGACATAGACAATGGAAACTACATTTTGAGTGGGCTTACCTATCTTTCGACTGCATTGTATTCATGTAAGAGTGGATACAGGTAAAGTCTGCAGACACAAGCCCCAGCTCCCCACAATTCCCTGTTACTAGTCAGTAGATTCCATTTGGATGTGATTGTCTGACTTTAAAGACAGATTCACAAATGCAAATGTGTACACTTCCTAATGCCTTGCTACAATACAAGCTCAAGGCAATCTGTTTCACTGCAATTCCAGAAATGACAGTTTGATTGCTATCAGTGTCCATACCTGAAACACGACAGCAAAAGCTGTTAGTGAAGCATTGCATAAGACCAGACAGCTTGCACTGTGGGTATTCTCATAAACAGCTTACTAAGTTCATACACAACATTGTGAGGGATGTCAGAAGAAAGCAAGTTTATTTGATTACAGGTGTTTGTGTTCAGATAGGACAGATCTTAAACAAGACTATGATCAGAAACATGATCAGCAGGATCCAAAATGGAACAGATCATGTGGACAGGAAGTCAGAATCAGGTTGAAGGTAAAGGCAGATAAGCCATGACGTAAAGAGGAGAGCTTTACCAAGTCAAAGAGAGCCAGATGTCAGTCCTAAGCAGCACAGCTAAGTTCCTCAGGCTCATGGCAAAGACTTGGACCTTAGGAACCCTCATTCCCTGGCTACTCAGGTGAGTGTCTTCCTTCCTGCTGGACCACAACACTTTTTATGAACACTTTCTCATCTATGTAATCTGTTATTCACAAGGTCTGGAGTGTTGTGCACTCCCCTGATGAGCAAATTGTTAAATTCTTTTATCTTATACCGAATGTTCGTTGTGTTATTAGTCCTTTGTCCTTCTGGCATGATTAGATCTCCCTTGTAATTATATAAATCAATGAAATATAAAGAAACATTTTTATGCACTAAAATTCCTCACGCCCCCTATTTTCTTGTAAGCCCTTCCGATTTCATCTTTGTAAATGTAAACAGATAGTCCACAAAAGGGTTGATGTCACTCTTTCCTGTAGCTTGCAGGGTCCAGCGCTCATTGAATGCACAGCATCTGGCAGCTGGGACAAAGCACTACCTGTCTGTGACCTCGTCTCCTGTGGAGAGCCACCTGCCATTAAAGATGCTGTCATCACTGGGAATAACTTCACTTTTGGGAATACTGTCACCTACACTTGTAAGGAAGGGTGAGTAAAGGCTTTGAAGAAAAAGAACGTGGGAGCCAAGAGGACAGATGCTGCCATCCAGTGAACATGGAATTAAATTTCCTGGCAGCCAAGGCCCAGAGAAGCTTATTGCTTATTTTCTGGCATCAGAGAGCATATTGTCCTGTGAGAGCAAAGTTTGTCTGGAGTAAACCTAGTTTATCAAATGAGATTTTAATACACACATTGGGCAATGTCGGAAAAAATACATTTCAATGAAAAACATAAAAGAACATGCTCAAATGGGCCAACATACATGTTTCTTTTCTGTAAAATTAAAAGGAAGATTTTAAGTCACCATTAAAAAGAAACATGTTTACAGGAAAAAAAAGAAGATAGTGAAATGTGGGCTGTTACACTTCTAATGATCTTTTTTAATTCAGAGGTAATATTTGGAAGACTCCAGAAAGCAAATTACAAAAGAACTTGCACATCCATTGTCTCCTTAGATGTTCAACCAGGCCCTGTGAGATCCAGAGGAGAGCAAAGCCCCCCAGGATGATCCCTGCAGCCATTAAGTGCTTCTGAACTGCCGGATTCCAGGGACTCTGACTGGCATTTCATTCAATTTCAACGCTGCAGTTGTTGGCTTTTTTCTGTACTCCATTATTAAATATCTTCCCTGTTAGTAGTGCTTCCCCTCTCCAGTATTATTACAGTCGCATTCCACCCATTTGGAAGCAAAAATGACAAAGGGTTACCTAAATCTCTAAATTTGTGTCTCAGCTATGTCGGTCACTGACTCTGTGGTCTTCGGTAAGGGATATGACCTTCCTGTGCCTCAGCTCTCTTTCCTCTCCTAGGTACTATACTTTCATTAATGATGCATACTTTTGGATACTGTAAGGAATAAAATTGTATAATACATGGCCTCCCAGGAGGAAAGAAAACTTCAATAGCCCAATCAAACTTGGACACTATTGTGATGATTTTTAAAGTTGTATTTATGTATTTTCACTCTATCTGGAAATCAGAAAGACAGAGAACTTTTATCTACTGTTTAACTTCCCAAATGCCAGCAGCATCCAAGGCTGAACCAGAGCAAAGCCAAGAGCCTGGAACGCAGCCCCTTTCTCCCATGTGGATAGTAAGAAGCCATCTCCTACCACTTCCCAGATTGCATACAACCAGAAGCTAGAACGGGAAACAGAGCAGATCTCAATCTGGTTACTAAGGTTCAGCCTCTCCCCAGCAGGCAGCAGGGACTGCCTTGGCCCTGGAAACTCAGACACTGCCTTGTTCTCTTTCTCCTCTCTAAGCTCCTATACTTGTTATGGATGTCCCACTGTTTCCCTCTTCTAGCCCACTCCTTTGGCACTTGCTCAGAAACTGACCTGTGGACACAATTGCTCTGGGGTGTCTCAGTGGAAGAAGAGGAAAATGCTGGGCTTTGCTAGGCAGCCATCTTGAATCCCCTGCCAAAACATTTGTCTGTTTTAGCAAAACATCAAAACCTGAGGAGTTTTCTGTTGCTTGCCCAAACACAGAAGATGGTCATTTACTTCTCATTGTTCTTCTCATTCTGTGTTTACTTGCCTTGTTGTGGGAGGAACTCTGGGGAAGGATGGATATTTGACATCCTGAATCACTAAGCAAAAGTTTCTCTTTCAATTCTTCTCAATTATAAACTTCCGATTGCAATTATTGGATTTGTTAAGACAACAGTCCTTGATCCTTGTTATTAACTCAAAGCAAAATTAATTCCTGATGCAAATTCACGCTTTATCTTTATTCCTGTTGAGTAGCAGCTGTTGGACTATCTTGTAAGCTGCTCATTCAAAGCCCTTCTGAAACAGAAGTGCTAACGAGTCACTGGGGAGCCCTTCTCAAGCTTTCCAAACACTCTCATTTGTCAGCTCCCACCATCTGTGTGAAACATCACTGAAAATTGCTTCTGCAAATTACTCTGCTAGTTCAGAGGATGTGAGGTCATGACTGCAGAACTGTGAAAATGTATGTTGAGGCAGATCCTTCTAAGGCATCCCATGACGTGGGTGGGCCATTTTTCTGAGGGAATACAGGTGTAAAACAACCGGTTCTATAATGCAGATGACCTGGTTTTCAGGGAAGATTTCTGCACGTGTGTCCCCAGTGCCTCTAGGATGAGAATCCAACATGACACACATACCCAAACATTCCATCATTTTAGATTGTAAAACTCTATATTTTCCATGCTTTGATAGCCAGCCTTTCAAGGCACATTTCATCATCTGTCAAAAATGTAACTGTTTTCTAAGTAATTCTTTAATAGGTGGGAAAAATCTGCTCCCTGTAAGTCTTAGTGCATAGTTATCTGCCACAAGGAAACAGTGACGGTGTTTGATGAGAGATCAGTGACAGCATGGTTAGACAGTGGGTAACAATTCCCCACCCCCTTTTTGTTGTATCATCTGGAAAGCATTTCTTCAGCTTCTTAAAAGACCGGCGCATGTATTTTAGAATTATATTTATTGTAATAATCCCCTGTTCTCATGGTCTTGAAATAAGCTATCTATTCATCTAAACCTCTGGCTCCCTTGTCCCTCAGGAAAATGCATAGAGTTAAAGGCTTTTTGTCAGGATGGCAAGGCAGAGACCAGGCATGTTTTTCTTAGGATGTCACCTGGCTATGCTATGCCTGCCACACCTTCACCTATATGCCCTAAGGGTAACTAGGTCAAAATCCTCATAAAATCTGTGTTTCACCCTGTGATGTCCAGAGGTTCCTTTGCCATGTCTTCCCATGTGTAGCTTCTTGGCACACCCCAACTGTGAATCCAGTCCCTTGTCTCTGCGGGTGCTACTCGTGTTCCTTAAGTGTCTCCGTCCACTGTTCTTCTCTACAGACTCCATTCCAGAACCAGTTCATCTGGGAAGCATTTCCTCCCTTCCCATCCTACAGGTAAAACTGACTGCTCCCCTTTAGGCAGACATTGTGTCTGTGTAGGAAGCCTACAAGCCACCAGGGATCTGTCACTGGACGACAGAAGTACAGATCAAGTACAGTCAAGACGTTGGCATTACATCTGAGTGCTAAGTGACTGCAGGCTCTTGAGAATTATGTAGTGAAACACTAAATATTCATTGAGAATCAAGGGAAAACAAGACCTTAGATCAGTCCAAGGGATATGGAAGATTCTAAGAAATTATGAGTAGCATTAAAAATGCATTATTTAAGTTTGTTCAAAAATACATATTTAGAGGTAATTGTTCATTAAATAATGGAGAAGCTTTACTATGATTCTCCACTGAGGGGAAAAAATGAGTATCGGTGAATATTTTGCAGAAGATTGAGGGTCAGTAGCAAAAAATAAGAGTCACCTTCAATTCTTAGGAAACGTTTAAAAATAAGGAAGATCACGGAGGCAGGTGCTGCTGCCACAACACAGAAGCCCCTTGAAACAAAGGAAGGATTTTATGAATGGAACAGTTTATCCTTATGAACTCAGAATGTCTCAGGCCATGAACTATGTCAGCATCAAGGGTATCTGTGAAAAGTAATGATGCATGTTCAAAGAGTGAGAATGATATAAACTATGCTATAAAACATCAGAGGCCCCAATAAATGGAACTTCCACAGAGAGCATATCTTAACCAGGAAGAGCAGAGTTGAAGCACTTACAACAGGACTTAAGGGATTTTTTAGTAACAAGATAATGCTCTCAGCACATCGTCTTTCTATCCCTTCCTGGACCCTCTAAGGTAGAAGCCATCTAAAATATGTATTGATCAGTCCCTATATAAGGAACTAAGGATCTCTCACTGGACTGTTCTCAGCTATGGGAGATGTCTGTGAGTCTTCATTTTAAGACTCCTTCTGTGCATAGTGTCACGTGTGACCCTTGGCAGATGGACATACATATCTCTACTACCACTCTATAATATTTTTTCTTGATCTCTCTGTCTGTGTCCCATATACTTCATCAATATTGCCAGCTAGCCTGAAGGGATTATATAATAATTCGAATCTCTATAATAGCTGATCTTTTATCAACATAAAAGAACTTCAGGAGAAATTTTGGATGATTAGCAAATGACTCAAGAACAATTTCTGATGGGTAGGTCAGATAAAGTGTACTCATGACGCTGCAATTTGGTTTCCAAAGCACATACACAAAAGTTGGAATAACTAGCTTCATTTTAAAGAAGGAGAGAGAGAAATGCCATGGAAAAGGTCTAGCTGTGAGAGGCAGATAAGCCAAACTTATATCAAAAGTATGCTGCTTACAACTGCATAACTTTAGTCATGTTTCTAACTCTGTCTGAATCACCATTCATTGGTCCATAAAGTAAGCCAATGTGTCTAAATATGAATGAATTATTCCCATTATTTTAAGCCCTTTACCTTTTATCATTATTATAAGGTTGTGCTGATCACCTGTCAGATATTCTCTCAAGCCTTCCTGTCAATGTTCTTCAGTAAAGGCATGATCATGAAAAGTAGAGTGATTCAGTTATCATTATGCCAATGTGGCGTATCCTAATATTTTACTATACTTCATTGAGACAGCCCTTGAAGGTAATGTAAGATTTTTGCAAGCCATCAATCTGTCAGCACATGCAAGTGCACATTTGAGGCATAAATTCAGATGTCTTAAGAGTGCTAGTCTTACTATTGGAGTTAGCATAGTCATCAGCAGGGCACAGCTTTTAATTTTAACCACAATGGTAAAGATTTAGAAACCTTAGGAGACTGAAATTATAATCACTGTTTTAAAGGTCATATAATGCTATATTTATAGGCCATATCTAGGTCAAAGATGTCTTCTCAAAGCTTGTTGCAAAGAGTACCACTGCTCTTGTTTCGAACAGTAGTAGGTTTGTCATTGTTTCACAGTGGGTTGCACTGCCACTTGAGGAGCCCACACCCAGAACTGAGTGCCTGACATCAAGTGCTACCCCTTCTTCTGATCCAGCTCCCAGCTGAATCACCTGGGAGGCAGGGGATGAATTAATTCCTTGAGTCCATGCCACCAAAAGAGACTCAGATGAAGTTTCTATGCCTGGCTTTGGTCTGGCTCATTCCTTTCTGATCTGGGTATTTTGGGAGTAAACGAATGGATGGAAAAATCTCTCTCCCCTCCCTTCACTGACTTTGCGTCTTAAACAGCTAGGCAGGCAAATGAGTAAATAAGTAAATAACTTCTTTTTTAAAAATATGAAAAGATTAGTGTAAAATCAACAGACTGTGATTATAAAGCAAATTAAAAGAATGATATTGCAAAAATTAAAGGAAAAAAGAAAAGAAGTAAGAAGGTTGAGAGTGGGAGGCAAGTAGGATTATCTTAGAATTGTATTAATGAGAAAAATGTATGAATTCTCTAAATACTAATTTTAAAAATAAAAAAAAAATCCTAAGTCAGGTAGAGTTACAATATTGATTTGAGCCATGTAGCATCACAGCTCACCCCTCATTTTTATTTTGAAAATGTGTGACAATTTTTCCTGTTGCTTAAGTAGCAAAAGTCTGCCTTTCATTTTCCTCTTTGAATTTTACTAATATTAATGTTTATTTATACATTCATACATTAAAATATATTTATACATCTCAAATGAAAACCACTTGATCCATAAGCTCAATATCCAAGCAAGGAATATTTTTAAGGGAACAGAATAAAAGTAAAGTCAATATTAGAAAAAATAAGAATAGAATCATATACGAATGTTTTTTTTTTAATGTATGCTTCATTGTTTCTGCTCTCCCCTGTTCCTATCTTTGTAGCTATACCCTTGCTGGTCCTGACACCATTGAATGCCTGGCTAGTGGCCAGTGGAGTGCAAGTAATCAACAGTGTCTGGCTGTCTCCTGTGATGAGCCCCCCAACGTGGACCATGCCTCTCCAGAGACTGCTCATCGGCTATTTGGTGACATTGCAATCTACTACTGTGCTGATGGCTACAGCCTAGCAGACAATTCCCAGCTCCTCTGCAATGCACAGGGCAAGTGGGTTCCCCCAGAGGGCCAGACTATGCCCCATTGTATAGCTCATTTCTGTGAAAAACCTCCATCTGTTTCCTACAGTATCTTAGAATCTGTGAGCAAAGCAAAATTTGCAGCTGGCTCTGTTGTGAGCTTCAAATGCATGGAAGGTTTTGTGCTGAATACTTCTGCAAAGATTGAATGCATGAGAGGTGGACAATGGAATCCTTCCCCCATGTCCATCCAGTGCATCCCTGTGCGGTGTGGAGAACCACCAAGCATCATGAATGGCTATGCAAGTGGATCAAACTACAGCTTTGGAGCTATGGTGGCCTATAGCTGCAATAAGGGATTCTACATCAAAGGGGAGAAGAAGAGCACCTGTGAAGCAACAGGACAATGGAGTAATCCCATCCCCACATGCCACCCAGTATCCTGTAGTGAGCCACCAAAGGTTGAGAATGGCATTCTGGAGGTAAGAGACTAATTAGCTAATAGGCCATGAACTTGTGCCGATAGTTTATTGAGGACCTAGCATTCATAAACAGGGACAACGAAAAATTCAATAGTGGAAAGACAGAGTGCCTAATGTCCATAGGTCTGAATCCTCCTAATAGATGGCTTTCAGCATTTTACTACCCTATAGGTGTCCCAAGTACTTGGTGGCAATGTTTTAGCCCCAAATAGAAAGTAGGAGTAAATCAACTTTAATGAAAAAGAATTTACTTTTTAATAAATTCTAAGATGAATTTTTAATTTTAAGAATTTAAGATCTATATGGAGAGAAAACTATTATCACTTCTTAGTTTTAGATAATACATGGATTAAACCAAGTTGTACAGGTTTTGTTTTTTTTATTTTCTTTTCCATGATGGGTCAGTTAAGTCTAGCCCCAAAATGCCTGCTTCCATACTACTTTCTCCCCAATTCCCTCAAATCAAGGGCTATCCTATAAATAATATTCTAGTTAAATGCCTGTTTTAAAAACCACATATACTTACTACTTTTCCCTTTTATTTAAAACAGAAAAAAATGGTATTGTGAAAGTCTTTTGTTTAGATGAGTTAGTAACTTTTGGAAGATGGCATAGAGTATGTGTAAGGAGGATTTTTTCATTCATTCATTTAACAAATATTTCAGGGACCTTTACAGTTTTGAGCATTGGAGATCTAGCACTTAACAGTACAGAAAAGTCTCAGATGTCAGGGTGCTTCCATGGACATGGAACACTCAAGCAACTACTTCTAAACATCATGAAATTCAATTTAATATAGAAGCTAGAATTTACCGCTTTCACTGACAAAGAACTATAGTAGTCTTTTAAAAAAAATCCTAATTAATTCATCAGCCTAAAAATGATTTGATATTATATTATATGCTTTCTTGCTTAAATTCTGAATCATGGATATTAATTTTTATTTAAAAGATGGAAGACTTTTCATTTCCCATTCTTCTATTACAGTAGGGATTTTTTTAAAGTATGTTAAGAATGAAAACAAAAGTTTACCAGTGTTCTTAGACTGTATCTACAAAAATAATTTATTCACCTTTTTATGATCTAACATTAAGAAATACATGTGCGTTGTGCAGACATTACTTTTTCTGTAATTAAAATGAAAATCTGTAGTATTTCTTATACATTTCAGTTCTATGTCTTTTATCTATTTTAAAAGTTAATCTAGTAGAAAAAACATAAATATTTGAATATATTCTAGACAGTTCATTTAGTTGAGTTCTTTTTAAGAATATACTCAATTCTTCTGGTCCGTGCTTAGCTCAAGCTTTGGATCCCCACCCTCTCTTGCAATGACCATCAGGATCGCCCCGGAGCCTCCCCGACCAAAAAATAGAATAGATCGTCAGAGAAATACAAGGAAAGCTTAGAACCAAACAGGAAATGATCAACATGGACCCACATATACCTTACTAGATAGGACAGAAAGATTAATTACTCCTCACTAGGGTATTGAAGATTTCTCTGCACACCCCTCCTAAAACTGTTCTGCATCTCAACAGTTGACAAAGACCTTGTTAGATTTATAAGCCAGTTTAGACTATCCTAAAATCTACCAAGTGCAGCAAAATTATGTGTCAACACAGTAAACTGCTAAATACTAAAATGAAAACAGACACGAGACAGCTGAATAGTACCCTATAGCTACTTTAAGGGATATAGCAGCTGATTCTGTGTACAAACAAAAATTGAAGGGTCAATGAAGTAGTCACAGTATGTGGTTAAGAACTCACACTGTTATAACATATTGATTACTCAATACCGTTAAACCATATCAATTAATTCCAAAATGTTGTAAATTATTGTTGATCGGGACTATATTCTGCCAGTTCTACCTCCAGACCAGAGAAGGTCTCCCCAAGAAACTGTTGAATTTATCTGGACAATAAGATGCTGGACTCTATGCTTGGTATATGTTTGCAACGAAAGAATCTTGACTTAATTTGAACTATAATACTGCAGCTAGGTGGAGGAATCCACCACGGGGGGGAGGGAATGAGGAGGGGATGGGGGAATCCCTGAGCCTATGAAACTGTGTTACATAATGCAATGTAATTAATTTTTAAAAATACTCAACTACAGATCTATTTTACAAATTTGTTCCCACTTGTTTTCTTCTCATCACACAGCATGCAACTGGCAGGATCTTCGAGAGTGAAGCGAGGTACCGATGTAATCCAGGCTATAAGCCACTTGGAAGTCCTGTATTTGTCTGTCAAGCTAATCGCCACTGGCACAGTGAATCCCCTCTGTTGTGCATTCCTCTCAACTGTGGAAAACCTCCCCCAATCCAGAATGGCTTCATGAAGGGAGAAAGTTTTGAAGTAGGATCCAAGGTTCAGTTCTTCTGTAATGAGGGTTATGAGCTTGTTGGTGATAGTTCCTGGACATGCCAGAAATCTGGCAAATGGACTAAGAAGCCAAACCCGACGTGTGTGCCTACCAAGTGCCCGGAGCCACCCCTCTTGGAAAACCAGCTGGTATTGAGAGAGGTGACCTCTGAGGTAGGCGTAGTGACATTTTCCTGTAAAGAAGGCCATGTTCTGCAGGGTCCCTCGGCTTTGAAATGCTTGTCTTCCCAGCGCTGGAATGATTCTTTTCCGGTTTGCAAGATGGTTCTTTGCCTCCCACCTCCCTTAATTTCCTTTGGTGTTCCTGCCCCTTCTTCTGCTCTTCATTATGGAAGCACCATCAAGTACTCTTGCGTGGATGGGTTTTTCCTCAGAGGAGATCCTACCACCCTCTGCCAGGCTGATGGCACTTGGAGCTCCCCACTGCCGGAGTGTATTCCCGTCGAGTGTCCCCAGCCAGAGGAAATTCTAAATGGAATCATTGATGTGCAAGGTCTTGCCTATCTCAGTACAGCTCTCTATACCTGTAAACCAGGCTATGAGTTGGTGGGAAATACAACCACTCTTTGTGGGGAAAATGGCCACTGGCTTGGAGGAAAACCAACATGTAAACCCATTGAGTGTCCAAAGCCCACAGAGATCCTGAATGGCAAAATCTCTTACACAAATCTACATTATGGAGAGACCATTATATACTCTTGTGACCAAGGCTTCCATCTTGAAGGTCCCAAAGCCTTGACATGTTTAGAAACAGGCCATTGGGATGTGGATGCCCCCTCTTGCCATGCCATCCACTGTAACCCCCCACAACCCATTGAAAATGGCTTTGTAGAAGGTGCAGATTACAGATTTGGTGCCGTGATCATCTACAGCTGCTTCCCTGGATTTCAGATTGTCGGTCATGCCATGCAGTCCTGTTTAGCATCAGGATGGTCAAGCTCCATCCCCACATGTGTGCCCATAGACTGCGGTCTCCCTCCGCACATAGACTTTGGAGACTGTACGAAAGTCAAGGATGGCCAAGGGTATTTTGACCAGGAAGATGACATGATGGAAGTTCCATATCTAACTCCTTATCCTTCTCATCAGTTGGAAGGTGTAGATAAAACCAAGGAAACCACGAAGGAGTCTCCTGCTACACATTCTCCAAACTTTCTCTATGGCACCACAGTTGTGTACACCTGTAACCCTGGATATGAACTTTTGGGGAACCCAGTGCTCACCTGTCAGGAAGATGGAACTTGGAATGGCAGTGCACCTTCCTGCATTTCCATTGCATGTGACTTGCCTGTTGCTCCAGAAAATGGTTTTATGCATTTTAAAGAGACTACCATGGGTAGTGCTGCGCAGTACCACTGCAAGCCTGGATACATTCTAATGGGCTCGGACACGAGACTTTGTCTGCAAAACAGGACATGGAGTGGTACTTCCCCACACTGTAAGGTCATTTCATGCCAAAAACCCAGTCCAATCATGAACGGGTCCATCAAAGGAAGCAACTACACATACCTAAGCGTATTATACTATGAATGCAACCCTGGATATATATTGAATGGCACAGAGAGGAGAACATGCCAAGAAAATGAAAATTGGGATGTCAGTGAGCCAGTCTGCATTCCTGTGGACTGTGGCTCACCCCCTGTCTCAGCCAATGGCCAAGTAAAAGGAAAGGAATATACATTCCAAAAAGAGATTGAATACATTTGCAATGATGGGTTTTTGCTTCATGGAACCAGGAATCGTGTTTGTCTTGCCAATGGAACTTGGAGTGGAGCCACTCCTGCCTGTCTACCTGTCAGATGTTCAACCCCACCACAGGTGGCACATGGAATGATGGAAGGCCTGGACTATGGCTTTGGGAAAGAAGTGGTGTTCCGCTGTCAGGATGGATACATATTGCATGGAGCATCTAAGCTCATCTGTCAGTCAGATGGTCACTGGGATGCAGAGGTTCCTCTCTGCAAACCAGTCAGCTGTGTGCCTCCTGAAGATCTTGCTGATGGCTTCCCCAATGGATTTTCTTTTCATCACGGTAGCTATATTCAGTATCAGTGCTTTTCTGGTTATAAGCTCCATGGAAATTCTTCAAGAAGGTGTCTCTCTGATGGCTCCTGGGATGGCAGCCCACCTTCCTGTCTACCTTGCAGGTGTTCCCCACCAGTCATTCAATATGGAACTATCAATGGGACAGATTTTGGTTGTGGAAAAACAATCAAGATTCAGTGTTTCAAAGGTTTCAAGCTTCTGGGACTTTCTGAAATCATTTGTGAAGCCAATGACCAGTGGAGCTCTGGCTTCCCACACTGTGAACATTCTTGTGGTTCTCCTCCAACCATCCCAAATGCTTCCATCAGTGAGAGCAGCTCTTTGGAGGAAAATGTGGTAACTTACACATGCAGTCCTGGGTATATCATCCAAGGCAGTCCAGACCTAAAATGTACAGAGAAAGGGACATGGAGTCAGCCTTATCCAGTCTGTTCACCTCTGTCCTGCGGACACCCACCATTTGTCCCCAATGCAGAGGCAACTGGAGAGGAATATACCTATGGAAGTAAAGTGAAACTCAGGTAAGACTATAATTATAGTGTCTCTAAGGTATGCAAACAGAAGAATTATAAATTGAAAACAAATAGGTCAAACATGTAGATTGTTTTAGTTAAAATGCCTTCTCTGGACTGGTCCTCCAAAAACTCATTTCTAACTCCTGGCATTATCCTCATAATTATGCAATGATACATTGACTGCAAGAAGCAATTGTCCTTTTTTTTCCAGACTATAGTTTCCAATGTAATTACCATGGCTATCATGAACAATAAGATCCTCCAGCTAGCTGGAATAACTCTTAACTCTTGAAGCTTCTGAGGCCTAAATTGTGATACTCTGGTTTAAGCTGTTACCTGTGGTGCCAGCACAGTGCCAGTTCATGTCTTCGCAGCTCCACTTCTGATCCAGCTCCCTGCTAATAGCCCCAGAAAGCAGGAGAAGCTGGCCCATGTTCTGGGCACCTACACCCACATGAAAGACCTGGAAGAGGCTCCAGGCTCCTGGCTTCAGCCTGATGCAACACCATCTGGAGAGTGAACCAGCAATTGAAAAATGTGTGTGTGTGTGTGAGAGAGAGAGAGAGAGAGAGAGAGAGAGAGAGAGAGGGACTCCTTTTCTCAAATAAACAAATAAATCTTATTTAACTCTTGAAGCCTTTCCATCCCTGGTCATTGTGGTCATTTGGGGAGTGAACCAGCAGTGGCAGATCTCTTTTTCTCTGCCTCTCTCTTTCTCTCTTCTCTCTCTTTGAACCTCTGATTTTCAAATAAATATATACATCCTGTTTTTAAAATATATTTACTTTTACTTAAAAGATATATTTGAAAAGATAAGGACACAGAGACAGAAAGAGCAAGAGATGGAGAGATGTTCTATGCACTGCTTCACTCCAAAAATGGCACAACAGTCAGAGTTGAGCCCATCTGACGCCAGGACCTGTGAGATTTTTCACTCTACCATGTGGGTTCAGGAACCCAATGACTTGAGCAATCCTCTGCTGCGTTCCCAGGCCATAAGTAGGGAGCTGGGTGGGAAATAGAGCAGCTAGAATGCAAACTGGCACCCAGTTGGCATTGCAGGCTGAAGCTTAGCCTACTATGCTACATTTGGCTCCATAAATCTTTCTTTTTAAAAATTCATGATGATAAATTTCTTTTTTAAAAAACTTTAATTTAATGTAATTTTTAATGTTATTTACATAGTTGAAAGGTATGCGCACCCATGTGAGTCTTCAGTTAGGGTGGAGAGAGTCAAGGTATGGAGGAAGGTGGGTGGGACAAACATTTCAGTTTTGTTTCTTTTTTTTTCTCTCTCTTGGACCTGCAACGGGGGTGGTAGGAAGAGTCACTCCTTGCTGTCACACCAGCACCCAGGGATGGGGGACAGTCATTGAATGATATCTTAGAGACCCTGGTATGGGGAAGTGTATTCCAAGGGTGTTACTTGAGTGGTTTGATAGTTCTGAGACATCATTAGCTTCATTGCACTAAGGCTGAGGAAATCTTTCCAAGGTCTACTGGCTGACCAAATCTACCTTAGGGCACCCTCAGCCCAGGAACATGATGCAGAGCTTGACTTACAGAGTGGTCCAACCTGTTCTGCTTTTCAGCCTCTGACCAGTCACGTGATGTCCTCTGCTGGCCTAGATGAGCTGTCTGGGCATGCTGTCCACTGCATAGGTATCAACAACTGAGGAGGCCCAGTTCTGACACACACATGCCAAGATTTGACCACGTATCTTCTGATTTTCCCTGTGGCCAGCGTTTGAGTCCAGAGATCTACCTGGAAAGTTCCCCAAGAAACCTTGCCCAGGGTGACCTCAGACTTGACTCTTGTGTGTACCACCCAGTACAGGGTCAGGTTTGGTCCATCACCTGCACCAGCCAATGTACATACCAGTGGATGCAGCTGCCTGTTGAGTTCTGCCCCCAGGCCCATCTCTCATGTGAACTCATGGGTGCTTCAGCCTAGCTTATCACATCCCAACACAGCCCCAGCTTTCATGCACACCAGTGTACAATTCCCTGTGAACCTCTGAACCCGCTTCTTATTTCCTAGAATGTCAGGAGTCATATTGTAGTTTCTTTCAGGAACTCATATCTCCATTTCCCTTGCAGATGTCTAGAAGGTTATACAATGGATACAGGTATTGATACACTCACCTGTCAAAAAAATGGCCATTGGTTCCCTGAGAGACTCTCCTGCATTCCTAAAACATGTCCTCTGCCATCCAACATGACACGGATCGTAATTCATGGCGACGATTTCAGTGTCAATCACCAAGTCTATGTGTCATGTGCAGAAGGCTACACCTATGAGGGAGTTAACATGTCTACGTGTCAGGTAAGGTTGTCTGTTTCAAGATAAAGGTACAGAGAAAGAGCACACGCCTTTCCACTGGTTCATTCTCCAAATGTCCATAATCGCCCCAACTGGAACTGAAGCCCAGACTGGGATTACAATCCAGGATTCCTCAGCATTACTTGAGCCATCACTTCTTTCTCCAGGTTAGGCAGTAAGGGTAGCTGGAGACAGGAGCTGGAGGTGGTACCAAACCTATTCACTCTGACACAGCTATCTTAAGCAACATTTTAACCACTAAACCAAGTTACCCACCTAAGGAGAAACAGAAATTTGAAATTTTGTTCTGTCTCTCTCACTTTTTAAAAAAGCTACCTAAAGATTCTGAATTTTGTTTCTTATTGTTAAAATGTATATAACACATAAATTGTATGATTGGTGTGAGAAAACAAATAGAACATGAGACAAGTGCCTGATGTTACAACGTTTGGTCTCTTCTCTGAAACTAGAAACATTCTTATGTGCATAGGCCATGCTGGTAGGCCAATTTCTACTGTTACTTCCTTTGAACATAACATAAATGATCAATTTGTCATGAATATTTTTCTACAGATACTTTAACATTTTACTGGGATACTAACTGGTGTCCATATAGGATCCTATATGCAGAGTTCAAGATAATCCTTTTTAGATTTAGAGCTAAGGAAGTATGAGGGGAAACTTTTCTCAAGATGCTGAGCTGTCTGAGTCCCCATGAGTAAGGGGATCAAACTGACGTTTTCCAGGTTGGGTATGAATGGCTGGGTGGTGTCCCAATGTTCTGATATTTTTTTCTGAGATTCACAATTTATTTCAGCAGTCCTCATTACCTTCCACCCATCCTTGCTTAATTTGGTTTTGCTTTAAATTTTTTTTATCTGAAAAGTAACCTATTTTGATACCAAACCAAAAATTGAACTCCTATAGATAAGGAGTGCCACGGTCAGTGCAGCATGCGCATGAACTTGAAGCAGAGACAACACATAATGAGAAAACAATAGAAGTTTTTGAAAACGTCAAAAGCTAGAGGAATCCTCTCTCCATGGGCGTAGATCCACCTCAGTGCCTGTCCCAGTAGCCTTTATTCATTTGGGGAACCACACTCTGTTGATTTGATTCACTTGTGGGTTTTGTTTATTCACTAATCACCATCCCAGCCAGGAAGTCTTAAGTGGATGTTTCCATACCCAGGTGAGGAAAGAGAACAGAACACATGAACAGTTATCTTAGGAATGTGTGCTGCCAGGAGAGCCAGACCTTGTCCAGCAGTGTCATCTCCATAGCCTCTCACACCTTTGGCAGTAATTTATCTCTGATCTTTTCTGCCTGGCTGTCCTTCACAACCTCAGGCATCCAAACTTACTATCCCTGCCTCTGGGGGCTTTTGGCCTACTGTTGTCTTATACGCAGACCAACCTTGAAGAGTTGGTTTTCAAAACAGCTTCTGCTTCTGGCAAGGAATCTTCAAAAAGTCCATGGAAAATGCAAATCGTGAAAAAAAAAAACTAGGTCACTTTGTTACTGTTTTGGTAATAATTCTGCTATTACCCAATTTTGGCAAATTTTACCTTCATCATTCATATGTGTAGACCCCTAAATGTAACACGTTTTGCTATTTGCTACTTAGCTTGATGGTTCCTGGGAACCACCATTTTCTGATGAATCCTGCAGTCCAGTTTCTTGTGGGAAACCTGAGAGCCCAGAACATGGATTTGTGGTTGGCAGTAACTACAGCATTGAAAGCACCATTGTTTATCAGTGTGACCCTGGCTATGAATTAGAGGTAAGTGGACAAATTCTTTAAGTCAAAAGAATTTATTTTTCTGGAGCTGGTGACGTGGCTCAACAAGCTAGTTCTATACCTTCAAATGCCAGTTGACGTCCTAGTTGCTCTACTTCCCATACAACTAGCTACTCATGGCCTGGGAAAGCAGTGGAAGATGGCCCAAGCCTTGGGACCCTGCACACCTATGTGGGAGACCCAGAAGAGACTCCTGGCTCCTGGCTTGAAATTACCTCACCTCCAGCCACTGTAGCCATTTAGGAAGTGAACCAGCAAATGGAGGAATGGAGGATCTTTCTGTTTCTCCATCTCTAGCAAATCTGCCTAATACAAATAAATTATTTCTTTTAAAAAAAATGCTACCGCATCATAAAAAAATTTATTTTTCTGATACACTTGGGAATACTTCAGGCTCTATTTTTTTTTCTGATATACTTAGGAATTTTTCAGGTTCTATTGCAGTTTGTTGACTTTATGCTAATACTTTTCAAGAAACAATTGAGTAGATTTGGAAGTTTAAAGAGCAAAATGAATCTTTTAAAAAATCAAAGTTACAACAAGGAAAAGGAAGGAGACTTGTTAACCATGTATCATACTGGTATTTCAATGGAACATGTAAATTAATGTCTGGCTTCTGGCAATCACAATTGGCAACAAGGAAATTCACCTATCATCATGGGAAAGTGACAGGAAGGACTCAGGTGTGCAAGGCCATAACATCCTCGAGCTGTCAGCTCATAGACTTTGGCAAATTCTTAACTGAAGTGCAGGATTCCCATTTGGCAAATGTGTCCTGAAATTATTCTCTGAGCACTTCTGATTCAAGATCAACCGCGTACTTAAGACCACTTGTAAATGGTAGTATTAAAACCCAATTGGGGCTCTGGCAGTAGTTCAACAGGTTAACCCTCTACCTGCAAGTTGACATCTTATATGGGTGTCAGTTCATGTCCTGGCTACTCCACTTTCCCTCCAGCTTTCTGCTCATGGTCTGGGAAAGAAAGGATGGCACAAAGTCAGGACTCTGCACCTGTGTGCTCCACTTCCAGTCCAGTTCACTGTGGTTAGCCTGAGAAAGGCATGACAGCAAAAGATAGGCCAAGTTCTTGGACTCCTGCATGCTTGTGGGAAACCCAAAAGAAGCTCCTGACTTTGGGCTCCTGAGTTCAGAACAACCCAGTGGGTAGTGAACCAAGATATAGAAAAGAAACACACACACATATTCTTCCTTATGTAATAAAGATAATCTTTTCAACAACTTAAACAAAAAATAGTGTCATCGACTTTGCTGAAATTATATTAAAGTTGAAGCTGAAGTTCCCTATTTTGTATTATTACATATAGCTGTCATCTGCTTTCTCAGAAACCTCAATTCTGCTGTCTTTCTAGTTTTGAGTGGTATTACAAGGTAGGTTTTGGCAGAAGTATTTATTGCCAGTGAGCTGTTACAGTTGTATAATATAACCCATTCATTTCTGGCCATGTAATGAAAGAATTGCCACAAAATAGACCCATGAGTGCTAGAATTGGGCTTATATGGACCTTATTTCATTTCCTCAAAAAGTAAAAAAGATTTTAAAAAAATACTAAAAGAAAGGAGGTCAATAATATAATGGTATATTGCAGTTAGTGTTTCTGGTTTTGAGACCTGATTGTTCTTCCATGAGGGCACTAGTCTTACGATATATTAACAAAAGTGATGTAAAGTTTTGAGCAAATACACAGTAAACTGTTGAGTCATTATATTTGAGAAAATTTTCCTTGAAATGTTTTGAAAATATCCTGGTGTTTAACTACACAATTGAAAGAGGAAAAATAACCATGCTTGAAAAATTAGTTCCTCACACCTACCTATATGATATCGTGGCATATTTCATATCAAAGATATAACAGAAATTTCACATCTTGATGCAGCTCTCAGATATTAAGAGACACATGCAGTTGAAAGAAGGATTTTAAAGCAAATACACCTCTGACACTTCTAACACTTTATCACTCTTTTCACAGGTTGTAATTGGCTGTCAGCTAAAACAGGTGCAGCAAAGTTTGTACTTTCTACTGGTCTGCTAAGTTAATGAATTTTGAAGTAGTACCTGAAAAGATTTTTGCAAGTCTTAGCCTACTCCTTACATGATATTTATCTTCTGTGTTTATTCAATATTCCACTGTTGAGCAATTCTTTGCAATCCCCTATTACCGTTCTGTTAACAGAGCTCTGAGCTTGTTGATGTTCTGTCTCCATTCCTTCACAGGGGGACAGAGAACGAGTCTGCCAGGAGAACAGACAGTGGAGTGGAGGGGTAGCCACTTGCACAAGTAAGTTACGTGACATTTACCAATTCTGAGACATGGGGCATGCAAAATAACAGCGTGGCTGTATTCTCTTTAGGAATTCTCTTTGTAAATCATGATCAATCAATAACTCCAAACCAGTCAATCACTGAGGTTATTTGGATTTTGACAGATGCTGTTTTTTAATCACGTAATTATGAATGAAAACATTTAGAGCTGGTGATGTCTGATGACAGAACTAGCAAATACTGAAGTCTTTAAGTGTTCTTTATGCATCTGTCAAATAAACACTCATATTTTACATGGAATTTTACATTAATTCCTTTTGTGAAAGTAGCCAAGTTTATTTGGAAGTATTTACTAATTCAAGTAACTGTTTCCTATGTCTGATCCATATGCTTTGAGTCAGTAGTTTTCAAGACAAGCAAAGTGGAAAACTGTTCACTTTTTTCCCCCTTGTCCTGGAGGAATCATTGAATTATCTAACTGCAAGAGCCTTCTTAGATGACCTGGTCCAGCCCCCTTCATTAACAAAAGAGTGTCTGAGGGCACCCCAGGGTCTTGAATATTTGTACTTTGTTGTTTCAACAATAGCTCTAGGGGAAACGATCAAGATATTTCATATGGACAAGAGTCTTTTGTGTTTTAGGAAGTATTATGTAGTTACAGCTCATGGAGAAAAATAGCTGATTTTAGTTTAAAGTCTGAATAGATAATGTATAGAAAATAATTTTTAAGTGCTATATGACATCTCAAATCATAGAGATGCATCATTTATTTCAAACTTTTGGGCAGTCCTCATAATGATTTTTTTTTTTGCCTCCACTGCCCATCATCAAATACTGTGAACGTGTGTGCATGCTCATGTGTGCTCACACAGGTATGCATCCAAGAGAAGGGAGGCGGTAAGAAGCAGGAAACATTGTGTCTGGCATTGGACAACTTTCTGCTGTTGTGAGAAGATTGCATCCGTTTTCTGGCAGATGCAAACTGCAAGACAATACTTTCATGGTTTCCATCTCAGAAATGCAAAACATAAGTGAAAATGCCAGATGTGCCCTAAAGTTCCCATCATTTTCTTTCTCTTCCTAAATATTAAATAAGTGATACAAATTTATTGTGAATTTATATATCTGGTATTCAAGTTTAAATAGGCATCCTATATTTTATTTGGGCTTGCAAACCAATAGTTGTAAGAAATCAATTTGGTAAATACCAGAAAGTTTTGACCAAGAAGCAACTGTAAACACCTACCAGTAGAACTGTCTGCATCCCATGATTTGATTTCAGTCCAGCCTCAGCTGTTTGCAAACATCTGAGAAGTAAACCAGCAGATAGGAAGATAAGAACAAATTATCTCCTCTCTCCCTCTTTCTCTCTACCTCCTCCTTCTCCTCTCTCTCCTCTCCCTCCCCTACCTCTCTCTCCCTTATCTTTCCCCTTCTATCTCTTGCCTATGGAACAAAATTAGTGATTTTTTAATTTGGAAATGAGATTCTTTTATGTTGCTAACCTTGTCATCCAAATACCCTTCCAACCAGCGTTATTAATGCTCATGAAGACAAGTGGGGTCTGTAAGACAAACAAGTAGCCTTTACTTGTCTATGTGTATTAATCCAGTATGTAATGACGCTATTCGTCCTCCAGTGTATATTTCTGTGCCTCCTACATGAGTAGGCTCCAGTGTTTGACCTGCATAGCTTTAGCCACTATAACGAAGGAAGAAAGAGTTTGGAGAAGCATTTGACTTAAAGTTTTTGTTCTTCCTTTTAGGGAGCCAGTGTGAAGTTCCACTTGAATTTCCAAATGGGAAAGCTGATGTGGACAACTCCACAGCTGGACCAAGCGTGGTGTATTCCTGCAACAGAGGCTATAGCCTGGATGGGTCCCCAGAGGCCCACTGCACTGCAAATGGAACTTGGAGCCACCCGGTTCCTCTCTGCAAACGTGTGTGTTGATTTAATGAGAGATTTTAGACAGATTCAGTGTCATGATTAACTTCCACATATCTGAGATGAGTAGGAAACTCTACTGGTACATGAGATTGGCCCAGAGAAAGCAGTCATGCACATCCAAGCCTAACTCAATGGAGGCCTTTACAAATCTTGTATTTGCTAATATGGTTGATCTGGGAATCATCTTTTAATCAGGGTCCTTACGTGATTACCAGAGAAAGGCACTAAGAGAAAAACGCAACTGCGTGGGAATTTTTCACGTAAATGTGTCATGAATTCAAATGTGACACGAAAAGAGTAAAGAAAAGAAAATGCACGTAAAGTGTAATGTCGGTATAATAAAGTATATGTACATATAGTAAATAAAGATAGCTATTTAGAACCACCTGAATGAAAGTAATATCCCCGTGCCTGGTGTAGTCTGGAGGAGTTCTGCTTTCCTGTTCGTGCACAGGAATGTAGTAAGAGCCTTGAAGATTCAGATGAAGTATGCCTCACGCACAAAGTCTTCTTTTGGTCCAGTTTAAAATCAGGAAAGCTAAAATTGCTTGAAACAGGTGCTGAAATGTGTTACACACTTGTGCTAAGCACGACTGTTGTCGTCATCAGTCCTTGTATTTTCTCAGACCTGTAAAAAATAAATTACTCGTATTCATAAGCTGTGCAAACTCCACGATTTAGGATCTTATGTCCTGCCCATGGAAGTGTGGGCCTAAAGCCACATTCAACACCCAGGGATATGTTTAGTGGTTCTGAAGTAATTGGACAGTGAAAAACAGTCACTCCATATATTGTTAATAGTCTCTAGATATTAAACAAATGTGTGATATGCCCCTTGATCTCTAGTATGCCCTCTTTCTCTCCATCACCAATCCAAAAATGAATGAAAATAACACGTGGGCCATAGCTCAGACAGTCATTTAATTTGCTGCCTCAAACTTTTAAGACCTTAGGTTAGTGGCTGAATAACTTGATAGATCTTTTCTGATTTTGTCTTAAAAATAATTTTATATGGATTCGACACAAAGCTGTTTAATATTTGCAGTTCTCCATATATGTAACCTCCAATTATCGCCACTGAGAATTCACCTCTTAGGAGCCCCCTATTCTGCCTTCAAAGAGATCAATTAGGAAAACATCAATCAGCATTTTTCTTTTCTTTTTAACAGCAAACCCATGCCCTGTCCCTTTTGTGATTCCCGAGAATGCTGTGCTTTCTGAAAAGGAGTTCTATGTTGATCAGAATGTGTCAATCAAGTGTAGGCAAGGGTTCCTGCTCAAGGGCCAAGGCGTCATGACCTGCAACCCTGATGAGACTTGGACACAGACAAATGCCAAATGCGAAAGTAAGTCAGCAGGTGGAAACGACCTCGTATGGAATGTCCTTCTTATGTGGACTATTCTCCCATCGTTGCGAGGTTATGTTCAGTCAAGTAACCTAATTTTAGATATTTGGGTCTCTACACTGTCATAGTTATCATCTCCAGTGTTCGTGTTTAAAATTCACCCAAAAACTCTGCAATACACATGCTTTAAAAGCAAAAGTCTTATACCAGAACTAGCACTTACTTGACCAGGATTCACTGAAGAGATTTTCAAAATGTGTTCTTCCAAGAATGAACAAGATGCTGAATTTAAAACGCATATTGTTTTCAACATCACTTGAGTCCCCAAATGGGGTTGCAGTTGATGGGCTTTAGTTGAACCTGCATCAGAACCACCTAAAGGACTTACTTAAACCAAATGGCTAAGGCAGCAACTTAGCCCATTAGGCCACAACACCAGCCCTTACCATGCCCTTTTGATTACTATATCTTTGTGACAGATTTTGAGATTCAGTATCTCATATTTATAACTTTGTTGTTTTTGAAGAGAATTACATTGGCTATTTAGGATCATTTATGGTTCCTAATGCATTTTAGAGCTTTTCCTATATCTGTAAGGAATGACATTAGGATTTCCATTGAGATAGCATTGAGTTTGTAGATTACTTGAGAACAAATGCACATTTTTAATAACATTAATTCTTCTTACCTGCAAAGATGGAGTCTCTTTCCATTTATTTGTGTCATCTTCAATTTCCCTCAACAATATTTTATACCTTTCAGTACATGGATCTTTTACTTTCTTGCTTAAATCTACTCCTAAGTATTATTTTATTTGCTTATAGTTATTGTAGGATGCCAAATATGCTACTACACAATAATGGAGAAAATGCTACTGATATTGTATCCTGCAAATTAACAGTGTATTTGCCTGTTAGTTCTAACAGGTTGTTTTTTGTTTGTTTGGTATGGTCTTTAGGATTTCCTACATGTAAGATCATGATACCAAGTGTTAGTGAGAAAGGGAGAATAGAAAGCACATTCTGTTGAGAATGTAAACTAGCACAAGCACTTTGGAAGATAATATCTGGAGGTTCCTCAAAAATCTAAAGATATAATAAACCACTGGATCCAGTGTTCCAATCCCATTCCTTATTTGCCATTATATCCAAAAGAATTAAAATTAGTATGCATAAACTATATATGTGTTCCCATGTTCATCACAATATTATTCATAGTAGCCAAAATTCTGAGATAGTCTAAGTGTCCTCCAAACGGTGAGTGAATTTTTAAATGCATATCTGTGTCTCACTATGAGCTTGATAGGTGGATAGAGGGATAGACACATTAGATATAAACAGATGTTGAAACAATATTCAACTTTGATGCAACACAAAAACCAGAAATTTTGTCACTTGCAGTGGAATGGAATGGTGAACCTAGGAGACATTTATGTTGAGATGAGTTGGACACAAAGAAACAATGACACTTACGTAGAATTGAGAAATGTTGAACTCACAAAAGTGGAGGATAGAATGGTGATTCCCAGAGGTGGGAAAGGAGATGTCGGGAAAAAGAAGACACGATTGGTTATGAGGATTTGATTGCATAGTAGGGTAACTATAGCTGTGATAATGTATGTGTCAAAATCAGGAAAGGATAATTTTTAAATGTTCTCATCCCAAAGAGATAAGTAATTTTAAGTGATAGATATGTTACTTTTCCTTGATCAAAATATTATATTTCATTCTTTTAACTAAAAACAAACCAAAACAAACAAAAACTAAAATAAAATTAAAGACAGCTGGAATCCCAACCCGTGTTTCTGATTCCATAGAACTCAAATGAGATTTAGGAATTTACATCTATTTTTCTTAATTACTTTGACTGTTGCTTTATGATACAGTTCCATAGGCTCAATCCCAATAATTTACATTTTAAGGAGTGGGAGATTCGTCTTGTAGTTTGTAGTTTCCTTGATATTATAAAAGTGAAAATGTCTCCTTTGTGCATTTTACTTAGCTTTTTAGACTGACTCGGTCATGGAGTTGAGGCTGTGTTCTGAGTTAGTACTGTAGGCTTACTTGTTCTGTTTTGCTGCAGAAATCTCATGCGGTCCTCCAGTGCATGTAGAAAATGCGATTGCACGAGGCGTTGACTATCAATATGGCGACATGATCACCTACTCGTGTTACAGTGGATACATGCTGGAAGGCTCCCTGAGGAGTGTTTGCCTGGAAAATGGAACATGGACGTCACCTCCTATTTGCAGGGGTAAGTAAACATTTAAATGTTTATTTCTTTTTTAAAATGTGTTGTCAATATTTGTAGAGATTTATGGGTCAGAGTATAATATTTCAATGCCTGTACACAACATGTACTGATCAGAGCAGGGTAACAAGTATTTTCCCTTTGATGCAACATTCTGATTACAAGCTTGGAGTTTCTTCTGTTTGTTCTGACAATATACTAGTTACTGTGAGCAGTGTCCCTACAATGCTCTGTAACACCAAGAGCTAACTCAGATTTCATACCTGTTGTCCAAATTGCTTGTATCTCCCAGCCCTGCCCCTCTAAACCTCTAGTAATCACTTCTGATGGCTATTTTCTAGTGAAACTGCATAGAAATATATGATTGTCTAGTTTCACCAATAATAAGTAATAACACGTTTTATTTTCTTTTTCCTTGCTTTAAATATGCTCTTAACTGTTTCATTTTCCTTAACTTTGTAACTTGAAGTCTGAAAGCATGGACATAGAACTTTCAGATTCTATGAATGCAATTACATGAGCTGGAAAGAAGCCATGGGGCTTCCTACCATGTCCTTCTGAAATTTACACTGTTCCAATAACATTTCATCTTTACACATCACAATAACTATTTCATCCATTCTATAAATACTCACCAAGATCAAGATCACAATAGTGAGGAAAATAGTCAAAAAACTAAGCATCTAAAAGTATAACCAGATGTTGAATCGGTTCTTGTTATGGATCATGGTCAGATGTAGATTTGGAGTAAAAAGGACAAATTCTTTGGTGATTCCAGAGGGCAGTGAAAGTTGAAGAGGTCAATAGATGAATGGAGGCGTCTCAAAAGAGGCAGGAGTTTTTGCAGGGAAGGAGGGATGGATTATCTGACAGCAATAGAATGAGGTGACCAACCCATGAGACCTCAGAGAATGTGCAGCCCTGTTTTGAAAGATCTACTGAAGCGGTAGCTTTCTCCAGGCATGGTCAGATTTCACTTGAAGTTAGAAGAAAGCAGAAGTTAAGTATTTGCTTTGAGATACTGAGTGGCAGTAGCAGCACCGAAGAGCTACTGGCCACCAAAGGCACGTCCATAGTATCTGAAAAGGGTGTTTTCCCCAGTCCCAATCCAAAGAGACTAGCCCATTTATGGACCACCTTGTTCCATCCCAATTTGAATCTCCCAAATTACTAAACTTCACTAGCTGAGGTCTCAAACCTACCCACACTTCTTTATGCCACTCCTGTGTTCCAACTGTTTATCCTCAAACCTGAAACCACAGGCTGCAAAGCAGCTCTCAGGGTACAGTCAGGTTGCAACAGTGAGCAGCTGCTCTGGCCAGAACCTCAGCTAGTCTCTGGGGTAAGCGTTCCTGCCTGCACAGAGCTCACAATTCACTGGAGAATAGGTACAAATTGTACCAAACCACAAAGTGATCCTCCTAAGAATGACCAGCTTGCTTTGACAACCTAATGTAGGTAAAACTGATCTTACCTCTTGTTTGATGTAGGAATGTCCAAGAAAGTTTGATAGGGAATGTTTAACTTTGAATTGGACCTTAAAAAACAGAATCTGGGGAGTGACAAAAAAGGAGGAATGACATGATGGTAAATCTGTATATACTCTGCACTGAGAAAGAACACTAGGTAGGCATGAAAAAAAAAATAGTAGTGACCCAAGAAAAAACAAGATGTCTTTGAAAAGAAGGGGAGTGACCAACCATGATTCATGCTCTGAAGAAGTTAGCTAAAATAATTGAATCATATTTCCTGATATGGACAAGGTGTACCTGGAGGGTGTGCTGAGAGCAAAAACCATTTCACACGTGATTTGAAGAATGAAAAAAGAGCAAACTGTGAAACCAAACACAAACCACTCTCTCTAGAAATAAATAGGCTAAAAAGAGGAATAGAGTGTTATCTTAGTGCCTGTTACAGGTAGGGGATAAACTAATTGATTTACCCTTAAGTTACTTGGTATCAATCGGAGACTCTGGCATACATCATGGGCACATGGGAAAAGCCACCAGTCCTTCCAAATTAGAGCCAATTTTTTCAGTAAAAAATACTCAAAATGTCAATAACTGTATCAGACATTTTTGATCCTCCTAAGGAAGACAGATAAGTAGGAAGACAAATAGGAAGACAGACGTGTGCCAAAGAATACGAAAGGTGGTTTGTTGGTTTGAGCACACACGGAAGTGTGTGGAAGTTTACAGAGCTGAGAAGCATGGGAGGGAATGACTCAGGGTACTGCGATGAGTCAGGGATGTCTCATGGAAAAGGAAATGTTTAAACCGGGCTTTGGAAAGGGGGAGGAAGGGTAGCACAAAAGGAGCTGGGACAAAGGCAAGAAAAAGGGAGTAACAGTAAGTAGAAAAATCAGTATCAATGACAGCAATATGAAGTCACATTTTGAAAGGCTACCAAGTGTCTAAGTGGGCTAGATATGGGATTGCTTCCAAGAATTATCAAAAATCAAAATTTCAATGACTGAAGCTTTATTTACAGCATCCACGAAACAAAATCAACCTAAATGTCTGCCAATAAATGGATGCAAAAAGAAAATGTAGCAGAAAGGTAGATAAACAGACACAGTGGAATATTAGCCAGCCTTTGAAAAGAAGGAAACCCCAGCGTTTGTGACAACATGGGATGTATTTGGAAGGCATTTTGCTAAGGGAATTAAGCCAGACCCAGAAAGACAAGCACTATTTGATCCCACTAACATGTGGAATCTGAAATGGTTATGCTAGGAGCTAAGGAAGCAGAGTATGGAGAGACACCAGTCAAAAGGTAAATATTTTTAATTATGCAAGATGAGTGAGTTCTGGAATTACAATGTACAGCGATGTGACAAGACAGGAGGAAGGCAGGATGGGAGTATGGGAGGGAAAGGTAGCTATGGAGGGAGGATAGTAACTATGGGACTTTGATTGTGTTGTTTATTTGGTAAGTTCTATTATATCAAAATATCAAGCTGTAAAACTTAAACATAAATATTTTGTCTATTAATTTTTAACAAATCTAGCAAAAAAAAAAAAAAACAGCAATCTTGATAGCCAGCAAAATGCTACACTAGTCACTAGTTCATATATTGAAATTTCCTGAGATTGAATTTGGTTTCTTTTGTCCAAATTTAAGAAAATATTATGAAATGTAAACAAGCAAGCCCATTTTCTGACTATCATGCCTCTGTAATTCCTTGTGTGCATGTCCCAACCTGCTTCCCTCCCAGCTGTCTGTCGGTTCCCGTGTCAGAATGGAGGAGTCTGCCAACGCCCGAATGCTTGTTCCTGTCCAGATGGTTGGATGGGACGGCTCTGTGAAGAACGTGAGTGACCTTGCACTTCTTGTTTTAATTCTTTATTTTTCATGATACAGTTCCATAGGCTCAGGGATTTCCCCTTCTACTACCCCGCTGACACACACACACATACACACACACACACACACACTGTTTTCCCCTATATTGTAACAACAGTTCAGTCCCTCAGGAACAGTCACAAGTCCATTGTTCTTCTATTGAGTGTATCCTACCTCTGTAGGTATTGAGAGTGGTATAAACTCTAGTGTTCTAGTAACAAGATATATTTAAAGTTTCATTGGGAGTTCACCTTTTATTCAGAAGTAGAGATGCATGCTACAGTGTATCTCCACCTCATGGTATCGTTGAAGTCCTGACAATTCACCTGAAAGCTGCCAACTTAAGGGAACTACCAGAACTGACCATACTGTTGGGAGAAAGTCACCTGCTTCAATCCTTATAAGACGAGATGGAGCTCATAAGGCTTTTTGGAGTATGTCAGTAAATTTCAGGAGATGTACAATATCAATGAGCTTAAAATGCACTTAGTAAACTCCATCTAAAATCACCTGCACACATCTCATGTCACGAAGTCATTAGCCTTCTTGGGAAAGAGCTAGCAATGGAGTCTCCCAACCTTCAACTTCCCTGATCTCAGGTCTGCCACATCCTGCGCCAATCACTGTTCCAGTTAATACAAATACATAGCATTGTGTCACATTGCACTTCGCTGGCAGCATGATTTAGGCCACCATTCATTCTTTGCCATTGAGAACAGTTCTTCCTAATTAGGAAAGTTGGCATTTCTGTGTCCATACAACGCTTGGTAAATTAATGCAGAATTTTGGTCCCTACTAAAATACATTTGAGTTTGAACTTCTGTGGGGAATTCCTTTGTGTGGTTTTAAATATTTTTAAATGTCTACAAGTTTACATTTTGTTTCAATGTCTTTTCTTTCAATGTCTCAGACTGCTGAAGTAGATTATGCCTCTTCAGAGACTCCATTGGTGTTTAGTGGAGGAATGATGGCTCATTTGCCATCAGGCCTCAAATCCTAGGAACAGAAGGACAAGTTGTCCCATGTTTACTAAAATGCTGTACTGTAAACACTTACTATACTCCATCTGATGCCCATTCTCACACTGAGCTTGTCAGAGCCCAAAGGCAGGCAAGGCCTCTTAGAGCATTTTATATAGTGTGTCATGGTGTCATGGGGATTTGAAACAATGATAGAGACCATTCTGCTTGTTTTTATGAAGAATGAAAGCAAGCAGCCAGCAGACGTCAATGACAGGGTATCCTCACAGGAAGATGTGTTTGGCACTGCAGTACACCTGACTGAGGATTCAGACTCACTTTCCTGATTGTGTGTTCCCTGTGGTGTTCATTAATAAGAACAAAACATATGGCAAGATTACCTAGAGGGTCATCCAAGATTTCACTTCTCCAGGAGTAGGTTTCTGGAACACTTGAACATACATACACATAAACATGTAGTATATCTAAATCTCTCTCTTTTTTTTTTAGCAATATGCATTCTTCCCTGTTTGAATGGTGGTCGTTGTGTGGCCCCTTACCAGTGTGACTGCCCACCTGGCTGGACTGGGACCCGCTGTCATATAGGTAGGCTTCCTCTCCTGCTTGGTTTTCCGAGTGCCCTTGTCTGGTGATGCCCCACAGGACACTGAATTCAGTAGCTCAAACTCAGCTGGTGCTGAAGCAAAAAGGCACCCCGGTTCTCAAGCATTCTTCAAGATGGTCCCTTGAATGGTGACCGCAATATCGAGCTGTATGATTATCCAGAACACACCTTTCAAGGGGCTGTGACATGTTACAATGAAAAAGCTCAATAAATGAAAATGCTTCCTTTTCAAGGACAACAGTAATAAGGTATGTTTCAGTGACTGGTGACAGGCATGTCGCCTTAGCCTCTAATGGCTTCCATCAGCCTTTAACCCACTGTATTTTGACATCTATTTAATTGCCTGATTATCCCAGCTCCCACCACTCTACACCATTCAAGAGAAAAGATCTTTCTTTGCCATATTCAATTACATCAGAGTCAGAAAGAGAGGAAGACATAGAGCGAGAGAGTCATTTTGCCATTGCTGGTTCACTCCCCAAATGGCCACAATGTCCAAAGCTGGACCTGTATGAAACCAGGAGCCATGTGCTTCTTTTGCATTTCCCAAGTGGATGCAAGGTCCCAATCACTTGGGTCATCTGCTGCTTTCCCAGACACATTGGCAAGGAGATGGATCAGAAGTACAGCAGTCAAGAGTGAAACTGACACCCATATCAGGATGCCAGCACCACAGCCAGCAGTTTTACCCCCTACGCCACAATGCTGGCCCCAATAAATGTTTGTTTAGTTCAACTTTTCATTAAGTTTTTGAAGTGTCCTTATATTGTATTATTCTAGCCAAAGTTATGAAGCATAAGAAAATAGGTGTGTCCAGCCAAGAGGAGTGGCTGGAAATGAAGCTATAAGGATGAGAAACATCAGAGCCAGAAAATATATTGCATGCCAAGTTCACATTATGGGTTTTGTCTTGTAAATAAAACCCCTGAAGGGCTTTAAGAAGGAAAATTATGTGGCCATGTTTTCTTTTAGAAAGGTGGTGTTGGGAGTAGTATGAAAAATGGCAGAGAGCAAGATTTACAAGGGAAAGATTCATTTGGAGGTTATAGCAATAGAATAATGAAGTCTTGTAGAAATAATTTTTTAAAAGGCAGATTTGAGAGAAGTTAACTGTTACAATTGCCTATGGCACATCTGCCCTGAAAGTTCCATTCTCACGTGCACATATTCTGCTCCTTGTCTGTGCCCTCACACCTGCATTTCCTGGTTCTTCTAGCTCAGTAAATGGCACCACCTTCCACTTTGGGGCCAGGTTGGAAAAGGCAGTTAACATAATTTGTAACAACATGTTAGTTATCCAAAAATCTACACTGAAGACAGATCTATAAGTCCCTATGAGAAATATCGGTGGGGGAAAAACAAAACTGTGCAGGGGACCTGGAGAGGGGTGTGCCAGTGAACACCAGGAGCACAAGTATTATCAGGAAAGCAGATGCTAAACTTTACACAGGAAAAGAAAAACAAATGACTAGACGCCACCTGATCAGTATGCTCCTTCAAAGAAGTGATGTCTTCTTTTTCAGATTGCTTTGTTTCCTATTCTTCTTTCTTAGGAAATTGCAGATGAATGCCTCCTGTTGGCCTGTTCTCACTCTAGGTTACCTAGAGAGCTCATCCAAGCGAACACTAGTGTTTGATTTCTCTCTCGTCATCTCTGTACAGTGCTTACCAAGTACCTGGTAGTTACCTAGCAGACATTTCTCCCATATCTCTTGAATGAATCATTGAAAATGGCATTTATTTATTTCCTATCAAAAATGATTTTTTTTTTCTTCCAGGGAAGGCCCTACCTTTCTAAGACTAAGCTGTTCCTTTTTTCCAGATTTCTCATAATAAACATTTTATTTTCTTCTTCTGTAGAGTTCTAGCTCTCTCTCTCTGATATTAAACCTACCGATACTGGAACTTCTTCCATTTTTTGTTTCAACAAATAAATTCATAATACAGACTGGATTTTTGAAAAAGAGGACTGTGTAATATTTGGATATTCTTCCAAAGTTTCATCTGTGCTACATTTTTAATTCTAATTCAAGCTCTGTAATCCCAGTTAAAACTAGCAAAGGCTTTGAAACATTCCCTAGCCAAACACAAAGTGCTGTTGAATCATCTGTTATTTTAGATAATCTGTATGCCTCGTTTATTGTCCTAAGAGTTGTCAACTGACTTAACCACACTCTCAATCCAGAGATTTCCAATTCAGTTTTCAACAAAATAAATTGAGAGTGCAAAACAGTAGAAGTGCCAGATTGATTATATAAATATAAATATTTAAGAAGAGAAAAATTGGTGGAGTTGGAGTGATCAGCACAGGTTTCAGTAAGCAGAGAGAGCCTGATACTTAACTGTGGACCAACTTAGACACCCAAAGAAGGGGTATAACATAAGAATATAAGAGTAAGCACAGTGGCAAATGGATGACCCAAGCAATGTGTGATGAGTAACGGTGGCTACAGCAGGAAGTAAGGGCAGATAATTTTTTGTGTACCTTTGGGGAATACTCAAAATTTCTGAATATTAATTAAAGGCATACTTTTTTTTTTAAATCCTAGCTGTTTGTCAGTTTCCCTGCTTAAATGGTGGAAAATGTGTAAGACCAAATCGATGCCACTGTCTGTCATCTTGGACAGGACATGACTGTTCCAGGTAAGACAACCAGCAACTACACCCATCCTGTCTCCGACTTCAGAATCAGTGTCACTGCCTTGACATCCAGAGGGAATCATCAGTCCAAGTGTAGACATCTTTGTCCAGAATCTAAACTGTGATACATTCTCTAAATGTGAAGGAAAAAAGCTAAAGCTATGAAATAGTAGTTCAGGATGGACGAAACAATATCTAAAAATCGTCTTGTGTTCACCTTGTTAACACGTTGCAATTAGGAATTTAGAAAGAAGGGCTGGTGTTTGACCTAGGAGTTAAGATACTGCTCGGGATGCCTGTGTACGCTACGGGAACCTGAGTTCAAGTCCTTTGTCCTGCTAACACACCTTCCTGCTAGTGTACACCATAGGAGGTAGCAATAGCAATAGCATCTCAAGTAGCTGCGACCTTGCTGCACGTGTGGGAGACCAACTCTAAGTAGGAGGTTCCTGAATGATTTAAGCCAGCCTCTGCCCACTTTCAGGGGTGGGACAGTAGATAGAATCATAACCATTTTCTCTGATTTAAAAATGAATAAAAGCTAACTGTACAGAGAAGATCAGTATATCCTTGCACAAGGATAACATGTAAATTTATGAACACCCATATGCTTTTCATAATAAAAACTAGGGTAAATAAATAAAATGTCTTATTGAACAGAAGTGTGCACCCTTCATGTACAAGGGTGTAAAATAAAGTCAATGTACTTATATAAACATGACCTAATGATGCTTAAGCTCTCAGTAAAAATACAAATGGAATTTTTTTATATTTGTTTATTTCTCTATTTGCAAGGCAGATTTGTAGAAAGAGAAGGAGAGAGAAGGAGAGACAGAAAAAGAGACCCTCTATCCACTGGTTCACTCCTCAAGTGACCACAACAAGCTGGAGCTGGGCTGATCCGAAGCTAGGAGCCAGGAGCTTCCTCAAGGTCTCCCATGTGGGTACAAGTGCCCACGGCTTTCAGTCATTCTCTGCTGCTTTCCCAGGGACATTAGTACGGAGGAGAATCAGAAGTAGAGTGGCTGAAACTTGAACTGATAGCATAATGGATGCCAGCACTGCAGGGGGAAGCTTAACCCACCACACCATGGTGCCAGCCCCTGGAATTAATGTTTAAATGTTTAAATTTATTTATCTCCAAATAAATATCACAGTGGAGAAAACATTATCACAAAAAATTAAACCAAAGAAGAAATACTTTAAAAATAAAATATAGGAGCTAACAATGTGACATAACAGGTTAAGCCACCATGTGCAATATTGGCACCCCATATGAGCACTAGTTCAAGTTTCACTTGCTCCATGTCTAGTCCAGCTCCCTGTTAATGTCCCTGGAAAAGCACCAGAAGACGGCCCGAGAGCCTGGGACCCTGTTTCCAACATAGAAGACCCAGTTGAAAGTACTGGTTCTAGGGCTTCAGTTTGGGCCAACTTCAACCATTGCAGCCATTCAGGGAGCGAACCAGTGAATGGACCATCTCTTTCTTTATCCCTCTCCCTGTCTTTTCTTCTCTGTAATTCTGCCTTTCAATGAAATAAGTAAAACCCCTTTGTAGGAGAGAAGGGGGAGGAAAGGGAAAAGAGGGGAAGAAAAAGAAGGAAGCGAGAGAGAGAGAGAGAGGAGGAAGGAGCAGAACAGGAGAGAAAGAAGAAAGGAGACAAGGAAGGAAGGACATTAAAGCTCAAGAAGTATTAGAAATATTATGTGTAACATTCTTTTTGATAAAGATTTTTTTATTAGAAAGTCAGATATACAGAGAGGAGGAGAGACAGAGAGGAAGATCTTCCGTCTGATGATTCAATCCCCAAGTGGCTGCAACAGCCAGAGCCAAGCCAATCCAAAGCCAGGAGCCTCTTCCGGATCTCCCACATGAGGGTGCAGGGTCCCAAGGCTTTGGGCCATCCTCGACTGCTTTCCCAGGCCACAAGCAGGGAGCTGGATAGGAAGCGGGGCCACCAGGATTAGAATTGGCACCCAAAGGGGTCCTGATGCGTGCAAGACAAGGACTTCGCTGCTAGGTTACCGCACCAGGCTCTAAAATACTTTCAATATCAAAACAAAGTTCTTACATATTCAAAATTGGAATATCATCAGCTCCACATTAAGATTTATATATACTTATAATGTCATTGAGATATATAATCTATTCATTTACATTATCTTAAAAGAATCATTAAAAACAAGTGGATATTTTCACAATATTTTTTAAAGCAGGAATTCAATTAACTGCAAATAACTTCTATTTTTCCATCCCTCATTATATCATCTTAATTGAAATGTCAAAATCAACTTGTAAAAATAATATAACTGCTCAAATGAAAACCCAGTTAATGGAAGAATCTTTTTCATACCCACGAATATCCTCATAGCATTTCAAGCGTATGCCATCTCTATAAAGTGAGAGATCAGTTGAACTCCAAAGGGAAGTTAGAAATGGACAAATATATTTAGACGCTGCCAAGATAAAGAGACCAATCTACCTGAAAATAGATTTGAAAGAACTTAAGAAAATGGGAGCCAATTTAAAAGACAAAAAAAAGTGTTATTACCTTCCTTATTTCAGTCTTCATATTTCAACCTGTTACAGGTAAAGAAAAGAAAGCCTAAGGTTTTTGTAGGTCCCTAATATCTAAATATTCCCCAAGTTCTTCCTTGATCGGGGACAGAACCTGGATTTTTAATACAAAAGTTTGATAGAGGAACTCAAATAAAAAAATGACGCCAAGTTAAGCTGAGTGGCACATCTCACATTCAAAGAAAGGCTCACCAGCCACCTAGGAGACTCTTCATGTTCCCACTGCTCAGTTTGCCATCATTTCTTGGAAACACATATTAGCTCAGATCTTCTTCTGAAAACTCTATTTTGACCAAGCAAAGGAGGAATTTACTATTACAATAGAGGGGCCTTGCTTGAAATCCTAAGACAGAGGAGTGGCTGAGCATTAGCTGGACCTACATGAGGGACTTGAAAGCCACCTGCAGCTGCTCTACCTCTGTCTCACCAGGTCAGCCCCACCTTCTGTCTTGCTGCACAGTGTCTTTCTCTTTTGTTTGGTTCTCCTGAAGGGTGGAACTGCTTACAACTCCTCCATGTTCCACGTCATTGGTGGTAACCACCAACATATGGATCTATTACATCTTAAAAACCCAGAAGGATTCTGCAAGGTCCTGTGATGATGAGGCTAAGCATGGATCAATGAACTGCCGTCCTAACTTTGGTTGTATTGTGTTAACATGAGGGCTGAATTGATCTAAACTTTGGTTCAAGGGCAAAAGGGACTGATAATTCCTTCCCCCACCCCCAAAAAGGGTAGTGGAATATCATTTCCTTACAATGGGAGGAAGAGGAAACAATAAATATTTGCAAATAATTATTTTCCTTCTCTTCCACAATGTTATGTGGATTAAGGATTTTACGTCCAGAACTTTGTACCAGCACAAGTATGGGTATTCAAAATAATGCTTAAAGACATATATAACAATTACTTGACCACAAGTGGTATGACAACCATTATATCCCTTACCCTAAAACCTTCTTTAGGAATAAGACTGACATGGTCTTGTGCCCACGCACTGCAATCCTTAGGGAAGAATTTGCTTCCTCTGATTTCTATGTGTATCTAAAAAAAAAAAAAAAGCTGTCCTAAATAAATGACATTGGCAACAGCTATGGAGTGTTAGTGTGCTAGGAGATCATTAGGATTCTAAGGTTCAAGCCTTCATGACAATTGTCAGGAAGTCAGTGACAGAATCAGGACTCTAACACAGGTCCACTACTTCTTGGCTGTCTGCCTGGGTTAGTGCCTGTTCTCCATGTATCATCATTCTTTCAAGGGTTGACTCCCTGCCAAGGTGGCTAAGACTCCAGTTCTGTTCATCAGTCCCCAAAGAACGGTTATCCCTTCATTTCAATTGTTTTCTTTTTAACCTGTTTTGTTTTTGTTTTTCTTCTTTCCAGGAAAAGGAGGACTGGGTTTTAACCACTGTCCAACTAATTGGCTCCCCTAAAAGCAGGATCATCTCTTCCTGATAGCGCCTGGGCATCCTGGAACTTCTACAAAGTCCAACATGGTGCTGGCTCTTGTTTTGTTTAGTAAACACATTATTGGGGATTTACTTTTTTATTTTGTGATATATCTTGTTATTCTTTGTGACATACTTTCTTACATGTTTCCATTTTTAAATATGCCTGTATTTTCTATATAAAAATTATATTAAATGGATGCTGCTCTACCCTAACAAAATGTACACACTTGGTTGTCAATTGGGAAATTCCTAGTGTTAATTTTATCCAGCTTCCTAAAATATAAAATTAAAATATATTTTCCTACTAAATCATACTTTATTGGATAGTGCCATTTTGTCAGGTGGCCAGGAAATAATAAAGAGAATTCACATGCTTTGATTTGTGATGGGACAACACAAGGCTACATGTAGGGCATCAGGCAGTGACAATAAAGAGGAACCCTTTATTCTAGTTTCATCTTTTTTATAACATATGTAACAATAAAGGCTTCTTGTCATTTAATCAAAAAGTAAGTGTTGGGCCTAGTCCTGGCTCAAGGTTAGCCTGGATACTTCTTCTTCCAACATTTGAAATGTAGTAGACAATAATTTAGCAGATAGTGAGGGAAACAAAATGACCAGCATTCACAAAATGCCCCTTTACCTTCTAATAGCTAGAATAAGCAGTGAACAAATTGAAAGAGGAACATAACTGAGACACTATATTCTAGGGTTCTCCTGTTTGGGGGTCCCCAGTTATGTGAGGAAACCTCAAGGTGAGGTGGGGGGGGGGGTCTTTATTCATCCAGTGTCTGGAAACCAATAACAAAACCAAAGCTCAGCATCACAGCACAAGCTTCATCCAGTGGCCAAAGGATGGAGAAGCAGGGACCTACTCACAAGTCAGTGTCTCAGCCTCTCCTGGTTTGAGGAGTCATGGCTACAGGGTGATGGGATTGTGGGGAAGAACAAGCTAATAAAAGAAGGAGGTATTCATAATTTTTCAGGGGAAAGGATGAGATAACTCTGGGAGTAGACAAGCTGCCTTCTTTTTGTCTTTTTGTAGTCTTGTCATGGGATTGTCAACAGTTATTATACTGGCGGGAGTATAACTACCAGAGAAATTTGCTTATGATAAAATTTGAGGTCTGCTGAAGATCATTCAAACTCCAGAGGAAAATATCTGCTAATGATCAAATCAAAGGATTTTAAAAAATGATTACTAAGACCTTGGGTGTATTTTCAAACCATGCCCTTTATGCTCTAGGTCCTTCAGGTAGGAGATGCGTGAGAGACACACTAATAATACTCAAGTTTGCTGCAGACTGTCATGCTTCTTTCACAGGAGCACTAGCGTTTTGCCTTACACATGCTGTGACTCATCGTTCTCTCCTAACTCTGGCCTTAAGGCAGTGACAATGACTGTCGACTCTCCCTTTGTCATCTAATTATCTTGTAGATGACCAAGGTCACATAACCCCAGCCCAAGTGTACACTTGAATGGGAGCCAATAACATGGAGAGATTGGGTATCAGCACTGCAGCAAACCAGGTAGAAACCACACTGCAGTGCAGGCATCCTGTTGGGCTCTGGTTGGAGTCCCAGCTGCTGCACTTCCAATCCAGCTCCCTGCTAATACACCTGGGAAAGCAGAGGAGGATGGCCAAAGTGCTTGGACCCCTGCACCCACAGGGGAGATCCAGAAGCACCTCCCGGCTTCAAACCAGCCCAGCTCCAACTCTTAGGGCCATTTACAGAGTGAACCAGCATATGGAAAATTTTTGCCTATCCCCTTCTTTCTCAGTAACTCTGCATTTTGAATAAATAAGTATTTTCTAAAGCAGACAGTATTTTCTAAGTATTTCTAAGTATTTTCTAAAGCTTTTCTCATTTTAAAATGAGAAAAGCCACAAGCACAGGATTAGCACTGTGCATCTTCAGTCACTGTGGGCAGCAGGCAATGCCACTGAAAACACGTGATCCTGAGTAAAGCATTTAGGGGCTCTTAAGTTTTGTGACCAAGTTAAGCTGTAGGACTTATGAGAAAGACTTGTGTTCCCTTTCTTCTGGAGAAAATGGTGATCACAACCACTTCAGACACAAGTCATTTTCCAAGCAACTCACTCCACCCTCTTCAGTCCTGACCTGTCTAATGACATGCCTGATCCTCACCCCGCTGAATCACCAAGAGCTCTCCTTTCATTACATCTTCTGGATCCTTTTCCTTTCCCAGCAGTGTTCAGTCTGGTTTATGTCTCTGTGAGTTAGTCCATCCTATCAACAAGGGCAATAAAGAGAGATCTGACAAACTAGAAAAACCTGAAAGAATGGATTAAAGACCACACAAACGTAGCAAAAGCTACAGTCGGCATTTCTCAATTATACTACATTCTTCAAAAGAGCTATTACAGAGACTATGAAATAGTTCAACAGAAACTCCTTCAAGATCTTTTTCTGCCCACCTTATAGTTGTATTGTGCTTTGTAATTTCAGTGTATTTTCTCCTGCAGTGTCTCATTAAGTTGCGAGAATTAAAAGCTATGTGAATACTTGGCAATAGTTGGATAAATGCCAGTGCCTCTCCCTTTGCTTAGCTCCTCCTCCTCAATCTGTCTCCTCAAGTTCTGCAAAGCCCTATTTTCATGCTTTAGAAAGTGGAGGTACAGTGAAGCAATGCCAACAGGAACTGGAAATTACAGCCCAATTACTGAAGCCCAAGGCCATAGCAAAGAGGCCTTAGACATGGCTGCCTTGCATAGCATGAACTTCAACTCAGCTGTGGTCCTGGCGTTCATGAACCTCTGTAAGCATTGTCCATGGTATATGGTATGATACAGTAGCTCATTGTGACAGTCTAGATTTCTGATGTTTGTAAAAGAAAATGTGTCTAATGACAGAACACACTTGACTTGCATGAGAGCTCCACCAAATAACTTCAGGCTGTGCTTAAAGGATGATCAGAATATTCCGTACTAAAGACTGTAATAATGAGACAGCCTCACAGGAAATGACTTTCATGCTCTGAATGTGCCATGTTTATACCTGGAGGCCTTTACTTAGTCAACTCCTTTACTCTACTCCCTATTTTCAACTAAACCCACAATCCTAATCACCGTCCCCGTGCTATTCTTTTGACCATTTTCTTTTGAATTTTCATATGCTGTTGACTTTGTTCTGAACCACCCTGCCTACATACTCCATCTAAGGCCAAGTGATGGAGAACAGTGGGAGAGGGGCCCACATTGCAGCACAACAGGCTAAGCCATAACTCAGGCATCCAATATGAGCATGGGTCAATCCAGGTCTCCATTTCCAACCCAGGTCTCTGCTAACGTGCCTGTGAAAGTAGTGGAACATAAGCTCCTTGGAGCCCTGCCGCCTTCACAGGAAACAGGTAGAGGTAAAGGTTATTCCTGATTTTGGCCTGGCCCAGCCCAGGTCACTATAGCCTTTTGTGGAAAGAACCATCAATGGAAAATTCATTCTGTTTCATTCTCTCTCTTTCTCTTTCCATCTGTCTCTAATTTGCCCTTCAAATAATTAAATGCAGCAAAGAAAAAAAAAAGTAGTGTTCCCTTATAGTCAATGATATCAAACAGTAAAAACAGACAGAACAATGTGGATTATCTAACAATAGTATATAATGATTGTGATGTGTATGTGTGTGCATGTGTACATGTTTGATGTAATAAAATTTGGAAGGAAACACAATAGGCTAAATAAGTCAGCAGTCTCTCTCCCTTATGACACACATCTAACAAACCTTTTTATATCTACAAAAATTGCCTATGACTTTGATGCTAAGCCGCCATTGAAATTGCTACACGCTTGAACTATATGTAGACTCAAAACCACAAACATGAAACTTGAATACTAAGCCTTCTCCAGAAAAAGCAAAAAAGGCAGTCTGCCAAGGTCATGACTCTGATAACCCGACTAAGAAGGACCAGGGAGGCAACAGGAAACCACATCCACTCATGTGTATTATTGATTTTACATGTATCATTATGTTAATATTTTACAAGTCTTTAGTAAGCTGAAGAAAAAGCAAAGCTGTGAGAAGCAGGATCTGTTTTATGGTCCACTCTAGCTCAGCCTAGTGTCCAGCATCATAGGACCCTTCTAAGTCACACCCAAGGCTTCCACCAGAGTGAAGCTCATATGATCACAGGTAGTTCTGCAGATTATGTCTGCCTCATGCTTTGGAGTTCGTTTTGGTTTTAATGTACTTCCTGCAATTTCAGTATTTTGTAGCAAGATAAATAAGATTGAAGTATACATAACAGAACTGAGAACAGGATAGTAAATTCCTGTAATTTTTTCTTGTTTCTCCACCCAAACCCCTCTGTACCTGAAATAACTGTAAACAATTCCAGTCAATTTTATATGGACTTCCCCATAATTTCTCTTTCTGATAAATGACCCTAACTGTGCAATCAATACTGATAAAAATAATTAAACAATGAGGAGTGAAGTCAGAGGGGGAGTGTTTTCATTCAACTTGATGAAAAATCATTTAGATGAGTAAATGTCAAGAAAAAATGATATCATGTTTTTCCCTTGGAGTAAAACAACCTAATTTTTCAATCCAGTTTTCATAATTTGCCTTTCTAAAGTGAAGAAGAAATCTGAGAAGTGAGCACATTGGTGGTGGCCTTGAAGGCTAGACTGGGAATGTAAATCATGGTGATGCATTGCTGTTTGGGATTTGGGGTTTGGGATTTGGGATTTGGGGTTTGGGAAGACCTTTGTGACAAATCACTGTGAGCAAAGCAGAGTGGAACAAATGCAAGAACTGCCTGCTGGGCCTCCCTGTGCAAAGCAGCCACCACACTCCTTGCAGGGTGGGGATCTTTGCTGCCCATTCCTCGATGGTACTTATCTTGGCACATGCTGATTCATCAACCATGGTCACCAGGGTTTGTTCCATGGGCTGTGTGGTTTTTCACTTTGTAAAAGTGTAAAAGAGTTTTGCTCAAGGTGCTACCAATACAAACTGCTCACTTTATTTTAATTTCCTGAGCACTTAACCGCTCACCATAAATAGTTGTCTGCTTATGGTTTAATGTCCACAAATACGCAAATGCATACGATCTAGAACATCCATGGTCTGAAATTACAGACTAACAAAACGTGTCCCTTCTTAAAACAATAATGTATCTAGATCACTCTCATGATCAGTTTCTAATTAAGTTCTTAAATTTAATTATTTCATACTTATAACACTTTATCAATATTAAAGCACTTTTCCTTTTCCTCCATGGCTAGTTTATGTGTTTCAAGCTCTTTAATAGCCAGAGTTATTTCTTACTTATGGGTGCAGTGATTAAAAAAAAATCTCTGGAATTCAACCAACTACATTCAAATCTTGATCCCTCCCCTTACTAAGTGTTTGTCCAAATGCATCGCTTCACGACCTGTATAAATAATAGCAGTTGCTATAACGACTAGGGAGCCTTACATATAATTAGTACACACACAATTTTCTAAAACAATTTTTCTCAATTAATATCATTTCTTTGTGAGTCCTGTTACCACTTTACCAGTTCATAGGATTCTGATCTCATTGCCTAACTCCAAAGTCGGTTTATCTAGTCATGTCAGACTAGAACGCTCACCATTCTTAAAGCCAAGCCACTGAGAGAAAGTACAGATAACATTATTCGCACCAGTGTGATGTTGCTAAAGCTCTAAATGGAGAAAACAAGACATTCGATGAATTTTATAGACCTGATGCCTTAATGTCACCAATTTTTTCCATGAAAGAAGGGCCAATAGTAAGATATATGCTTTGTCAGACACTTGGAACTACTGTTTAATAGCACTCTTATGTTTGTCATATTGTGTTTTGCTATCAGTGTGCCAGACAATCTGTTCTCCCAAAACCCACTCAGACAGTGCCTCTTCTACCAATGCAACACCAGTGACTCTGCTCTCTGAAATCTTCAGGTATAGAATAAGGCCTTAAACATTTACACAGTCTTGGCCAAAGTCTCTTTACCACTTCTTCAAATGTAATGATGTATGGATAGTAAACACAAACAAAAATCAAAATATTCAATGGTTCACCTATTTAATGTATTTTATGCACCCAATACAATCTTTTTCTTTAATATCTTTGAACTGGAAATGCAACTTAATATTGTACATTGGTAACATATAATCAGCAATTTAACAATTATAAACAATGGATCTTACTTTCAATAAAATCTGATGAAATTAAATTTTATATAACTGGCATTGAATGAATGTAACATTTATCATATAAAAACTCAATGATGGACCCAGTGCAATGACTCAGTGGCTAAATCGTCGCCTTGCACATGCCAGGATCCCATATAGGCACTGGTTCATGTCCCAGTTGCTCCACTTCCTATCCAGCTCTCTGCTTGTGGCCTGAGAAGGCAATGGAAGATGGCCCAAAGCCTTGGGACCCTGCACTACATGGGAGAATCAGAAGTAGTTCCTGGCTCCTGGATTTCAGATCAGCTCAACTCTGGCTGATGAGGACACTTGGGGAGCAAACCAGCAGACAGATATTTTTCTCTGTCTCTCTTTCCCTCTGTAGATATACATTTCTAATAAAAATAAATAAATCTTTAAAGAAAAAAACCTCAATGGCTTAGGTGATTTATTGACTGAAAGCACTAGAGACATTTTCTGGGACTGTGAAAATTCTTATGTCTGTATCTAGGGCTTTGTTCTTGAAACCCTGCTATTTCTTATTTTTAAAAAATAATGATGACAAAAAGGAAGCACAATAACATATGAATTCTTTAAAACTCTAAATCTAGACTTGAGAAAGTCTCCTTGCTAAGCACCATTGTTTCTGTTTATGTGAATCATGGTGAGACACTACCTTGACATGCCTCTCAAACTGGTTTCTCTAATGGCTAAAGGCAGAATGTGGGATAGAGTTGTTAGCAAGTTCTTGTGTCTTTCATACTCAGATGCCTCCCAACAATAGTCATCCACCCTCACACCATGAGCCACCTTCTCCACCCAATATCAACCCTGTCATCAAGTTCCCCAGTGAGTCATGGAAGCATGCACTGGAGGCCAGCCTTTTGGGGCAGCAATTCTGGACTACACCCTACACCCTTCCTTCTTCTTCCCACTGCCAATGTGATCACTTTTTCCTTTTCTCCTGATGTACTCAACTTCAGTATCACATTTCTCCTTCCCAGGAATTGTGTCCTGCCCCTCAACAACGTCTACAATACAAATCATAATTGATCAGCCTCCTTGGCAACACAACCTTATGCAATGTTGTACCTGAAAAGGGAAAGAGCCTTAGTAGTTTTCAGGATATTTAAGTTCTTTCATCTTCCTTAATTTTCACACTGTAATATGATGTTTGTGACATGATCGTTAGCAACAGAATAAAGAATGGAACCTTGTCCATTGCTTTAGCCCTTCCTCTGAGAGTATGCATTCTTAAGTTTCTCTCTAACTACAGTCTCAAGAATAATAAGCAAAGTGCAATGTCAGACAGCTATTCCCTACTTTAGAAACTTTCTGTATTAATATCTTTTAAAAATAGGCTATCAGAACACTGCACATTACAACTATAACCCAGAGATGGTGGTTTTATAGGTGGCACATGCATGTCCAGATGAAACTGAACCCCTGTAATGTAAAAGCAGAGCCCAGCCTCTGGTCTGTCATCCTTAACACAGGTGTTCTTGCCTACCTTTTATCAAAAGGAATTCACTGATATATGGGAGCGACCCAGCTGGCCTTACAGCTTTCTAGCCACTGGACTCCAGCAGTCATTACCAATGGGTAAGAACCTTAAAGGCCAGTCCTGTTCAGAGGGCTACATCTGGGAGGAGTCCTGGTGAAAAATGTAACTAGATTCATGTAACGCTCAGATTGACTGCAACCCACCTGGCCACTGTAAATGCGCTATAGATCATGACATCACTGGCCCATCAGGAACCTTGCATGTATGCAACTGTCAGCCCCAATTTTCTGTCTGTAAGATCCTTCAGCCCTGACTCCTCAGGGAGCTATTAAGCAATTAAGCCCTGCTCTGTGCTTTGCAACAAATGTCTACTTTCTTCCATTACCCATGTCATTGATTGGCTTTCTGCACATCTGGCAGGCACACCCAGTTTGGAGTTTCTACAATAATACCTCCAACCAGTTTGGGGTGTTGTTCAGCATCAAAGGGTCTTTTAACAAATTGTTGAGTCCACTATTAAAGCAAAAAATAAAGAACTTCCAGGGAATGAATGGGAAAATGTGAGAGATGTTCTAATTTGGAGTAGCAGGGGTAACAGGGAAAAGCCTGTTTTGAGGGGTGGTCTGATATCAAAACAGCATCATCATGGGCCTGGCACAATAGCCTCGTGGCTAAATTCCTCACCTTGCATCTACCAGGATCCAATGTGGGCACCAGTTCATGTCCTGACTGTTGCATGTCCCTTCAAGTTCCTTGCTTGTGGCCTGTGAAAGCAGTAGAGGACAGCTCAAAGCATTAGGAGCCTAAACTTCTATGAGAGATCTGGAAGAAGCTCTTGGCTCCTGGCTTCACAGCAGCTCAACTCCTGATGCTGCAGCCACTTGGGGAGTCAACCAGCAGACAGAAGATCATTTTCTCTGTATCTCCTTCTCTCTACGCATCAGCCTTTCCAATAAAAAAATTAAATGAATTTTTTTTAAAAAAAAAGTATCACCAAAATCCAGAGGAGGATTATTCCAGCACAGGCCAAGGAGAGACTTTATACCAATAAACTTAAGTTTTGAGTTCTCTTTCACTCTCATGCATGTTTTAATTTTGCCATTCATCTTCATGCTCCAGGTTATGTACTTAGTGACTGCTTAGTGTTAAATTACTGGTGTTACAAAATCACACATCTGAAGATCACTTCACAGCTTTCAAAGCCAGTCTCCATAGATACTGTCACTCAACCCTCACAACAATTCATTGGTAAGTGAGCCAAGTCATCATAGCCTTATTCTAATAGGTCAGCAGTTCCCAAGCTTGTCTAAATTTGGAGCAATCAGAAGTAATGATTCCCTGCAAGGAACAGCATGAATAGCATTTACTCTAGGTTTCAGGATGGGTGATGTCTGTCTACAGATTGAGCAGAAGTCATGTAGGGCAGGGGACAATGTTGTGTGTGTGTGTGTGTGTGAGTGGATATGGTTGGTTCAAGGATGTATAGAGGCCGAGAAACCCTGTGATATGCCTTCTGCAAGCTACAGATTCAGAAAAGCTGCTAGTGCCATTCAGGTCAGGTTCAAACGCTGCGAACCAGGGGAGTCATTAGGGTAAACCCCAGCCCAAGGACAGAAGATGAGATGATACAGTCAACTTAAGTCATGAAGTACAAGGTTAAAAAGGGGACAAGTTTATTCTTTCCCTGTCCTTTGTTCTACTGGATGCTATCCCCCACACTATGAAGGTCAATCTGCTTTACTCTACAACAGATTCAGACACTAAATCCATCCTGAAAGGTCTTCACATATACAATCAGAAACAACAGTTAATCCAGGTACTTTAGCAAGCAGAATAGTTCAATTCAGCATAAGGAATGCCAGGATTTGAGAGAAGCCTATTTAAGACCAACACCTAAAAGTAAAAACATTGTCCCCCCTTTTACCAGCAGACTCATGTATGATTTGTTCCAGTTCAGAAAGGATTCCATCACTTTATGATGTACCATTATGTTCATCATGATAGATAATGTTTCACATACCCGTTTATTCACATTCCTTTAGGGGACATGTATTTTTATTTTTTTGTAATAGACATGGCCTATCTACATAAGGCAATTGGGTTGAATTCAGTATGCTATTTTATTTTATTTTTTAATATATATATTTATTTTCATTGTAAAGTCAGATTTACAGAGAGAGAAGAGACAGAAGAGACAGAGAAAGATCTTCTGTTCTCTGGTTCACTTCCTAAGTGACTGTAACAGCGGGAGCTGAGCCAATTCAAAAACTAAAGTAATAAAAAAAAAATCAATAATAATGCTGATGATGGACATAAGAAAACGTACATATTACTGCTGTATACAGATAAAAGAATTGTGATATTTTAATGACCAAACTTATTTAAAATAGGTATACCATAAGGAAGCTATCCTAATGAAAATTAAAATTTTCATAACTACTATTGGGAATCATAGAACAAAGAAGAGATGGGGCATGAACTCCCAGCCAAATTAAATTTAATATTAGAGGAATAAATCCAACCAAATGATCAGTTACCAATGGGCAGACAGAAGAATCACATGGAAAAAGGCTCAGATTTTCAACAGGCTAGGCCTTTTATAATTTTAGGGTCTTGGAATGTTCTGAGGGATGGGAGAAATAGGTGGGGGCTACAACAGCTTTCCATGGGCAATTTTAAATTTGTACCACCTTACAAGGTGAAACGGATTAGGTGAGATCTTGTCAAATGGCTGCTTGATCTTACTAAATGATTGCCAGATGCAAAAAGGTCTTATTGAAATATACTACAAAGGTCGTGGGGAGACTATACATGGGAATTCCAGTGGAGGAGTCAGACTTGAGTCCTTGCCCCATCAACTGCCTTTTGAAAAACATTCATCATGGTGTTTTTGTAACTGTAAAGATGAAAAGAATATAAATAAGAGAAAGTTGATTAAAACTTGGTACATCCTAAGAACAGAACAGCATGTACCAACTAAACGTCATGTGATCTGAGTATATACAATAAGAAAATGTTCCTGGCATGACTCTAAAGGAGAGAACAGGACCTGGGATGATGACCCACTTAGCTAATCCTCATCTTGCAAGCACCAGCACCCCATATTGGCACTGGTTCGTATCCTGGATGCTGAAGGTTCCTGCTTATGGCCTGGGAAAGCAACAGAGGATGGGCCAAAGACCTAAGACCCCACAGTTGTGTGGAAGACTTGGAAGAAGCTCAAGGCTCCTGGCTTTGGGTCAATTCAGCTTCAGCCCTTGTGGTCATTTTGGAGCATGAACCAGCAGATGAAACATCTTTTTCTCTGTTTCTTCAACTCTTTGTAAATCTGACTCTAATAAAAATAAACAAATATTTAAAAAAGGAGGGAACAGAATGTAGCAACATAAGGTCAACTCAACTAAACTAAAACATACATTTTTGTGTTTATATGATTATGTAAATAGATTAAAATATCAACAGTGCTGGTGATACTATACAATCTAAGATTGCAGGAAATTCTCTAATTTGAGTTTTCCATATCTTCAAATGCTCAGAATCAAAAGTGATTGGAAACATACAAGAAGCACTGGGAACTTGCCCCTGCAGACATAAGAGTGGTGACAAGGAAAGTAAATAAAGACCTTCTCATCAGAGAAAACAAAAGGGTCTTCCAGGAAACAGAGCGACGGCTAGATTCTAGCAAAATCTCTTCCTCAGTATTCTTGCTAAGTAGCCTCCTAAGCCTCAGCTTATCCAAAGACACAAAGAGTTTCATTCTGTTTCCATGGAAGGTGTTTGATGTGTTGTTTTCTCATTTTACCCACATGTACCCTCTCCACAGGGAGGCAGCCATTTCCCTGTCTCCAGGCTCTGGGTCCCAGATCTCTCTGCCTGAAAGCCTTAGGATGAATATCTAAGCAGTCTGAGATAAGGGTGCACATGTCTGTCTTCATGGTGATCACAAGTTTCCTACATAGCCCACAATGGCACACTATAAAGTTCCCCAAAGTCAGAGGTATGGTTCTGGCCCATGATGGCAAAAAACACACTCTGATGAACATGAATTTAGATCCTTATCATGACGTTAAATGTCTCATTTTGTGGGACATTTGTTATACAGTGTTTTGTACATTTTGACTTGCTTTGTTTTATGCACATTGCAGGGGCAGAGTGAAGGTTAAAAATGTTCTTTACCGGAGCCAGCGCAGAAAAGTAACAGGTTAATCCTCCACTCTCCACCAGCATCCCATATGGGCACTGTTTCCTGTCCTGGAGGCTCCATTTCTAATCCTGCTCCCTGATACTGGCCTGGGAAAGCAGTGGAAGATGGCCCAAAACCTTGATATCTACACCCATATGGAAGATCCAGAAGAAGCTCCTGGCTTCCAGTTCAGATCAGCTCAGCTGTGGCTGTTGTGGTCATTTGGAAAGTGAACCAGCAGATGGCTCACTCTCTGTAAAAATGTATCTTTCAAATAAAAAAAAAAGAAAGAAAGAAAAAAAAACCATAAATTTTTAACAACAACAAAAAAAGTTCCTTTCCATCTCAAAGTCCTTGGCCTCTTGCCTTTTCCTTTCTCAATACTGTCTAAGGTGTGTCCTCTTCATCCAATCCCACCTGTGACTCCCACATCATCATCTGGAGCCAGAACTAACTGGGCTTCACCTAACAGACATCTTTTCTACCCTGTCCCTGAATGTAGCCACTGACCCAGGGACCTGGCAGAGTTTTGCTTCCAAACAGAAACAGAAGCATTGAAGGCTATGCATTCCACTGAAGAGCCCCATTTTAACAACAGATTGCAAGCAAGTAATACTAATTGTAAATGTAGTATACTATTGTCCCACTAACTAATGTCAAAGCAAATTCTACTTTGAGAGTAGGAAGAGGAGACTACAAGATTTATGGCAAGCACAATCTAAAGCTCCAATTTGCACCAGAGACAAAAATGTCAACCCAGTCCTCTTTGATACCATTTGTTTCACCACTGCCACTGCTGCCACAGTCTATCAAGATGCTGCACATCAAGTGTGATGGAAAAAGATGTTCTGAAGAAAAGTGCTTTCCAAATCTGCTTCCAAGCACACCAATCTTTGCCCTGCAAGCTCATCATCATCAATACAACTCATCTCTGAATGTTGCAAATGACATTGGGTGCCTGGGAAGATCTCTTACTACCAAGCCTAGGGTTCAGCTGATACATGCAAGACTGACCACACCAATTCAATTATTAAAAATTGCAATAGTTGTATATGTCCCATCCATCCTAATCCTTTGCTTTACTACAGTGAAGTTAGTGTAATTCTTCCCTTGGATATCCTGGAGCTCTTAAACCCAGCAACTAAAATGGTTATTCCTGGGTGGAACAGCCAGTTAAGCAGATGCATATCTGGCATGTTTTGCTATTGATTAGCGCCTAAGACAGTGAAGTTGTTAAATAGCTTGATGTTACTCTTGACCTTTGGGTATCAATGTACTTGACTAATGCAAATCCATCCAGTAGTTAATAAGATGATGATTATCATCATCTGGCTCAGTGGTTCTCAAACTAAGCATGCAGCAAAATCACTAAGAGGACTTATTAAAACATGTTCTATACAGCTCCACCCTCGAAGGTTCTAATTCATTAGATCCAAGGTATCGCTATTTAAGTATATCCTGACATTGCAAGTATGGATAATAACAGAGTCCAGAATCGTATTGTCAAGATACATTTTACAGTTTCATTGGGAGTCCATTTTTGATTTGGAAGTAGAGATGCAAACTGCATTGTACCCTCACGACTGGATATGACAGTCTCTTATAAGTTGTAACTATAACTTTCAAACAAATAAATAAATATTGAATAAGTCACTCTTAGGGAATTGTCAGCTAAAGTTCCAGTATCTCACATTGCAGCACCTGGATTCAAGGCCTAGCTCTGTTCCCAACTCCAGCTTCCTGAAAATGCAGACTCCGGGAAGCAGCTGACGATGGCTCAAGTGATTGTGTCCCTAACTTCCACATGAGTGACATGGGTTGAGTTCCAAGTTCATATTTGCCCCCACCATTGTAGACATTTGGAGAATGAACGAGTAGATCTTTCTCTTTATCTCCTTCCCTTTTCTCTCCTTCTACCTCTCAAGTTTAAAGAAAAAACAGAATCACATAAGGAATGATAGTGAGTGTTCAGTGATTGAACCTGGAATTGAGTCTGTAATTCTGTATTTCTGTCACACTCCAAGGTGAAGCCTAGGTAAGACCATGAATAGAAAGATAATAGAGCAAAAAAAAAAAGTTACTCTTCTCTCTTACCTGAAAGTTTTTTATTTCTTGGTACATCATTCCTTTTCTATATTATTTTCACTTATTTAATATGTTTAATCTGCCTTCTTTTGCTATCCCTCCCTCTCAGCAGCTTTCTTTACTTCCTCTCCTCCACTCCCTTCCCTTCTCCTCTCCTTTTTTCTCCTCTTCTTTCCTTTCTAGCCTCCTTTCTTTTCTTGCCATGTTGTTTTTCTTATCTTCTGTTTTTTAAGTTTTAAAATTCCCAAACCACTCATGGGATTCTATCACTAGCTTACGTATAATAAATAAAATGGAATCCTAACTTACACCAAAAAGACTCCACCCAGATTATCTTGAAGAATCATGATTCTAACAAAGAGGTCAGAATTGAGTCTAGGAAAATAACATGTGAGTGTATGACAGGAAAGCAAAGGAGGCAGTCAAGCGCAAAGAAAAGAACAACGTGCCTCTTTCTCAGACATCCTCGGATGGGAGATGTTTCCAGAGCTAGAAATGTTCCGTCCTTACCAAACATGCATTCCTTCTACAAAATGTTTATAAAGCCCATTGTGGTGAATTTAGCCATTTTCTAGATTTTAACACAGCCTCATTACAGTTAGAAAGAAGCACTTCTATGAGCAGAACAGACCTCGTGCTTTCTCTACTCTTGGGCTGAGCAATCTTCTTACCAGCACATTCCATGGAAACAATGACAAGCTTGGTGCCGAAGGGCATAGTACCACCCTGGCCTTGCTTGCCTTCTGGAAACCCAGAGATGTTCCTGGAATTTATTGGTTTAGTAGTTGCACTTAAGAATTAAACTTACACCATGTTCTTCCAAATGCAATGGGGAACAGTTAAGAAGATTAATTTCCCCCAAGGCAAAACAGAGAGGAATGGCAAATGTCTTCCTAGTTCAGAAAAAAAAAAAAAAGAGGGGAGTGGGTGTTAAGGGGTTGTGGAGTCTGTTCACCTAGCACTCAATAATTTTCTAAGAGACCTGCATATTTTAGCCTAACTTGGATTTCTCCCTAGATGATGGCTGACCAAGGCTTGACTTATCTAAACTTGTACCTCTGAGTCCCATCTGTAGATTGAACACACACTTGTTATCTGACTGAGTATTCTTAAGATCACCTCTATGGAAATGATGCCTGGAATCCAGCCATGGCTCCCCACTGTGGACCAGTTGACATCTGTGGCTGTCACCACTTGGGGGTGCTGCTGACATCTTGTGAGTTGAGGTCTAAACAGCTTCCCAAGTATGGGGCAGCTCCCAGAGACAAAGCTAGAAATCATGATTGGAAGGTGTTCAGTAATATGTCAAGAGTGATCTTTCCATCCTGAATGAAAATGAAAAAGAAATAAATGAAGATAAGGCCTTGAATATACAACACAACCAAATCACTGTCTGGGATGGCAGACTCAATCACTTACAGGGGCCAGGCAAGCTGTGCAAATAAACACACAAGGACAACAGAAAAACTGAAAAACAGACAGTGTGCAAAGACATTAGAAATATTTCAAGAACCATTTCATGTAGCTTGAGAATAAGAGCTGCACACCCACCTGAAAAAGTGGCATGCTGCCATTTGAATCCTCCTCATGCACATGGAGAACTTGAGGACTTCCAGCAATAGAAGGCACTAGGGACAACTAGAAAGACGAGCATCCTCTCTGGGGCCAGCACCTTCTCTCTGCACCTGATGCCTATCCAGTAGCCCAGGACTAAACACCCAGAACTGGATGCACGGGAGAAAAGAGAAAGAACATTTTTTTTCTATAAAATTTTAATGCTAGAAACTAGCATCTGTACTCCTGAATAAAAGTAGGATTCCCAATGAAACTTGTAAGCTAACTTTATATTATGATGCCAGGTTCTCTATTTTTTCCTATACTTACTGCATTATGATACATTTAAATATCAGACAGTTAAACTTACAATGTTCTGAAGGACTATACTACCATAATAACATGGGGACAAATGGTGGGAGGGGAACACAGGAAGGGAGAAGGGGAGGGGGGGTGATGAACCTCTGTGCCTATACAACGTATCGAGGGAATTAATAATTTTAAAAGGCATATCCTCCCTCCCTCTCTCTCTTTCTCTCTTTCCCTCATTCTCTCTCTCTTTCTCTTTTGCAATCTTTCTCTCATGCTCTATTTCTTTCTCTCCTTGCTTAAGATCTAATGAATATTACTAGTGGATGCATTTCTTTTTTTCCTGACATTAAATTCTGCAAAATTACAAATTATCAAATGCAGAGCACAGCAAAGACTGCTATTTTATATGACCTGATAGCTGGAAACTTTTGCCAAAAAAAAAAAAACTTTGTAAAATAAATTTACAAGAGGTTTTTTATTATTTTTTACTTTAATTAGAAAATCAAATATACAGAAAGGAGGAGAGACAGCGAGGAAGATCTTCCACCCACTGATTCACTTCCAAGTGGCTGCAATGGCTGGAGCTGCACCGATCCAAAGCTAGGAGCCCACAGCCTCTTCTGGGTTTCCCCCGTAGGTTCAGGGTACCAAGGCTTTGGGTCATGCTCCACTGCTTTCCCAGGCCAGAAACAGGGAACTGGACGGGAAACGGGGCCACTGGGATTAGAACTGGTTCCCATATTGGATCCCAGTGCATGCAAGGTGAGATCTTTAATGCTAGGTTACCACACTGGGCCCAACAAGAGTTTTCAAGAATAAACATATTGAAACAGAGACTTATGTGATTCACCTAGCTTAAACTATTATCTTGTCTGCAAAAAGAAAAGTTTGCCTGTTCTAATGACTGTTCTAGTACATTAAGAAGTTCCTTTACAAGTTCCTTTGTTCAAAACAGAGCAAAGCAACAATGTTCAGAGAATCTATGACTTTTTTCAAGATTTACTTTTGTTGGAAAAGCAGGTTCACAGAAAGAAGGAGAGACAGAAAGCTCTTCCATCTGCTGATTGACTCCCCAAATGGCTGCAATAGCCACAGTTGAGTCATTCTGAAGCCAGGAGCCAGAAGCCAGTAAGTTCTTTCAGGACTTCCATATGGGTGCAGGGTCCCAAGGCTTTGGATCATCCTCTGCTGCTTTCCCAGGTGATAAGCAGGGAGCTATATGGGAAGTGGAGCAGCCAGGACATAAACCGACACCCATATAGGATACTGGCATTTGCAGAAGAATTAGCCAATTGAGCCATTGTGCTAGGCCTATGATTTGTAAACCACATTCATAGGAACCCCATTACAGGATTAAGGCTTCAGTATTTTTTTGCAATGGTAGAAGAGTTTTTACAAAACCCTAAGTGAAAATAATTTTCATCTATTTAAATGTTATCCCAATTTCATCTTATATGAGGTCTGGGAGTAAGGGTTAGAGAAATATGGTTGGAAATACATGCAAAAGAACAGAATAAGACAGAAATGCCATTGATTCTATACACAAGGCCCCTGGTTGCTAATTCTTGGCTGGCCACAAGTCAACTAGCTAGTCATGACATAGGAGTAAAATTAGTTCCAGAGCCTGCCAAAGTTCCAGGTTCTGAAATGACATGCTGAATGATGTCACAGAGAAGTTACTTTATAATCTGGTCAGGATCCTGTAATTTCATGAGACAGCTCCAGGGATCCACTTGAACTAACAGGAGAGTGTCGTCAGTAGTTCCCAGCTGGAAATCATGGTGCGGATTATAAAAGACACGGCAAGTATTTATTTAGCTTTCATAAATATTTCAGAAGTGACTGTCTCCAGAACAGACTTAATAAACATCAAGAATGATTTCCTTCCTTGCCATGTAACTATGGAAGAGTTTTAAAATTCTGGCTTTTTGTGTTGTTCTTTGAGAAATGACATCATCCAGAGGAGTGGCCAAGCGACAAATTGATCAAAAAAGTATTTTTTTTCACCTCCTTATTTTCTTGCTCTGACACCAACTGGATACTTTGCCCTTAGCTGTACTTAGAAAACTCTGCAAAGGTTAGTAAATCCACATAGTGCACTTATCCTGGGTGATAGAACAGATTCCAGACATGACTGTAAACTAGGGGAGAAGAAATGGCAGCCAATATCAATGAACAGTTATATGGGTAACTTACCCATTGCTCAGTGTTATTGTTGCAACAGACTAAAATCTGTAGTAGACAGACATTTCTAAAGAGGACCTGCCTTCTTCAGTGGGTGATGTGGGTATTAGAATTCAGACCTTCTGACATCAGACCTCATTATGAAAGAGTAGGAGCAAGAGGAGAGTACTGGGTCATAGGGTCCTATCTGCCAGGACCCTCAGGTTCAGACTTCCGGTATCTTTCCGGAAGTGTAGCTATGTGTACAATCACAAAAATTGCACTGGCAAGATGAAAAGGAGACATTGCATGTCACTTCGTTGTAAGTATTTTCAAATATCACACATGGCTAATGCTTTGGATAGTTGCTTCCTTGTTTAACTCTCAGGGCTGTCCCAGAATAGCATGGGGCCTTACTCTTTCCAGAGAAGCTTCTTGTCCTGATGAGCAGCTGTCTCTTTGCTCAGATTTCAACTCTACACCTCACTGAAATGGACTTTGGCCAGCAAAACCACAATTTAACTCAATCCCTTTCATTACCCTTACCTTCCTGGTTTTTTTTTTTTTTTTAAGATTTATTGTTTTTATTGGAAAGTCAGGCATACAGAGAAGAGAGAGAGAGGAAGATCTTCCATCCACTGATTCATTCTCCAAGTGGCAGCAACAGCTGGAGCTGAGGTGTTCTGAAGCCAGGAGCCCACAGCCTCTTCTGGGTTTTCCCCCGTAGGTGCAGGGTCCCAAGGCTTTGAGTCGTGCTCCACTGCTTTCCCAGACCACAAACAGGGAGCTGGATGGGAAGCGGGGCTACCGGGATTAGAACCAGCATTCTTATGGGATCCTAGTGCATGCAAGATGAAGACCACTGGGTCACCACTCCAGGCCCTGTGCCTGGTTTTTACACACAGATATACCCTAAATTTTCTCTCAAAGTCTGGCATATTATAGACTTCAATGTATGTGTACAGAATGCGTATGTACAGTAGAAGTTTTCCCTTCAGATAAGATAACCAAGTCAAGTTCATGGGCCCAACCAGCCCAACTCACAACCAAGAAACAGCTACTGGAAAGTGAAGGGTATGGGGAGCTGGTGAGGATGACATCCACTTTATTCCATAAATAGGGGCTTGGCACAGCTCTCGGAAACATCAGCTACTCTATCCTACAGGAACTGCAGTAAAAGCATGAGAGTTCCTCCTTGTGAGTCAACTCTTTCACCTCTTTGAAACTAAACCAAATACAACGTAATTGTCAACTCCCCCTTTAATAGGATAGGCACACCATTTGTGTGGTTGTATGCAATTAACTCCATCCCTAATGAGGCTAGGCACTACTTGGCTTTATTAATGATCCCATCCCCCACTCACATCTTAATGATTGGCCCTGGTATGAGCTCATGATGCAATGCAGGCCCGTAAAAGGAGGTCTGGGTCCCATTTGCTACAAAGAACTCAACAGATGATGTTGTACAGTGGTTAAGGACAGGCCCTGGAATCAGACTGCTTGGGTTAATAATCCCAACCGCATCACTCTTTTCTCATCTGTGAACTGGAGATAATAGCACATGCCCTGTGTAAAGTACAAAGCTGTGTAGTGTAATGAGCCACAGAATATGTTAACTTTTACTTTTGTAATTCACTGAAAAAAGAAAAGACGCAGAGAATATTCTAGTTGAACAACCCCTTGTTCATCCAGTAACTATTGCATAACCATTCGGGTTGTAACAGTCAGGACTATGGGAGGTGCAAGAATGAATCAGGATTGAGTGCTGGAGGCCTCTGGGGAGATAAATCAGGAATCTAGCACAATCAGCGTCCATAATGCAAGTGTAGACATGGTAATCTGAGGCCTCAGGAAAGGAAGACTTCCTCCTTCAGATGATATGTGTAACTGACGGAATGAATATTTGCTGAAGATACTCAGCAAAAAGGCATGGTAGATCCTCACATGGAGAGTTTTGTTTATGCCTTTCATCAAGGCCACTCTTCCAAAGCAAAACAAAATGAGTCAAGATATTTGATGAGTTCCATTCCTTCCGAATTTTCACCACCAATGTATACGTAGGTACACACACACATATACATATATATGCATATACATCTATATACATATATACACACGTATGTGTACATATACATATATTCATATGTGTAATTATGTAGACATGACCTGAATAATACTCCTGCTCACCCCTCCTCATGTTTGCCCAATCGGTCTCAGCGTCTCCCCAGAGATAACCATCATCACCCACCTCCATCATCATTTGAATGGGCTCCTCATCTTCCAGTAGGTTTATTATCATTGATACATTATTGCAAAGAGAAATATTTCTGACAGACATTGGAAGATGTTAGTTCATACAGAAAGCAATGTGGCAGGACAACTGTTTTAAAATTGTTTAAGAACTAACCTAACAAATCATTTTCTTCTCTGCTAGACTTTGAGCTTCAGGAATTATGCTTATTTCTTCATGTATGCTTTGGTTTCAGGACGAATTGAAAACATTTTTGAAAGCTGCAGGGCACAAACTTGTGGTAGTTGAATTTTCAGCAAAATGGTGTGGCCCCTGCAAAAGGATGTCTCCTCTTTTTCATGTAAGTAGCATCAGTGTTTGTGTCACCATTCTACCAAATTTTTTAAACTGCAAAATGTTTTTCCCAATAATTCCTGGAAATTCAGTACCTATGAGTCAATTCAGAACTATGATGTTTCACAGCACTCAGTTTAACCTGAAGATGACACATAAGATCTAATTAGATGACACCAGAACATTAGCACTATTTGCCTGTAATTCTGCAAAGAGTGTCAGGATGTGAAAAATGGGATTGAGTGCTTTGTCCAGCAGTGAAGCGGCTAATTGGGGTACCCACATCCCGTATTTGAGTCCCTGATTCTAGTCCCAGTTCTGCTCCCTGATCCAGACCCCAGCTACCATTCAGCAGCTCAAGAAACTGGGTTCCTGCCAATGGAACAGGAGACCTACGCTGAGCTCCCAGCTTCAGCCTCGCCTGGTCCTAGCCTCAGCTGTGGGCATTTGAGGAGCAAACCAGCAGATGAATGATTCTCTCTCTCTCTCTCTCTCTCTCTCTCTCTCTCTCTCTCTCTCTCCTACCCCCCTCCTTCCCTCTCTTCTTCCCTCCCTTCTCCCTCCCCCCTCTCCCCACTTCTTATCCTCACTCTCCACTTTCTAATAAATAAATTAATCAAAATTAAAAAATATTTGCCAAGGAGTCCAACTGTGTAAATGGATTACTCACATGACAATAAGTGTATTTTACCAAAATTCCAGAGTTCAGAACTTCTAAACATTAGAACAATTTGCAGAGCACAATAAGCAAAAATGTTTATTTTAAACTTTAAAAGAATAAACATTCTCCAGTTCTCCAACTACTATTATCAGAATAAATCATGTGCCTTTTAAAAAGGCATTCTGTTTTTTCCGTACCTTATTGGGACATAACTGACAAAGCTGAGCATATTTAATGTACACAATTGATGAGCCTGAACATTTGTAAATATGTATCAATCACTTCCAACATTTGCTTGCTTTGTTTTCCCTCCTGTAATTAGAATATTGAACATGAGACTCATACTTTTAATGTCTTTAAGGGCACAATGTCACATTATTAACTACAGACACTACACAGACTGAAGTAGATGTCATATCCCTATCCCTTGATTTCATCTGGCTTTTGACTCGGTGCTCCCAGTTCTAGGTGGTAGGGAGATGCCAGAAGGAAACTTAGTTAACAACCTCCTTTCTGAAACAATACTACTAGTACCTATTTTAATATGAACACTATACTAATGAGGAAATTTTATTCTTTCATTTTTGAAGGCACTGTCTCAGCAATACCAAAATGTAATGTTTGCTAACGTGGATGTCGATGATTCTCCGGTAAGAATCTTAAATTTTCCATGGAGAAGCTTAAAATTCAATGCAATTTCACTGAGTAGCACTCTCTCGGCAATTACATTACCAAATACAATCAGCATAAAATATTCCAGATAAAAATATTTTAAATGCTCTCATGTTGCTCCTGTGTGTTTTGTATTACATTCAGCCCTTTGTATGCATGGATTATGGATTTAAGAAATCAACCAATATTCATCTATATCTTCTTTTAAAATTGTGTCTATCTGAACACTTACACATGTCTCTTGAGATTATTCCTAGACAACAATATAATAACTATTAACATAGCACTCGTATTAGATATTATAACTAACCTAGAGGTAGCAAGTGTACAGAAGGAGAAGCTTTGGGGCAGGCTCCTACCCACCCTGTATCAGGATGCCTGGATTCAAGTGCTGGCTGGCTCATAGTCCAGCTTCCTGCTGATGTGCACATTGAGAGGTGAGTGGTGAGAACTCAGACAGTTGGATCTTGGCTAACCATGTGGGAAACTCAAATTCAATTATTGTTTCCTGGCTTCAGCCTGGCTCAGACCTGGATGTTGTGGATATTTAGGGAGTAAACCAGAGGATAAGAGCTCTCTCTCTCTCTCTCTCTTTAACCCTATGGTTTTAAATTAGAAAAGGGTAAGCCTTTTCTAAAATGCTACACAAATATAATATTCTGTTTCTCCAGTAAAGATTATAAAGATCTCCTTATTCTTCCTTAATTATGCAACAGCCTTTTTCCTGACCAGGTTCCACTGGGGCCCATCTTTCCCAAAGTTGTTTAAATCAAGCTCACTTCAGGGCAGGTGTTTCTAAGAAACTTCAAGATTTTTGACACAAGAGAGGAAACCAAAATACTGACTTTATGCCCTTTCTTTTTTTCCTAGGAATTGGCTAACACTTGTCACATCAAAGTAATACCCACATTTCAGATGTTCAAGAAAAGCCAGAAGGTATGTTTCCATGGTGATTAGCAATATTTATTTTGATTATAGATTCATTAACACCCAAGAAACACCTAGAATAAGGAAAATACTGCACTTGTTTTACTACTGAGCACTGTCATTTTCAATTGCCAAATTTTTGTTTACCAGCAATGGGTTAAAAAAATGCATAGCTAGTAATAAATCTTACCTGACATATCCAGATCCATAAAAATTTTCCTGCCCTGGGCAGAGCCATCAAGAAAAATCTTCCAGAGAAGGACAGGATGCAATTCTTACATGAAGCTATTTATATTGCTTACATTGTTAACGACACCAGAGAAACGTAAACTATCACAAGGCAACATTGCCTCATGCTGGAGCAGACAAGCTCTGGGTCCAGACGCCCCTGGCTTAAGAAGTGCTTCTACCACTTTTCCCGCTGTGGAACTTGGAGTAGTTTACTTGTTCTATTTGTGTCTCAGTTTCCCCATCTGCAAAAACACAGAACATGGTGGCTTTTTTTTTCTCATAAAATTGCTGTGAGAATTTAACTATTTGCAATATGATTAGAATAGTTAGATCCATTTGGGCATTAAATATTCAGCAATTTATGTTAGTTTTCTTAAGACATCAATGAAATAAAATGTCTAAAATATTCAGCATATAATGAAACGTGTACTTTCCACTTATTCCCTCACCTATCTGCTATCTTACAAGTCATGAAGAACCTCCCTGCCATGTCCCAATCCTGTATTCCTTGGATACATGGGAGCACCATTCACTCACCAGTTTCTGTATTCAGGGAATTTACCTCTCTTGTCTACCAGCTCCTCCCACCAAGCTCTTCAGTGGTAATCTGTGCCTGATTGCCCTCCAGTAAAAGTGTATCACTAGGCTCTATACTTTTTTCCAGTCCATCTTCTCCCCTTCAGTAATTTCATCCCTGCTTTTAATTGCAGCAACAAATATATTTTATTTAAATGATGTCAGTAGCCTCCCTCATGGCCAAACTTAACTCCATAGTCCTGTTCACTTCTCCAAATCATCCTTGCACAGATCCCTATATGTCATTCCATTTTTTAAAAGTTGATACCCTTCCCTCTCTGCTTCTTACAGGATCAAGGCAAACCCTTATACTCAAGGCTACCATCCCAGTTTCTCCATCATCATATTATCCACTATACTATTACAAACCCTTTTATGTTTGAGTCATATCTTATATTCATGTATTTTTCTATTCCAAGCACCCAGAGGAATTTGGTCTTCCCTGAAATCCCATTGTCTATAAGAGTTTCATATGGATTTTCCTGAAACTCATTACATTTTCATATAAACCATTACGTACATTCACATAACAGGAGGGTGACCAAGGAAACAAACATGTGAGTTCTACTGTCTTTCCTCCTGTCCTGACTCTGTACCAAATATGAGTCAGAGCAAGTTTCTCTCCAGTTCAAGACAGGTTTCTGACTTTCCTTCTTCTGTAAATGACCTTGACTGGTGGCTGTTTGAGATGATGAAAGAGACTGAACTCTCAACTCATTGGTTATAAACTTTCAAGCAAATCTAAGCAGTGATTTGAGGAAAGCTTGGCCCTGTTTCAACTTGAAGTTCTGGATAGAGATAACAAAGACTGCATTAAGAGGCTGAGCAGTATTCTTAAAATTATGTCTTGGGATAAGCACTGCAGCATAGGAAGTTAAACTGCCCACTACTGCACCAGTATGCCATATGGGTTCTGGTTCAAGTCCTGGATGGCTGTGAGCAAGTTCCCTCTGCCTGGGGAAGTGGCAGGAGATGGCCCAAGTACTTAGGTACTTGCAATCACCTGGGAGACCCAAATGAAGTTCCTGGTTCCTGGCTGTGGCCTGGCCAGGTCCCAGCTTTTGCAGTCATTTGGAAAGTAAGCCAGCAGATGGCAGAACTCTCGCTCTCTCTGTCTTCCTCTCTCTCCTCCCTCTCTGTAACTCAGCCTTTCAAATAAACAAACAAACCTTTAAAAAAAATTTATAACTTAACTGGTCTTAAAGGGTAGGACTCTCTTTTTGTTTGTTTATTTATTTTAAAGGGCAAGTCAACAAAAATAGACAAACAGAAAGGCAGTGAGAGATCTCTCATCTGCTATTTCACTCCCAGAAGCCTGAAATACATGATTCTGGGCCATAACAAAGCCAGCAAACTCCAGTTCTGTCTGGGCCTTAGGCATAGGGTATTAAGGATCCAACTATTAGAACCGTTCCTGCTGACTCCCGAAGTATACATCAGCAGGAGGCTGTAATTAGAAGTGGATCTGGGACTCGAAACCCAGCACTCTGACATGAAATGAGAGTGTCCCAAATGGCATTTTAATCATTAAGCCAAAGTCCAACCCCTATGACTCTCTCAAACTGATAGAACAAAATGCCTGGGCTCTAGGGATTATGAAAAACCTCAGCTTTGAATATTCTACCAAGTACCTATTGGAAAATGAAGTTAACTTTATGTATTCCTAATAAAACAAAGGGTTGAGACCATCTATTATTATGTAAACAAGGAAGGCTTCTTTTAAAATTTGAATATGTATTCTCTGTTTCCTGATGGCTTCATACTTGAATCAATTTAGATATCATAGGAAACCCTTCAGAAAAATTTCTAACACTGGGCATATTTGGCAAAGAATATCAATCTACTGTGCAAAAACACAAGGGCCAAACAAGACGATGAGATCCGACAGGGTCAGTACTCCAAATCTTTTATCTCTTAGATTCAACCTCCAGCACACAATGCCTGGATAGCACTGGGTAGAGTTCAGTGCAGATTGTACTTCTAGCATTGCATCCAAAACTGAAGTTAAATCATGACATTTCTGAAAAGTCTTCCAGGTTCTTGACCTTTTAAATTTTTTTTTCATTTTTATTTGCATGGCAGAGAAATAGAGAAATCTTTCATTTGCTGATTCATTCTCAAAATGCCCACAATAGCTGTTAATAGCTGGGGCAGGAATAAGACAAAGCTAGGAACCCAGTACTAAATCTAGGTCTCCCCTCATAGGTGGTAAGGACCTAAGCATTTGAACCATCCTTGCTGCTTCCCACAGTTCTCATTAGCAAGAATTTAGAATTGGTAATGGAGCCAGACTTGAAACTCAGGCATCCTGGTGTGGAATGGGGGCATCGCAAGTGGCATCATCACTCCTGTACTAAATGCCAGCCAGCATCCTTCTCCCAGGTTCTGCCTCACAATGGTCTACAAGGAAAGTCATTGGAACTAGAGCAAAATTGGGGTGTTAATAATAGGCGCTTAGGTCAATTTCCTCTTTAACAGAATTGATTAGGAAGGTTTCCGTTGACATCTACTGCTTTCCAGGGCTAGAGAAAAATAAGCCCAAGTTTTTTAAGCATCTGAATAAATATGGTGCTCTCTTTCATCTGGGATGGCACAATTGAAAACTGACTTACTAAAGGAGTTAGATGCCATTTATCTATTACAAAAAGTACCCAGAGCACACTTTCTGTTAAGAGTTGTTTTGCAAAATGCATTCTCATTTCTAATAAAATACCTGGCAAAGAGCCACCATCAGTTACATTCTTATGACTGCATATTGCATAAGAAGCCTGATGATAATGCCTACCAGTTGTGCCCTTGAAAGCATCATCTGCCTCCTTGCTTGAGATTGGAAGACTTAGAGAATCCCCTGGGTTTCTCTTTGTACTGCTGCCAGGAATCTCAGTTGCTTTCTCCACTCAAATCACAGATACAGTAACTCACCCAGTTTCCTGGCCTAACTACTATTCCCACACTGCATCATCTTTAATGGTTTCATTATTTTATCTTGCCTTTTAATACTAGCTACTACTTTCAAAGTAAGTAAATCATAAAATGAAGCTCCAGGAGAGTAAAGCATTATCAAGCTATTTGCGATGATCTAGAGCCATAGAGGAAAATAGACAGACCCTGGCCATCACTGGAAGTTATCCTACAGAGGATGTGCAGAAATACTGTGGTGCAATAGAAACACCTGTAATTATGTCCTTGTTTAGGGCTAAGGAGAGCTGATTTCAGACAATAAATAAGGTGTGCTGTTCCTTCTCGCTTTGTTTCTTATGTTTTCACTGTAGATATCTTTCCATATTCCAGAAAGATTAATTGGGATAAAATAATTCATTCCTATGGTAATTTCCAGATAGACCACCTGAAATTTTGGCTGTTTTTTTTTTGTAACCAGATATGACACTTTATTCTCCTGTAAGAACAGTAGTTTTCCTTTATCCATGGAAAATACATTCCAACATATCCAGTTGTTGCCTGAAACAGTGTATATACCGTATATTTTCCTATTCTTTCATAGATGTTAGAAATGTCAGAATGTGGGAGGTTTTTTCCTTTTAAAAAGGGAAAATCACTTTTTCACTTTAAAGAAGAACTCATTTCATACCTTGTCTATGATACACAGAAATTGCCACCACCACTACTCTTACACATTGGGAATATTATTAAGTAAAAAAAGAGTTACCTGAACACAAGTGCTGTATTACTGTGATAGTCAATCTGATAATCCAGACAGCTTCTAGATGATGAGGTGATTAATGGGCAGGTAGAGTATACAACATAGGCCACCAAATAAATAAATGAATGAAACACTATAGGTAATGCTGGACAAAGGGCAAGGTGGGGGCAACAGGTGATACAGTAGGAGGTGAAGAGTGTAATAGTCCCTAGAGAATTACCTTCCCAAATAATCACTGATAAAACTCACACAAGACATGGACTGTCCCATCTTTCAAAACTGAGTCCACAGTGATCTATTACTTCTCTGGAGTCAGACAACTTTCAGTTGAACCCAGGTCTATCTCTTAGGGTAGGTGTCCTTAGGAATGTACCTTAACTACCTTCATTTCCTATGAAATGGGGACAATACCCACCTTTGAATGATTGTCATGAAAATGTGTGATAAGGTATATAGCCCCTAGCATTGGACTTGGTACATTCTATAAAATGTAACTATGACTAAATCCCAGGATCTAGCTGTGTGTCTTTTTGCCTGAACATTTACAAATAGAGTAGCATACAGAAAGAAGGTTAGGAGGGACTTCTAAAATTCTAAATAAGCACACAACCATTCAAGCTAAGCCATCTTAGTAGGATTTGCCTATGCAAAGACTTCTGACCTGCTGGGGATTGTGTGAGACCCAGGGAGTCCTGGCTAGGGAGGTATAGCAACTTGCACACAGTCTCCAGGGTTTTGACAGATGAATATTTTTAAAACAAGATGTTTATCAATATAGTAAGCAACTTCCCCAGTGTCAGGATTGATTATGGGGAGCAAAAACTAATGAATATATATAGAGAGGGAGAGGAGTGCAATAACTATTTAGCACCATTTAATGATCTGATCACCACTGATAAAAGCGCTTCTCTTACCTATGCCCAAGTAAGCCAACATCTTGTAAGTATAGGGTCATTATTTTTTCTCATGATGGATCTTTGAGTTGATTTTAATGTTTTTACTTAA